ATGCTTTCTAATTGTTAATAGTGCTCGGGTTCAGATACTTTAATACATTATTACAATGAAGTCACTCTCCAGCTGTGGGCACTCAGAGAGGTCCGCCGTCAGTATATAATACTGATGTTCCAGAATTTGAATTTTTGAACATATATCTTTTCCGACTTTGTATCCTCACACATCTGACCTATCAGTAAATAGGAATTGCGTAGTGGTTCCAATGGCTTACCGTACTCAGGCTCGGGACAATTTCCGCCTTGCGCAAAAGCATCTTCTTCGCATCAACCTGCGATCAATTCAATGTAAATCTTGGCAGGATCTAATTATAAAATATGTTCCGTTGCTCTCAGTGTGACAAGTCATACCAGAGAAAAGCGCATTTGCTGCGCCATGAGTTCACTCGTACGTTCGGAATGGAGTTCATCGTACGGTGTTGCCAATTGACATTGACCATCTACTAGATTCCGGCCAGGCCGCTTCCACGTGCCCCTTTTGCAAGAAATCATTCTTGAAACCGTAAAGACAACCACTCATACGGCTTTAAAATCAGGTCTAACTCTTTGTCCCTACAGAGAGGTTGCTCGTCGACACAGTAAAGCATGTGCAATCAAATACAATCAACAGCCTGCCCCGGCAGCCAAGCCAGGGCGGAAACGGCAGTCCTGCGATCAATGCTTTGCCACGAAAAGGGCGTGTGATAAATGCTCACCGTGCTCTCGTTGTCGTTCTCTCGGACAGCAATGCACGTTTGAGTCGCAGGATGAACTGTCAATAGGAAGTCCCTGCTCGACTGACATCTCATTATCGCCATCAGTGCAACCGGTTACTCCACCAAAGGAGGGATCGCAGTTTTCGTTCCTCCGTCATTTTACTGACCCCTGTGTGGAAAGAGATAGACTTGCAATCGGAACAACAGCAGAATGTTCTGTCCGAAGAAATCTTGAAAGCCTCTATTCTCACCTTGAAGATGCGCTAGTACCGCCCGATCCTATGGCAGTTAATTTCGGTGACATCCCAGGCACCGATTTGTTCTTCCGTCCTCCGTTGATCACGGATGAATATTTTCCTACTGATCTCCTAAGCTATGGCCCTACAAAACTCTCAGAGCAGCTGCACGAAATAATGCTAGAACTGATTGAGACCTCAAAATCGATGGGACTTGACGACCCTGAGGATCCACCGCTGCAACTCGATATTGCACAATTGGCGCCACTGTTCACAGTATCTAACGTTGCGATCTACATCTCTGTATTTTTCCATTCACTTTATTGGCATCTCCCCGTCGTGCATTTTCCAACATTCGACCCGGGCAACGTTTCCAACCCACTGCTGCTATCAATCTTTTTAACCGGTGCAACATATAGTAGCTCCTTAGACGAAGCGGCATTATTACCCAGGGTTCTCGACGTGGCCGAAGAGCATGTATTCCGGAAGATCACCACGCTATCAACACAGGTCGCTCCACCCACCCACGACCTCACACGGCAAACACCTACCATCCAGCTCCTCCAAGCTGCGCTAATCATCGAAATGCTCCAATTCGGCCAAGAACGGATTGAAACAAGACGCCGCATTCGTATCATCCGTCACCCAAGCCTAGTATCCCTTATGCGTTGCCTCGGGATCTTCCACCTGAAGCGGTCCGCGCCTCCCACAATCTGCACTGGCGACGATGGCACATGGAGAGCGTTGGTCACCGAGGAAGTCTGCATACGACTTGCTTCTTGGGTCTTCCTTGCAGACGGCTTCCTTACGGTGTGTTTCAAAAACCGACCCACCATCTCCATCTTCGAGATGGAGTGCCCCTTCCCATGGAGGACAGAGCTATGGGAAGCCGAAAATGCATCGGCCTTCAGTCGCATCGCTGCAACTGATGCCGCGAAGCTCCCCATGCCTTCCGTGAGGGAAGCCATCCGGCTGCTCCTCGATAATTCCGAAGCTGGGCCCGTAGCCTCCAGCTTTCCCCTGTCCGCAGAGCATCTATTAATCATGATATACGGTGAGTCCCGCGACAACCTCATTTTTCCTCACCATTCCGCTAAAGACATGATGACCACAGCGTTGAATTCCCTCGCATTCCTAGCCAGAACCGACTTCTTCGGCTCCGTGCCGCTGAAGAAAATCAAATCCGCCGCCACGAAATGGAAGCAGATCTGGAACTCCGTGTACCAGGATACAAGCAACGACCAGATACTGCCGCTGGGGTACCCGAAACACGCAGAAGAGCTTTGGCTCCTTCTTACGGCGATGCTTGACATCGCCACTGAGAATTCCACGAAGCTCCCGTACCTGGACAACGCCGCGACAGATGATCTAGGAAAACTGAACGAATTCATTCAATGGTGTTGTCGTGATACATAATACACGCCTTCTATGGTTAGATTACAATGCTTAAAAAAAAGTACATTAATACCCATCCCTGCCTTCAATCCCTCTTGAGAGCCTGTGCCTTGCGGTTCTCGCTCTGGATGAACCCGTCCTCCTTCGGCTTGCGGTATGTCCCGCTGACCCTATCCCAGAACGTCAGGAATTGACCATAGTTATAGTTGAAGTACAGATGATGCATGGTATGACACGCTGCACCGTTGACGACTATAGATTCGGAAAGATACTCGGCATCATCTGCGCTTATTAGCCCAAACTCCCCCACAAAACAACTCAGTGAAACGGAAAAAGAAAAAAAAAAAAAAAGGAGAAAAACTCACGAATAAAAACCGTCCACATAGTGACGAACACAAAAAGCCCCAAATAGGCGCTCTTCTGCAACGGAAACAGCAACGGATACACATGGTACGGAATGCTCTGCGACCAGCCATCCAGGGGATGGAACGCATAGCTGGCAAACGGACTCGGCATGATCCATTTATGGTGCGGCTTGTGCAGCCAGCGGTACACGGGCGGGTAATGCAGTCCGCGATGGATCCAGTAGATGCCACAGTCCGTGAAGCAGACGAACAGCGGATACTGCAGCCAGTTGTAGGCGCGGAAGGGGGCTTCGTGGTTGAAGTCGTAGAGCTTGGTCCAGCCGCGCACCTCGGCGAGAAAGAACGGCGCCGTGAGCACGGCGATGACGGGGATCGCAAACAGGCCTTGGCGGATCTCTTGGCGGATCTGGTTTGGCAGGAAATGTGGGTGGCGCATTACTCGCTTGTCGAAGAGCGTGTGGTAGATGAGTGTGCTGCCGATTAAGTACAAGGCCGTGGCGAAGATCCTACGGGGGGGTTAGAATCGGGGTTGGTTTGCTAGGTCGTGGAATACGTACCATCCGATCAGGAAGAGGGACGTTGTCTGTCGGACGAGGTCATCTCGCTTCCATGTGCTGCTGTCGGCGTACGGAGACGGCGGCAGTGGGTAGTAGAGGTTAATGTGTTTGTTGTATGTGCCTGCAGGCGCCGGGACGGGGTTCGTCGCTGGTAAAATCGAGGCGTATAATCTGTCGAACACGAACGTGTCCAGGATGTCAAGAAGCACATCCATGGTGGGAGTAATTACAAGACTGTTCAAAAATATAGTACACTGAAAGAAAAAAAACCATAAACAGTTCAACGTGAAAGACTGAAACAATCACACGGCACATCGCCCTTCTTATGTTGGGAAATACCTACATGATCCATTGTTAGGGTTGGCGATTACCTACAGAACCTACTGCGGACAATACCTACCGTGGGGAATACCCACACGGGCAATACCTACCAAACAACCCCCTTTACCTACACGCTCCGACATCGTACGACACTTGAAACTCTGTGTGGATTTCTAGCCCGAAAATCGTACAACTCGGATTTCCGGGGTAAGCCAGGAATAAATAATGAGAGGACGTAGTACCTTACTAAGCTGTCAATCGGCAAGCATAACTATTTGTTTGTTACCTAGTACGCTGGATAACTACTACCTTCCAACATCAACCTACCACGCCTCCAAAGTCCGCCATCCGGAATACAGCCTCAAAATTGAAGCATAGGTGGCTGTTATATATACAGGGATGTGGTGAATGAGCGAATCACCTGACAGAATTCCCCAACAACACGTCCGCCTAATATCCACATCTCACCTAAACAAAGGAAAAAAAATAAAAATAAAATAAAAATAAATGGGGGCAAAAAGGGGGGAGGCGATAGAAACAAATCCAAAATCCAAAGACAGCGTTAACAACCTCTACCTCCCCAAACCAAATCCCCCCTCTCAGCAACCGTCCTGCGACACTTCTCCAGAATCGCCGCCTGCCTGGCCACCTCCGCCAAGCTGCCCAGGACCTTGCGATTCCCGCCCACAAACCCATACAGCGCGTACGGGATACCCACATCGTGACAGAACTCCATCACCAAGGCCTGTGTGCGGCGCAGATTATGCCGCGGCACGCGGGGGTACAGATGGTGGATGGCCTGGAACTGCAATCCGCCGTGGAACCAGTCCAGCCAGGGCGGACAGTCGACGTCCATGGTGGTGCGGAGCATCTTTTGGGCGAAAGATTCGTTCGGGCCGAGGTCGGTGGTGGACATTGCGAAGTGGGAGACGGTGAATTGGACGTGCAGGGGCATGGTGGCCATGTGGCTGATTAGGACGAAAGAGACGCGGGACAGGGCTGTTGGGAGGGCTTTGTAGAGGATGCCGTAGCCGAACCAGAGCCAGAAGATTAGATTCCCACAGATTTCGAACCAGCGGTGCCATTTGGCGGGGCCTTGCGGGGTCCTTGGGCTTGGAGGAGGAAGATCCAGGATTGCACGTAGAGGTTGAATCGGCCGAAGAGCAGAATGATGTAGTACAGATAAGCTTGGTAAGGGACTAGGGCTTGGGCGACTTTGTTGTAGGCCAGGAGTCGTTCGTGGTAGGTGGAGAAGAGGTTCCCGAGGAAGCGGTGGTTAACGGCCAGGAAGGGGAGGTGCTGATTGTCGGGATCGTGCTCGGGCGCGTTGGTTACGATGTGGTGGACGTTGTGGCTACGTTTCCACCAGCCCAGGGAGAGGCCTCCGATCGGTGCGGCGATCGTCATCCCAATCAGACTGTCGATCGTGAAGTTCTGGGTGATTCCGATATGGCCGGCGTCGTGGGCGGCGAAGACCATTTGGGACCAGAACCAGGCGAGGAAGAGGGCGCTTGTGTTGTACCAGCCGATGTGGAGGAAGAAGAGCATGGTGCTGAACAGGAGGGAGCAGCGGCCGAATTCCCAGGCGTAGGCTGTGTAGTTGCATTTGTAGAGGCCTTCGGCGTGGATTCGGCTGTGCAGAAGTCGGTATTTGGCGATGATCTCGTCCTGGGTGACAGGGTCCAGAGGTGGGTACTGCGACAGGGTGAGTTTGACTTCTTCTTTGGTTTGCGTGTCGAGGAACGTTATTTCGTCTTGAGTGACCATATTCTCCATTGGCTCAGGCTCGCTGTGTCGTTTGTGGATGCCTGCATCTACTGTGGCAGCTGTGAGCCCAGTTGAGGAAGCATCTTGCTGTTCCTTGACTAAGATGGCTGACTCCTCTTCTCCATCATCATCATCCGGTCGAAATACTCCCCCTTGAATTGGTGGCACGAAATTGATCCATCTTCCTTCAATCCGCCCAATCTGATACCTTGCAATCATCTGTCGCGTCTCTTCGCAGTGGAATCTACAGCCCGTCAGCATCAAGCAAGCCCCTCGCGTCCTCCGAAGATAGGAAATCGAGTGTCTAACATAGTAAACTCATCTGTGGCATCCTTTCCAACCACATGCTGGATGGTCTTAAGTCCACCGGGATGGTACGGAATCCAGGCATCCACACGAAGTACCTTCTGATTCACAATAATAATCGACTGGCCCCCTGCAATTAGAGCTTCTATTTCTCTACGTGAGAGAATCGCATCTCTAGTAGATCGCTGCATGATCTGATGGGGCATTGACTGGTACATGGACAGGTTTTTGTACCACGGTTCGTACGTCAGGGTAAGCTTGGTTGGGTCTGCATGCGGGCCGAGCGATTCCACTCGGACTCGGCGGAGTCGGGGCTAATTTCGGAGATTATTTTTTATATCGTTGCAGGGGAAGGGGATGTCTTACGGGGTTAGTAAAAAGAAACAAACTTGTTCTTGAGCACATCTAAGCGGTTCAACTACTCTGGAAATCTACTTGATAAGTCTGTACTGTATTTTTAGATCCCCACTACTAGATACACGCATAGGTGGGAAAACAATCCCAGTCGCTTTGTTGACAACAAATGATGGATGGGTTACGCGGCGGACTGGGGGCGGAGTGTAAACTTTAACCTAGTCTTGGTTCTGACTTGTCGTTTTGTCCTGGCGTGCAACTATCGAATAAAACATATCGACCGTATATCGCTCTTGGTTTTCTGTTTATATTCCTAGGACTTTGGAACGAGTTAGGAATCTCATCTTAACTCTGGAGGCACGGGGAGTATTACAGAAGTTGAGTGTTGGTAGTAGTCTTGTATTACTTTTTTTTTTTTTTTTATTTTAAAAAAAGTGGTAAAATACATACGTCGTAGAGGGTATATGCTATGCAATTAAGTAGGCATGTCGATATGTTCGTAGTGGGGCACTAAGCATAGTACACATATCATTACTGCCTGATATAGATCCATCGGGAACTACGTTCAGCGCCATTGGTCGCTGCGTTTAGCAGATCCAGGACACAAACGATATAACACCTGCATAGCACGCGTGGTTCCTCTCTACCAATACCACATCTAACCCGAAGGATTCAAGCTTACGACTATTCGAAGGAAGAGTAGAAATCCAGCACATCCACGCAGTCAATTTGTCTATAGTGAAAGCCATTGTTTTTGCCTCACATAGCTTCATTCCATTGCTCACTAAGAATTAAGCGGCTTTGCCGTTGATCGACACGAGCTGGACCTCGCTGTTGATCGGAGTCAGCGTCACTTCCCCGCGACGTGAGCATCGGATAGACGAGAAACTTACAAGAGGAGGGTAGCGTTGGGGGGATCAAGCCGGGGAAGCCCCTATTTTGGTTAGTATACTTAGGCATCAAAAGGATAATACCCCGAATTGGTGCCGTTGATGAATGGAAACAGCATCACATACCTGTCTCCATAGGCGTAGTCTCTGCGTGGATGGTTAGTAAGCGACATTCGATAAGTTGAGATATGACTATGACATCATAGACTGATATCAAGGCACGAAAGGAGAATAACAGCAAACAACTCACCCGGTGATGGTCAATAGGGCTCTCTCGCCCAGAGTCATCTGGGGGACACCCTCGTCCCAACCTACCAAATCAATTTAGCAACGACGTAGTATACAAAGGGGCAAGGGCAAACAAACCTTTGATAACACGTCCAGTGCCAATGGCTACACGCAAGGGCTGGCCCCGTTTATAGGAGCTATCAAACCTGTTGCGTGGAATTAGTCATCATGCACTGCATCCCTTTAGAGAGGGAGTCAACATACTGCTCTCCCTTGTGCTCCGACGCTGTTTCGCTATACAGCCATCCGGTATAGTGCATGGCGACTTCGTCATTTTTTTGGGGAAGTCGACACCGTTGCCGGGTGCGAGAGTCTGCTTGATGACGCCCATTTTTAGATTCTGGAATCGAATAATCAAGAAACGAGATAGAATGAGGGGATGAGGGGAAGAAGAAAAGAGTCCCAAGACGAGGCGAGAAAGAGGGGCAATTTTTATAATCGCGAAGTGGGGCTTTGGTCCCCTGGGTTGTGTATCGCGTCGGTATTCGGCGTGTTATTTTCGTTTAGGGTACGGGTGTTCTCGGTAAACGTCGTGTATTCCCACCGTTCCTCTTTTTGCTTTGGGGGCGTTTGATATAGTTTGAGACTTGTTGACCCCAGTGTGTTTTAAGCCTGATCTGGATCGAATTGCTTTGTTTGGAGAATGCTCCTATTTGAGTTTATGTCCCCATTTGGTGTGGGAATCACGCCTTTTGCTTTTCTTGGCAGCATCCCAGCCAATTTCCCTGAAGAAAGGCTGTAGAAAATGAGATAACTATAACAGAGCTTCGAAAATACTAGTATCTTGGTTCAGTTTTCTATTGTACATGGTGGTAAAGGGGATTGGTCATGGATTAAGGATTCTCGTCTAACACAATCTCTCAAAAGAATATATATCTCTATAATTAGACACATACTACTATAGAATTATCACCCATAGTTATGTCCACACATATTGCAGACGATCTGGGGTATAGAGAATGATCTACTAGTAAGCAGCATCCTAAGGAAGACTCAATCAGAATCACTGCTAGCCTCTAGATTACAGTGGACAGCTCTTGGTACCTTCTGACAATCCTTGTTCTGCAGAGGTTCAATGCTGATCACGCTTATCCGTTGCATATCCAACAAGATATGTTTGGGCTTTTGGCTTTAGTCGTTAAAAGTCCTATGGAAGTAATAGTGGAGAAATGTAGCTAAACACTGGTAAACCTAAATGTGTGTGCATACTGTCCCTCGGTGGTGGGTTTTTCCATTCCTTGTCTGGCTTATGTAACCACCCTCTGCTCACCTGGCCCAACATGTCTTTTATAGCTCTTAAACACCTATATAGATATATAATGCCGAATGTCTCATTGTGGATCAGAGGCTAGTTCTATATCCAAGATCTTGGGGTTGCGCGAGCAGCGAACCCTAAGTCCAGCTAGTCATATTAGCATATAGATCTCGGCTAAACGGGCCTGACACCACCAAACCCTTCAATTGTGAACAAGGAAAGGAAAGCCTTCTTATTTCAGTGGCGATATGCACTGAGTACTGGAATCCAGGACCAGGGGTACTCAACTGCAACTGTTTTTGCAACTGGAGACATTGCCCGCAGGTTTACCAGAGCAATGAGGCCTTCCGTCCCGAATAGATTGACCTTGGCTGAGTAGCTGGAAGAGTTGCATGTTGCCAAGAGTGATGTGTTAATCAAGGGCACTCTGTTTGTGGCCGACGGTGGGCACGTGAGAAAGAAGACTTCTGATTATACTACACTCAAGTCCTTTACCTTTGCTATAGAGCACTCTTATGAATTTCCTATCTGAACCGCACTGAGAAGCCTGTTACTGTTTGCTATAGCATAAAGGCATGGGTATGACCTCGAAGTCGCCTGGAGTAAAGACATCATACTAGACCGTACCTGTATATACACGCATGCGGTTTACTGGGGAGTTTGCATGATAATGTTCGTTATCCCAGCTATAGGTCTCATGTACTAACGCGCCATACGTTAAAGGTACCTCGTGCCAATAGATAGTAGATATAGATCAGGCATCTACTCGGTATCATCCAATTCCGGATAGTGTCGATAGATACCCAGCGAGTATTTCTGTCTCCTGTCACTTGCGAGATACTCCTTGATGCGAGGCCGGTTCTTTACAGCTTCGTAGAGCTTGAACACATTCGCATATTCACCCGACTTTTCTAGTCGGTTAAGTGCTCGAGGGAATGCAAACTTGAGACCATCAATGCCCTGTAGTATGTAGTTAGCGCTCTGCTGGGTCAAATGTGGTGTTTCATTCGGCACGCATCAGTATCTAATGCTTGGAGATGAATCAAGACGTACCTGGAAAAGAACAAGGTCCGCATATGTCAACGTCGTGCCATACAGCCACGGACGGCCCTGTGCCGCCTGGGGCTTCAACACCCGCTCGAAGTAGGAGAGGAACTTGGGCAGACGATTCTTCCGGTAGGACTCCGACCTCCGCTTGCTCTCCTCCAATTGATCCTCATAGTAGAGTTCCGGGGCAATGGGGTGGTGCGTATCGTGAGGCTCATTACTAAGTCCATCCAGGGCCGTGAGAGCGAGCGAGTTGACTTGATAGATGGCGTCACCATCTGGCGTCAGACCGAGCCGCGGGGCCAGGTAGAGCAGAATATTGGGTGTCTGGCTGATCCGCAGATCACCATGCTTGAGAATGGGCGGTGCGAACGGTGGAGGGCCAGACTGATCGCCCTCGTAGTTCTTATCAATGAGTGATAGTACGGTGTTAATTCCATCTTCTTCGTGTGCAGTGTCGGTATAGTCGGCCCCGGCTTCCTCTAAGGCCAGTCGTATGAATTCTCCACGGCCGGGTATCTCAGGCCAGTAGATGAGTTGATACGGGCCGTTGGAGCGTTGCGACATTGTGATTGCCTTTTCTTTACAAGGTATAACCTAGGTGAATATGGGCAGGTTCAATGGCTGAAGAAAGGGAAGTAACTCATAGTAAGCAAGAGCGGGGGCTGACTCACGTGCGGGGCATCGTGCATGAAGTCATGGTGATGACGAATTCTATAAACTCCACACCGCAGCGAATACGAGGTCATTAATACTTAGTGGTATGCAACATCATAGGTACAAATACTACACATAGGGAGTGATTGAACAAACATAGCTAGATTGTAGTGATTAAATCCTAGGGCACGTCTTGGAGTTGTAAAGAATTTGGATTGTCTTAGTGAACAGAATGTTTATACATCGAGATCTCACTGAGATGATGCCGCTACAGATTGCCGGATTGCTCGTATGGTGCCATCAGGGAGTTTCCGAGCACCTTGGATGGAAACGCTTCTTCGCCCAAAGTCGTAGTATGCGCCCACGGCTTAAGTCCATTCTCCCGGCGAATAACTGCAGCAAAACAATTGCTCCATTGCTTGCGCGGGTAGTGCCGTGACACATCCTCAATGGTTGACGGATGGACGGTGTCGGCATAAGCACCGGTGTTGTCTGTATCGGTCAGATTCTGTTACCCAGGTGGAAGCACAACAGTGGTATGGGTTAGAACGTACCAAATATAGTAGCTAGCTGCAGCAATTGACCTACGGCAGTAATCTTGCCTTGTTCACAAAGATCTTGATGTCGGATGATTGCTTCGGCGACACTCTCCGCCTGATCCCGAGGAGCGACGGCGTTTCCTGATGATTCGGTACGGTCTTGAAGAACGTCCAAGGCTAGAAAGCCCGCGTAGAACTCATGACTTAATTTCGTCTTGTTCAGATTTTCTTCTGTTGAGCCGATGTCATGTAGCAAGCAGCAGAGGAAGTAGGTCTCATCGGTAAAGGACCAGGAAGGGAACACGTGCCGCTTAATCGCAAGGCCGTAATGATACACCCGCAGAGAGTGGTTGTATGTGGGTTCAGGCAGTTGGGAGCGCGCATAGTGATTGATGCGCTGCGACAAGGCGGTTTGGGGGACGGGAGTATCGGCTACGGAAATAAAAGGCGCTGGAGCGGATGGCTTCGCCGCGGATAGGATGGCAGACGCGGAAGAAATTACCGGAGTGAAGCCGTATTCAATTTCTGAAGTCGAGGGCATCTTGAAGGTCTTCGGTTGTTGTCTTGCGTATGCTGGGCCAAGGCTCAAAGAGGTTCTCACTGATTGATGAATGTTTCCATTCAAGAGGGGTGAAATTCCATCCTTATATAGCCTGGTATTTCTCCAGCTGACAAATTGCCCTTGTATGATTCACATCAATGGTGTCTAGAATATGTCTTCCGAGTTCCGGGTAGCTTGCGAACAGCATTGATGTGGACGAGAGATGGAGATGTGACGAAGATCGACGGACCCTTCTAGACCCACTCCATTTTACTTCCCAAAACGGATAATCCGGGGTCGGAACATTGTCAACCCGCCATAACATGACAGTTTATGCACCGTTCCTACTTACGTGATCTATGCTTATGCTAGTTATTCAACATCTACATATGACTCAAAGTAAACTAGTTGGTGAGGTTGTATTGTATGACAAAGACCAAATATGCATTGATTTCCATGGCTGTCACAACCCAGCTAGACTCAAGTACTTGCCCATGAACATTTACCGTCTCGTATGTGTCTTCATTATATCCCCATAGACGACTGCAATTAATCGGATTCCATGCTGTGGATAAAGCCGCCGCGAAAGTCTATTACAAACGCACTCTCGGTGTCAAGTCGCAAATGAACTCCTCCTGCTGCACAAACCACACATTCCTCGTCTTCCATGGTTTGTTCTGATGCAATTGAATATCGAACTCGCGCAGTAGCTGAGGGAGAATCTTCCGCATCTCCACCAGAGAGATTGCTTTCCCAATACACGATCGTGAACCTGCCCCGAAACTGAAAAATGCTTTGTCCATCTCCATTAGCTTTTCGGGAGGGCTGTCCAGCCATCGCTCAGGGATGAAGGAATCCGGCTGAGGAAAGATGGTCGGGTCTCGGTGGACAACCCAGGCATTAATCCCAACCTTTGTACCGCCGGGGATGTATTGACCGCAAAGAGTGACGCCTTGCGGCGGCACATGACGTTCGAGATTCCCTCCAACAGATGGATGCAAACGCATCGCTTCTTTCATTACCGCGCCGAAGTACGGAAGATGGGTGGTGGATTCCTGGTAGGAGATCGGGTTACTAAGTTTGCCCTCTCGGTCTGCTGTGTCAATCTCCGCGCGCACTTTTGACATTTTATCCGGGTGGCAGATGAGGTTATAGAGGATGGAGCGCAGAGCGATTGCAGTTGTATCAGATCCAGCGAAGACATTTGTCGATAGGTGGACGATTAGGTCCCTTGTGGATAGTCGGGTCGGGTCAGCGTTATGAATTGCTAGCCACCGAGACATCATATCTTTTCCGACAATCGCTTCGCCGATCTCGTCCGTGTCTAGATCCCCGTCGCGCTGTAGGGAAGCGCGGCGATTGATTGCCTTCAGGGTGAATACGACCACCTGGTTCCATGACTCCATTTGCGGGAGCAGTATAGGGAAGAGAGGGTTCCCGAGGAGGACGTTGTGAGCTTCTGGAATCTGGCCGCACAGCAACGCATAGATGAGCATTCCTCGTATTGCCTCCATCATATTGTCTACGTCCTGGCCTTTCTCCAGGAACCCTAGCTTCTGAGCAAAAGACAGTTCGCCAACAACATCGAAAGCGTAGTATTGCAGCCACATTCCGAGATCAACGGGAGCCTTTTCTTTCACCATCTTTCGGATCTGGCACAGAAACAGCTCGGTGCACGAGTCGACGGCAGGCTCCATTTCGAGAATATTGGTCATACTGTACGCGCTGGCGATAGGGCGTTTCTGATTACGATGAAAACGCTCATCTCGAGTAGAGAAAAGGTTCATTTGCGGTTTCTTGTCCCATGATATGGATTGAATCGGGTAGAAAGCCGTCTGCAGAGGGTTATTCCTGGACTAGAAGGACCGGCGAGTTGACCTACCTTGGTAAAGCCTCCATTGATTCCATAGATGATGGGGATCGCCTTCGGATCGCTCACTGAGATCTGCCTGGGGCCGGTGCGTACCAAAGAGCCATATTTTCGGTGAAGGTCAATCTCCGTGTGATGGTAGTCGCCCTTCCACACGGTGTACAGCTTCCACAGTCGGCTGTAGGCTGCCAGCGATGGGCCAGGAATCCCAGACAGATAAAATCTATTCGTGACGAGACGAGTAACAATTAAACCGACAATCAAGAGAGCAACATTTAGGATGTCAACCATGGTGGTGCACAATATGGGTGAGAATGCTTGGTGAGAATGGAAACCGAGCGGGAGCTTTTCGGTCGCAGCCCGGAAAACCACAGGCACAATGCTTTTCACGCCACCGTCGTCACGGGCTCTGGTTTTGGCCTGAGCCCAGCTGGAACAATGTGATCCATTTGTACCCTTGCAAAACCCCACATCGGACTACTAGTAGAGTGGGATGCATGAAATAGCGCAAATGCGCGGTGGTGGACGACATGCAGCCAATCATGCGCCTGGATTTACCTCCTCCTTGCAAGCTTTCGTGCGTCTAGCCACCTAAGTGTGGTGACAATAATAATATAGTGTGGTCGCAGTACGTTGAGTGGCTGGGGGGAATTAGCAGCCGTTGCCAAACGGGCCAACATCCCATTGCAAACTTGACGATGATCTGTGCGCTTCGGGACTACATCCCTGACCATTCAGACCAATGGTCCAATAGCCAAAAAAGCCCTAAGAACGATGAAGAATTGACGAGCAGAGGTCAAGTGGCCAGGTGATAAGGAAAAAGCGGCTGCGAGGCGCCTCTCAGCCCTAGAATGGCAGTCACTACGTGGCCTTGCAGCGCCGTGGAATAATTTAGATGCTCTAGACCATCATGCGATAGGGCTACAGGTGATCGCCAATTTGGAACCCTTGCTGAGAGGCGAGTACGATTTCGTTGGCCAATACACCTCATATTCGAGGTCAATCTCCGTTATCTTGATTACTGGGACAATAACGAGTCTATATTCACGCTGCACTGTTTATCCTTGATATTTATCTTTAATGTTCACCTCTGCATTCCGCAGTAGACCTTGCAATGTGAAGCTAAAGAGACTTTATACCTCGCCGATGGTGCTATGGATGCCCAGATGTGATTTTTGACGTGATCCGTCGTGGATGATTATCCGCATATAAAATATTCTCAGACTTTGAAGATATAACAGGAATAGGATAAGCCTACATTTGTTTTTATTTTGTTTCAATCATAGTATTTTACGCTATTACTAGTATTATATTCAGACACTTAGTCAAGTTAATGAAGAGACCATAATGTCAACGCATTCTCCGTCGGGGTTGGGGGTGGGGGAAACCGTATCGCACCATCTATTGTCCCGAATAGTGAGTGCAATGATCGGAGGGCTATGTATAGGGAAAAGAGTGTCCTTCATCGTGTGGTATGATGTTCCTGCTACGAGTACTCGAACTCACTCAAGGGAGACATATTTATCACTGAAACAGTCTCTAGGACTGCTCATGAGGATGCTCTACACTCTGGTATGTCAAAAAAGGAATATATCGATCGCAATATCATAACAAGGACGTATCATCAATATCCGGCGTCATATCGCCAATGCGACTCATCTCCGCCCAATTCAAGTCCCTCTCAACATCACCTACAGCATCGAAATCCTTCTTCTCCTCTCCCACAAAGCCCCCCAAATCCTCCAATCCAAGATGTCTACTAATAGGCATGACCATGACCGGCAATGTATGCCCCACCTTAGCCATCAACAACGGCAGGAACCGTTTCCTCCCACCGTGCAACGAATGCACCAACGAGCACAAATGCTTCAAATAATCCTGCGGCCCCATCTCAAACCCCAAGGACCTCAGCCCCGTCGACGACAAACAAGCCATCACGTCCGTGAGCGTACACGCCACTTCAAAGATCTTCTCGATCAGCCCGACCCCGTGCGTCTCCATACTTTCCCGGGAAAGCTTCCACGTGGCCAGGGACAAGTCCCGGGCAATCTGCAGGGGATACCGGAAGTCGAGGCTTGGGTGGGTAGGTGTGCTGGACAGGAAACCTGCGGTCGTGGCTAGTTGCCAGATCATGGTGCGGAGCCATTGTTGCGACACCCGGAGATCCGCGAGCAGGATGTCTGGGAGGTCGAGGTCGGCGGGCACGGAGCGCTGGATGTGCTCCTCTAGCTGGACTAGCGATTCCCGGGTGCAGATGGGTTGGTTCCCGTTCCAGATTGCGAGGAAGGATTCGTCGAAGGGTCGGTACAGGTCGACTAGATGGCTGAAGCCGAGGGAGAAGGCGTCTAGGGGTGATGTGTCCAAGGTTGGGCTGGTGCTTGTGATTTGCAGCGTTACTGGACGCCGGCGGCGAATTGCGTGGGCACTGTCTTACTATCAGCAAATGGTTGGGAAGGTAGGTATGGTTATGGGCGTAGTACCGTTCCGATATCAATAACAGCCAGAACAGCTTCCCCGAAAAGCAAGGTTGGTCTTCATCAGCCGACTGGTCCAACATATCGGCTGTGTAGAACGTGGTGGCCTCGCGGAGGAAATAATACGCCTGCCGCTGGTTCCCGCATCCAATATGACACCCGTATAAAAGAAAGGCAATGGTAATACCCAGCCGAATAGGTGCGGAAAACGGATCCAGATGCCGCCGAGCAGCCATCGCTTCGTCTAGTAAAGAGCGGCCCATATCCGGTCCCGTACCCTGATGACAGGAAAGATACCCCGTCTGAGTCAGAACGAAGGCACAGAACGCCACCACAAGGCAATACGCATGAGGGCACTCATCCATGCGTTCCACCTGCTCTTGGAATGTATCGGGATGCAAAATCGGTACCGTCCCTAACATCCGAGAATAGAAGTACGCAGCACAGCTCTGCACGAGTCCATCGGTCAATAACCCAGGGCTTTTCAGATATCCCGTCGTCTGTGTGCTACTGGGACTTTCAATAGATGCAACACCACTCGGTTGACTTTCTTCAATTGCATCTGAATTTGCGCTGGCTTTCAATTCGTACAATACATTAGCCGAACGACCCTGTCGCCCTTTCTTGCGCCGAGAGCTGGTTGACCGGCAGACCAGCCTCATTGATCGACACGGACTACATGGACGGTGCGATGTGCATTTGACCTTTCGACGACGACAGGCGTCGCAGGCTTGGGGGAGTGTTTCGCGCGGCATGGGTCTGAATGCCGGTCGTTAGGACTAGCTGGAGGGGAAGAGATGGAAAATCGTCGTGCCAAGAGATTTACTCTCCGAGGGAATTTATGGTTCGGTGCATATTTGGGTTTGGTGTTATTATTTATTTTTTTAAAAAAAAATATAATACCCCCAATACCGGTGACGCATAAATTTTGGTACTGTAGAGTAGACCAAAGGTACTAATGAGGGATTGATATAAACTAGTGAGCCATTTTCGGCACCGTAATCCGACCTCACTGTCACTTGCGTGATTCAGTGAAAAGCATGGAATCCGAATATATATGATTACATACCAGACTACATGCAACCGATACATTAAGTAACTACAGCTAACGCACACATAATGCCATTAAAAATAAACAATACGAATTCAGCTTAATTTATACAAAGAGACAAACTATCACCAGTATGGAACCCCCCTACTCCTTAGCATTATCAACCCTAACCTCAACAACATCCTCATAAGGATCCACGATTGTGTCCGCAAACTTGCGTGCAGAAACCTTCTTCTCAAAAAGCACATCTAGCTCCTCATAGGTCCGACCCTTAGGCTCAGGCATTCTAAAGAAAGACCAGACCAGACAGACTAAACACGTCCCGGCCCAGAAATACGCACTCCTTGCGCTCCAGCCCCAGGCCGTGTCATTGAGTTGATAATTTGTCAATACGTTGACGACGATGTTGCTTATATTGTAGCCTGCTCTTGCTAGGACGATGGTCTTGGCTTTGAGTCGTGTTGAGGATAACTCGGAGACGAGACAGTATGTCACGGGCCCAATAGTGAAATCGTAGCAGAACGTGAAGATGATGAGCATGACGCCGATGGCCCATTTTGCCGGGTTGTTGGAGTCTGGTGCAAAGGAGAGGCTGCCCGTTATGATGAGCAGGGTGAAGAGACTAGTTAGGCCTGCAAGGTGGAGGGTTCGACGGCCTGCTACTGTCATTAGGTACCAGGAGCCGAGGGTGCCTATGACGCCGAGGGCGTATTGGACCAGGGAGAGGTCGAAGGAGCGGACGGTGGGAAGACCCGCTTGTACACAGAAGTAGGCGAAGTAGCCCATGAGGTTTTGGCCGCAGAGGGTCTGGACTAACCACACACCGCAAACGACTTCCGTTCGCCGCAGGTTGACACCTCTGAAACAATCCTTGTATCGCGTTCCTTTTGTTGCAGACTTCTCGAGCTCGTTCGTATGCTGGATCATGGCTATTGTGGCATCTGGGTCGAAGGATGGATCGCTAGAGGTTAGTCGGAGCAGGGCGTGTTTGGCACCGGACAGATTTCCGCGACGGACATGCCACCAGGGTGACTCCGGGGCGAAGAGGCAGCCGATTAGAATAGGGATGGGCCACACCCATTGCACCGCAAATGGGATACGCCAGGCCCATTGGTCTTCTCGTTGGATTGAGCCACGGTTTACACCAACGGCAATGAACTGACCGAAGACCCAGCACATGTTTATGAAGGTGGTCAGGTATGGTCGTAGCACCACGGGACAGACCTCCGATGCATACGCTGCGGGTAAAGTCTGGAACACGCCCCATGGAATACCAGCGAGGATCTCAGCTGCGAGTAACATTTGGACGTTGACAGCGAAGAAGAAAAGAAATATCACACCGGTCATGGCGGTTAATGCGGAGACCATGGTCCAGCGGTAGCCAAGTCGTTCCGAGACAAGACCGTTGATTAAAAGGCCAATTACCTCACCAACGCGGGCTCCGTTAGATAAAGCGGACTGCCAGGAAGCTGGGACAGTCCATTTGCCGTTGTCCGCTTGCCTCCCAAATTTCTGGTTGAACGCTGGTGAGGCATACATAGAGCTGAGTAGGGCTAGGTCGTAGCCTTCCATGATGAGGGTCGAGGATAATAGAACTGACCACCCGACGGCCTTGGGATACAAACGGATCGCCTGCCATAGAGTCATAGATTGCTCTTGCTGAGCGGCTTGTTTGCCATGGACCAGCGAGGGCTTTCCCTGGGCATCCTCGTGCGCTTCAATGACGTCTGGAGTAGTATGGTGGGTGTCAGGCGCGAAAGCAATGCTCAGATGCTTTCCATTAGGTGGGAAAGTGACAAAACTTGGAGGCCTTGCGAACATGGGTGATGTAGATAGTTATATGTTCTGCAGTCTATCATCTGACGAGAATCTAGCCCTGGAGAACTGGGGTGCATGCGAAAAATGGAGAATCTGGGGATCCCCACAGAGCGCGGGAGTATGGTTCTGATTGGCTGGCCGAGCACATATCGGGCCATAGCCGGAGGCAAAACGGAGTCTATACGGGGGCAAGCCGGAGGCTAGTCGGAGCAAGAAATCTGTGGAATACTGTATAAAGAGGAGTTCGACGGTAGCAAAATCAATTTTGCACCAGTTCACACAGATATCATGTCGCCGCATGCCGTGCATACCGTCCCTTCTGGGGAAAATAACTGGTGGAAGGAAGCCACCGTGTACCAGGTAATGACCTTCATCACCTGCCGATGAAAGGGACGCTCACCCACCGAAATAGGTCTACCCTGCCTCGTTCAAAGATTCCAATGGAGACGGCTGGGGGGATATTCCTGGACTAATCTCCAAAGTCCCCTACCTACACTCGCTAGGCGTGGATGTTGTCTGGTTATCACCCATGTATGATTCTCCTATGCATGACATGGGCTATGATGTGTCCGACTATGAAAATGTATTACCAGCTTATGGTACTGTCGGAGATATTGAGCGACTTATAGACGCCTGCCATGAGCGGGGCATGAAATTGATCCTGGACCTGGTTATCAACCACACTAGCGATCAGCACAAATGGTTCCAAGAGAGTCGCAGTAGTAAAGATAACGACAAGAGAGATTGGTACTTCTGGCGCCCACCTCGGTATGATGAAGATGGAAATCGATTGCCCCCGAGTAACTACCGCGGGTACTTCGCCGGTAGCACTTGTACGTATTGTTTTTACCAGGGTTCAGAGACGAATCACCAGCTAACAAACTTCCAGGGACATGGGACGAACACACACAGGAGTATTATCTCCATCTATACGCCAAAGAGCAACCCGACCTGAACTGGGACAACGAGGCGGCACGAAAGGCCATCTATGATAGTGCGGTCCGCTTCTGGCTAGACAAGGGTGTTGATGGATTCCGCGTCGATACTGTGAACAAATACAGCAAGCACACGAACTTCCCAGATGTGCAGGTTACTGATCCCAAAAGTTATATCCAGCCCGCAATCCAGATGTGGTGCAATGGGCCTCGGATCCATGAGTTTCTGCGAGAGATGTATGACGATGCCTTGCAGCCTTATGGGGACGTGGTGACCATTGGGGAGCTAGCCAATACACCTGACCCCGAGCATGTCTTGAAGTATGTCGGTGCGTCCGCTAAGCAACTTAGCATGGTGTTTCATCTGGACATCGGCCATATCGGTATGGGCAAAAGTTTAGAGGACAAGTACATTTTCAACCCGTGGAAGCTGACAGAGATGAAATCCATCGTGACCAAGTGGCAGTCCTTCATTGAGGGTACTGACGGGTGGACGACAGCGTTTTGTGAAAATCATGATAACGGTCGCTCAGTGTCACGATTTGCGTCGGACGCTCCTGAACACCGCGAGCGATCGGCTAAAATGCTGGCTCTGATGATGATGGCCATGACGGGGACCCTGTTCCTTTATCAAGGCCAAGAAATCGGCATGATTAACGCCCCGCGCGACTGGTCAGTCGACGAATACAAGGATATTGAAGGTCGCGGATACTACGAAGAAGCAGAGCGACAGCTTGCGGCAGGTGTTGATGCAACACGTAAGGATCGCATTATGGACGGACTGCGGATTCTGGCACGCGATCATGCCAGACTGCCGATGCAGTGGGACGATTCACCCCATGCTGGTTTTACCACGGGGACCCCGTGGATGCGCGCCCATGATTTGTACCCCGAAATCAATGTACAGAAACAGTGGGATAACCCGGAGAGCGTGCTATCCTTCTGGAGGTCCGTACTGCGGCTGCGCAAGGAGTACCGAGAGGTGTTCATTCACGGAGCATTTGAGGTTGTGGACTTTGACAATCAGCAGACTTTCTGCTTTATTAAGTCAAGGAATGAGAAGAAAGCACTGGTTGCGTTGAATTTCACGACCGAAAACCAGCCATTTACACAGGCCGCGACGACAGAACAAATGAAGCTGCTGGTCAGCAACTATGCGGAGCCATTGCCTGAGACATTGCAAGCGTTTGAGGGTAGAATTTATATCTCACAGTGAAAGCCTGGACATCATATCGAAGCCATTTGTCCGAATTCTTCTTACAGATAGGCGAGGTCAAGGATAGATTGACGTTGAAGATGAGTGTGGGGAGGGAAATTTTCACTTAAAGTGTTCATTTTTATAGCTGCCTGCCTGACCATGTGACCGAACCCACGATACCAATTGAGAGAATAATAATGGACAAAGTAGATACGCACAGTGTGCTATGGGTCAGCATTCTAGACATTACTATTTTTCCATTCAAACAACAAAGAATAAAGCGCTTAGCTAAGTTAATTATAGAGTTATCAGGTACAAGCTAAATACAACTAATTCACCGCCATTGCTCATCACGCACCAGGTGCTCGTCACTATCCTGCCTTATAACGTTATGATCCGAACCCTGCGACTTCTGTCGACCATCAACCATATACTCCAGCTGGACACTATTCGTGACCAATATCCCCTCATTGAAAGGCGGTTGCCGTGAACCACCCAACCTCCCCTCAGACGCACCGTGGCTGTAATATGTGGGATAGCTCTTCTCGACTCTTCGTCGCAGGGTATATAAGGTAGGCACATTGGCGACGAATGCCGCGAGGAATTCCTCCACGGATCCCCAGGTGTTTCGGTTCAGCTGAGAGGTGTTATCATCGAAAGATGGAAGGCGGACGATGGCTATCGCAATGAGAAGTAATCCGATTGCAAATAGTCCGACCAGTTGCAGACGGCTATAAACTGGATTAGCAAATAATAGTAACAACAGCTAGTGGTAACCTACCGCATCCATGATGTTTTGACCCTGAGTAGCCATGGCATGGGTAGTATCATTAACATTGTGTCCGTCGAGATGTTCATAGAAATAAGAGTGACGAGTTGAGTATGAGCTTCGATACATGAACCTGTATCGATGTTAAAGACTGGCGACTAACCAACCCAACAATTATTGGCGGGCTCCGGACGTACCTGGATCCGGCATAACTTGCCAGTAAAGATACAGAGGTCGACAGTCGGTAAAGGTAGTGATCTGGACCGCCGCAAAGCTGGCAACGAGCAAGGCCCAGCATGCTCTAACCATCCGTTCAGGCCACGGAAGACCAGAGAGGATTCGCTGGCAGAGAAGTAAGACTACAGCCTTTTGCAGCCAAAGACTGACGATGTTGACGTTAGTATGAATTAAGCGTGAAAGCGAGCCGGACGTACTAGACATTGTATACCAGACGGTTAACCACCGTCAGTTTGCTGCCGACCTGGCGACGGTAGATTTCAGTCGAGCTCAGATCTGCAACATGCCGATCCATATGGTTGTTTCCCCAGACCAAGATGACTGTCGCGAATGCAGAGCGGGCCAGGACCAGACTAATGCAAGCGATAGTGAGATAATCACTGAGAATCAAATGTTGACCGCGACACCTCCGCATTACCAGGCGCAAAAGCATTAACGCCTCACTCAGGGCGCCAAATACGCCCACCAGCACGATGGCTGCCGTTGAATGCATGGGTATCTCGAAGTTCGAGTGTGACCATCTTTGCCCTGAGGGAGTGGGAAGGGAAGGAAAGATTTTTTCGTATCCCTGCCGGTCGTTTGTTTCATTACATGCATCATCGGTGGTTGATTGTCATTATGGCTATGGAAGGATTAGGGCCCCTGACACTGGCGTTTCCATTCTAATCCCGAGAGAGTTAGAACTGAGTCAAAAGTTCTCAAAACTCGTATACGATAAACCCTATCGGTTTTTTGTTTCCGATGCAAGCCCACTTTTGGGCTGTCTCGTGAGGCGAGTCATTTGATCTGATGAAGCCATGTCCTCAGTATCTTTATCTAGTCATGTATGTGAAAATGGTAGTTTTCCATAAGACAAAAGAAAGATACCGAAAGTAGAGAAAGAAAGAAAAATCACGATCGTCCCAGCGTTACAATTTTCTTATTTACCTCAATGACCGATCCCTGCTCCCGACACCTTGACCTTATTAAAATTCGGGCATGGAAATTCTAGACTCAGGTCCGGAGCCTCTGGCCAACAAAAACGGTCGTTTCCATTCGTTGGTCAATTGACATCGGGACCAAGATGCCGTTAACAAGAGAAACAGTGGAGGATCGGCGTCGACGGTCTGACACATTAGCGTGTTCTCCCCCTTGTCCTGCCCCGGAATTCATTTATATTTGGAACCGTTCTGTTCCGCCCCATGGGCTCGACCGACCAACCGGGCTAATCACAGATGACGCCCCCTTTCCCACGTTTCCCCTTTGTTCCTTCGATCTTGGACTCGCCTGCCATGCCACATGTTTGCCAAGCCTTCGCAGCCGTTATCTTGGCCTCAATGCTTCTTCTTTCACGTGTCGTACATGGCGTTGAAAAATTCTCCAAAGTAGCGCCTCATTTCAGGGATTATTTCTATGTTGGTGGGGAGTATGTCCATGTCAGTGGTAGTACCGGGGGGACTTACTTCCATAATCAGATGTATGTGGAGAAGTTATCGCCAGTCCATGAGCATGTGCAACCATATCCCATCGTTTTTGTTCACGGTGGTGGTCAGAGCGGGACGGTGAGCTTTACGTTGTCCCGGTAGCCATTTAAGTGTACAGAGTAAGACAGCCCCTAACAACACTAGAACTTCCTCAATAAACCTGACGGCAGCCCAGGATGGGCATCTTGGTTCCTTAACCATGGCTATGTCGTGTATCTCCTCGATCGAACGTTAACCGGTCGATCCCCGATATTGCCGGGGGATGATGACCTGAGCCAGACTGCCTTCTCGGCGGAGTTCATCTCGCAGCGATTCACTGCCGTGCAGAAGTATCCCCTATGGCCCCAAGCCAAACTGCATACCCAATGGCCCGGCGTAGGTGCTAGCAGCAACCTGTATCGGCCATCTGTCCTCCACTGACATGAGCGACCGCAGACAGGTGAAATGGGCGATGCATTCTTCGACGCGTATTACATGAGTACTGTCCAATCCGTCTCCGACAGTCAAATCCAAGAGGAGACCATGAAAGCCGCCGGCGAGAGGCTTCTCGATCGCATCGGCCCGGCAGTCGTCATCACGCATTCCCAAGGTGGGCTGTACGGGTGGTCATGGGCAGATAGTCGCCCGGGCCTGATCAAGGCCCTGATCCAAATCGAGCCGAAAGGCCCTCCATTCCGAGAGGTCATATTTTCAAGTGCGTACAGCCGCCCTTGGGGACTTACCTCTATCCCCTTAGCCTATGACCCGCCACCTACGAATCTCTCGTCACCCTTGACAATGAAGAGTGTACCCGCAGATTCACACGACCTGCTTCCATGTATCATTCAACAGGAGCCTTCCAAAAAGCTGCCTAATCTAGCGAGGGTTCCGATCTTGATTAGTACTGGAGAAGCATCATACCACGCTGCATATGATTATTGTTTCATCAAGTTTCTGCACCAGGCGGGGGTTCCCGCGGAACATCTGGAGTTGAGTCGTGTAGGGTTGAATGGAAATGGGCATTTGCACTTCATGGAAAGAAATAGTGATGATATAGCTCAAACACTGCATGAGTGGGTTGTTGTAAAGGTGAACGGCACGCTGTGAGATCCGCAAATGTGTAAACTAGCTTTGATGGCCCGGGATATGATTCGGATGCCTAACTCAGAGGTCACGAGATGGGCTAAGCAAACAACAGTTGTTTAATGACCCCCATAATGATATCATTATGACTTTGCGCATGGGAAGTATAGGCCTTCAACGTTTAGGCTATAGGGACTAGGAAACCTTACCTTGATAATCCACGGAGTCATTGCCTTTGCTAAACACAAAAATGAACAAGCGTCATGTCATGGGCAATAAATGAGTAGCATCAGTACCACTGTAGGCTATGACTACATCTTGTATGTATCAAAGTGCATTTGCTATACTCTTCAGCATAGACAGGGTCGCCAAATCAAAGCATATTTTCAAACTATCGTTGCCTGACACTGTCAATTGAATGTCATATTCATTTCCATATACGTCACATAGTAAAGCAATTCCTCGGACCATCCTTATCGCGATAATCCAACTCGGCCAACAGTGCACAGACAGCAACAACTCTAAAGCTCTTAAGCTCACCGTATACCTCCTTGCGGCGGCCGGAATCGCTCACGTGGGTGCCATGATAAAGACACGCCATGGATAGCTCTAAGCTATTAGGATCGGGGTCCTGGACCCCCTGTCGGCGCATGATGTTTGTGGCCCATGTAGCAATCCTATCAAACTCCTCGTGGAGTTTATCTGATCGGTCACGTTGGCGGCGGGTCTGTACACCCCGTCTGTTAATGATAGACCCAATGACCACCTCTAACTCACTGATAGGCTTGGTTGGATGATCAGAATAGGTATCCATTGTCGAAACAATAGCATCTTCGTAGCTTTTGTGGAAGATAGCGCTATCAGCAGTGTAATTCAAAAGTCATTGACGATCAAGTCTTAATCTTACGCTGCTCGTATCCGCTTTGCTTCGTCAAGATGCTCCTCTTTTGGGGTTCGTGACAAAGACTTGCACCTTGTGAGGCAGTCCACAATCACACTATTCCAAAAATATTCGTCATTCGTAGCAGCTTCAGAAAGGACGTGTTTGCGCCAGATGTTTTGCTCATCGATGGCCCTGAATAGCTTTCCAAGGATCTTTTCTGACTTATAGTAGCGGTAGGGCTCCTCGACATCATCATCGTTGTCATCATAGTTCGCATGCGAAACATGCTGCTCAAGGCCGATCTTGGATTTATTATAGAGGCGTGTTTGGGGTCCTGGCGCCAGACTAGATGTTCTAATTGTTAGATCCGAGAGAAATAGTAGAATGCTGCAAAGAAGAAAGCTTACAAGTCTGGTCGATAGCGGTTCGCTCTAGGCATATCCATCATATTGACAGGAATTCCAGTTTTGGAAAAGTCCACGGCTTTCGAATGTAGCCCGGCCAGGACGCGGCATGAAGCATCCCTGGTTCCCGATTCAGCCTGATCCGCCATGATCATATGGCGGATAGCAATCATGCCAAGGATATCGGACCGCATGAATTCCACAAAGAATGCAGCCATATCACCTACCTCCACTACACGCCCTATGTCAATAGACGTGGGACGCGGGTAATCTGCAGGCGCAAATGTCTCAACGCTCTCCAGGTCGGGGTCCCAGATAACATGATACAAATCACCATCAAGATCCCCCCCACTCAACTTACTAGGCAGGTCCCGACTTCCTTTCTGGCTGAATACAATACAATTCCGATGGTACCTTAAAGGATGGTCTTCTGGGGGTAGAACGTTTTGGGCGCGTTGAATATCACCACAGTGAAGCGCAGGCGACCGAGTCACCAAGACATGCCCAGGCCCGGGAGGCGCCGCGTATTCCCCTGCCATACGGTCAAATGTCACATAAACCTCGCCTTCTTGAAGGAAAGCTGTTTCATCTATAACCCCATAAAGTGTCATGCCTTTTTTCACGGGGATACGCGCTTTATGCTTCAGGAGCCGGAGCTCCCTAAGAACCACCGCCTCGACAATGGCACGGAGGAAACCGTCGTTCTTATAGTTCAAGCGTGTCCAGTAACATTGACGGTAGAGTCGATACAGACCAATGCACTCGCCGACTCCCTTGTCCTTAAGAAACCTTGCTGTCTTGTCTGTACTGACGGTGATCGATTGAAGGCGCGTCAGCTCCTCGTTCTGCATTTGAAAAAACCAATCCTGAGGGGCACCCATGTCCTCCAAGATCTTGATCACTTGACGATTCAAAACCATGGGGTAAGGTCTGGATGCCATATTGCAGATCTCCAGGTTCTGCATATCCTCACTATCGAACTTGATCATTGACGGGCGGATTTGAATGACTGCAGAGAGCAATCGGGTATCGACAGCAAGCATACCTTTCGCCCCACCTAAACGGATCTGGAAACATGTAGGGTTTCCTCTTTTGAGTGGTATGTCGGCCCAAATACTTGCCACCACCTCTTTCGAAATAGCCCCGACCCCATCACTGAAGACCCGTGAATCGTCCGGCGACATCAGATCCGGAATCGTTGAAACTCGCACCCGATGCTTTTCTAATGGAACCATGAAGGGCGTTTCAGTGAAAGCCTGGCCGATTCTAGCTGCGCATCGTGCCGGTGACGTTATATGTGAGAATTTGCCGATTGCACTGATGATCGAAAAGTATGTTTGCATATGACCATTATCGTCGACAAATGGAGATGAGAACTGTGGGCTGAGTTAGTCTCTTCCTATATAAATTATCTATAGACTGGGAAATTACCCAAACTGTGTGAGATCGCAACGAGGAATGTGAAAACCCAAGAAAGTTATATGTGCGACCGGCGATCTGGATCCCCTTTGTCATGATGTCTTTGAACCGCCCAAAGATATCCTTGAAATCCACTTTTGCATTGAAAAGCAAATCTTCTCCATTCTCGTCGCAGAACTGTACACGTATAAAGTACTCGTGATGGTTGGGAAACTTACGCAGAATCCGATTTTGCGGTTCCATTTCCGGCCCATGCAATGTAATCCGCGTGGGGGTCACATTGACCCGATGGACTTTTGTCATGTTCGCTGTGCTCTCATGAAGCCCTTCACGATAGGCGAAGCGTCTTGTATCTCCCTGTTGGTCTCCTCAAGCGTCGTCAGAAGAGAGTCTACCGCATAGCCCCATGGATCATCTCCAGGAAACGGCCAGCCGATCATATTAAAAAGCTTTCTGATTCCTTCCACGGTGATAGAGTCTCGTCCTGCTGCCTTATCCTCGGCGAATTTTATGCGTAGCCTTTCAGTCAAGCGGCGAGTAGTGGTGGGATGCAGGTATGCATTTTGTGCCAATGCCTGCAGCTGGAAGAGAGCCCCAAATGGCATATATCTATTGCGCGTACATTCTGCTAACTCAGTCAGGAGTTTACGAAACTCAACTGAGGCTGACTGTGAGGATAAGAGGGACCCTGCTGGAGCCAGATTGTAACGATAGATGGTTATGTCCCAATCTTTGAGTTTTTCTATTTTCGCCCTGAAGTCCACTGCAGAAACTTTGAACTGATATACCAAGCACTGCCCAACGATCTGATCGTGCCCGTTCCCTAGACTAGACAAACGTATCCGATTAGAGGGCAAGCCCACTGGTTCGTCGCAAGTCTCTAGTACTTCAAAGAAGAAGGGCACATCAGAGAGGGTAACTGTGAGAGTACCTTCAATAGAGTATATCAAGCTAATAATGGTGGCAAGGGGTATTCGAATTCGACATTTGGGAAATACGTTGACGATCAACGATCGCGTCTTGAATTTCACAGTTCCTCTGGCTGACCATTGAACCTCCGGACTGTATGCCAACTGGTCCCCGACAAAGTCACATCTTCCGCAGCTGTATTGCTGCAGCTCCAAAACGACAGACTCTTCTTGTCGCTCTCGGTATCCCATTGCCCTTTCTTGGGCCTCGTGCTCCATCGTCCGCAATGCGAATGGCTTTGGTGGAAATCTGCTTGGTTTGCAGCACACATCAACTCCCATAAGATTCAAACTCGACTTTGGGGCCCGGTGGAGAGGACTAAGCGGATTCTGCTTTTCGCCATATGCCTGCAGAAATCTTTCTCCATCGCCGACGTGCAGAAAGGTAATAGTGCCAAACCATTTCTTCCTGGGCTTCTCGCAAATAAAGTCTTGAATTTGGAGATTCTTCATGAAGGGCTGAAGTTCGCGTTTGAACCCATGCCGATTAAGATCCGCTGGGACACGGTGGAGAAAGACTTCCATCTTGGATATAGTATCGAACGAAGGAATAGCTTGCGGACGAGGATATGGCAGAGAATCACGGGTGATAAACAAGGTTGATCAAGCGGTATCATTATTGATTGAACAGTTGTGGGGGCGAGAGGAGATGACCTGGTGAGGAGCAAACAGATGACCAGATGTCCTATTGGTTGCTGTGGATAGCAGGGTACCTATTAGCCCGGTACCTTGAAGTGAATCAGTAGGTACTTGTCCCAGCTCGTCTTGATTGGCGGTCTGATCTCACCTTGGCTAACACTAATACTAGCTGACAATCAGTGCTCTTCTTCCATATGGCTATTTTGCAGAAAAGACAATAGTGGATGATGAGCAGAGGTCCGCAGAGATTTTGGGAGTGAAACACCTCTCCTGCTTGTTATTGTTCACGTAAGACAAGCTGGCCAACACTAGACCAGGGAAAAGCAAAAGTGACATAAGATAAACTTGGGCGAAAGCAAACGTGCAGTGCTACCCATTGTCACACATGACTTGCTTTCTCTCGCCTCTCCGTTTGTCTTTTTTTTCCCTTCTTCTTTGCCTTTCGGGAATAACCAGATCTACTATAATATATGGCGATGATTGCTTCGTTTGTTGCATGACAACGCAATGCGTGCAGTGAGCTCTTGGTCAATAATTTGACTTGACGCTGCATAGACCTAAGCACAAAAGGTATAAGCATATATTTACGAATGCCACAGTAATATTACAATACACTCCTTACGCAGGCGGGAAATGAATTGTAACTTTGACCTGGAAAGCAAATTAAGTAAAGTAAAAGAGAGAGAGAGAGAGAGGGCGGAGAAGAAGACGGCGGAGTAACTATTAGAACAGTGATGGGACGGGATATGGCAAGGTAGAAGTCGTGATTAGTGTCTTCCTTCCAACATTCCTATCCTCGTGGAAACCACAAGGGTTCTCCAATCGTCGACGGTTTGACAAAATTCCCACGACGGAAGGCAAATAGTCTAGAGAAGCGTTGCTCAAGAATGTGTATCCCAGCTTCTCGCAACTGTAAAGCTTCAACCTGCTGAAACCTGAATATAATATAGCATGCATCCCAAAACGTCGCCGACAAAAGCGCAAATAGAATCACGATGCGTGCTGAAGTGTAGCCAAGCAGATCAAATGCGCAGAATAATGCACCGACGCAGAGAATGATCAGCATCAGAGTCACAACAAATTCTTCAAGTTTCCGACAGAAGGGAGATTTAGAATCTTCTACCATACTGGATAGTTTTACAAGAGCGGACGGTGGAGGGAAATTCTCAACGATGATAATGGCGAGATTGACTGCATAATCGTGACAGTTCCAGAAGATCGCACTATATCTTGGTAGTGCATCTGTGGATCGGTCCACTCGAAGAAGCTCTTGTGCTTATATCAGGAACTTGTAGTCAGCCTCTACTTCCTTATGATTATGTGAGGACATTGTCCCCGATCAAAGGAATTGAGCGTCGGCTTACATATATAATCTAACTCACATAGGCACATCCTTGTCTTCCCGATAAACTCTAGGGCGCGAACTATCTTCAGTTCGGGCTTTGGTATTTTCCTTCCAGGCCCTGAAATTGCCAGCACAGAATACGTGCCTTTATGGTTGTAGATCGTGCCTTCGGCCAATTTGTCAATCAGCGTTCGAGTCTTGTCCGAGCAAAGACCGGAGGGTATAACAATCACGCCCATATGCTGAACAAATTGGAACGGCCTGGTTGAGATCTGGGGAATACCCAGAGCATTCAGACTCTTCAGGCTGTCCCAATCCACCTGAGCTGACCGTATGTCGATTAAGCTGTTTGCAAAGATAAATACATCTTGTGTTCCTGCCAGCCAAATATCACATTAGAGCTCCTTCTGACACATCAGGTTCCAACCGCACCTGAGTCGTGGTCTGTATTATGACGTCCATCTGATCCGGCCTGCGCGGGGCAACGGCAGCAAGTTGTCCAGCAACCGACATTGTGGATCATCCTTATCACTCAGAGGGCATCTTTCTTGGAGCTTTGGGTGGTAGCAGCAGAGAGAATCGTTAGCATCTCTATAAGATCAGCGGACGAGAATCACCTCGGGACATGCATTTACTACTTTAATCTGTTGGGCGCAGGCCTAGTGAAACCGTCATGAATTGTTAATTCACATGCAATTTGAGGTTTACTCTGTACTTGTGTGTTACATGTCAAGCGGTGTGACTCTGCGCTTTGAGAATGTTGACATTGGTGCCGGTAGGTCTCGCCCCCTGTCGAGATGGAAGAGGATGTCTCACGCTGCCTCGGAGGACTATGTTCCAATGATTTACAAAGGGCTTGCATTTACTGATATATCTACAGCACAAAGTATTGCATAATGAAGGCATCGAATTGAAAGTTAAATTCTGCGCAGCTTAAAGAAACCTGCTCGCACCCGAGATCTTTCTCTCGCTGCCCGATATGTCCGAGAAGCATGTGGGTCGGAATATCAGATTGGCACCGGTGTCTATTGCCACACAGTATACGACAACGACAATTATTTATGGCATTCATGGCCAGATGTCTATCAAGGTTGTAAAAATGAGGACGTGAAATTAGCCGAAGACAAGCTTAGTCAAGTGATGTAATAAACCGACTTGAAATTTTCTTCATGTTCTTCGCTGAGTCGTTTGGCATTTATCTGTTCCAGATGGATGGCAGATATATAACTCAGTACAACCACATGATTCCTCGGTGTGAGATGTACGACAACCCCAAAGCCATAAGCTACAGGATACACATCGAAATCCTAGAGAGTGAGCACTTTGCGGCCAGAAACTGACCCCATCGCGCATTATACAGTCCATCAAAGCTCAGTGCGGGTTGGAATTGTGTACGTAGTGTTGAGGAGCTCCAATATTTGACAGCCTGAAGCTTAAGGCAGTTACACGCGTTACCACGTGATGCTATTCCATATGACGTCACGCGTTTACAACCACGGGGTTTTGTTCTTCTACTAACAGTTTCTACTAACATTCTGGCAGACTACTACCGATGCTATGTACTATGTGCCATCTGTATCTGATGCTCCTGTTTGATTTCCTATCATTCTCGCATGCAAGAAAATTGACAACATTGCATCATGAGCCAGGTATAGCAACTCGGATACATCATCGACCCTGACGCGTGACATTGGAAGTTGTATTTTGCTGTGGCTGAGGAAACTCATCTAGCACCTTTTCCTTTCCACTGACTGTGAATGTGGCCGACGGGAAGTCCTGTCCGACATCTACCTCCAGCTTATAGGACCCCGGATACAGCACCAGATCTCCGTTCTCAGCAGTCCTGGCAACGGAACCCACCGAAACATCCAAATTGACTTGCTGGCTCTGTCCGGGTTTAATCCCCTTCGCGCGACTGTATCCCACCAGTGTCTTGATAGGATAAGGCTCCGGCCCGACTCCATCAGCGGTCAAGAATAACAAGGCAACGTAATCCGATGTCACCTTCCCTGTGTTCGTCACCGTGATAGAGAAAGTATCAAAGAGTTCCGTATCAATCGGTGCATTAGTAGCACCATGTGGTACAGAATCTGTGTTGTACGGACCATACTCGTCGTGATCCCATGACACATTGAACGTTGTATAGTGGAGACCAAAGCCGAACGGCAGCACTGCCTGGTCATACCATCGGTAGGTTCTTCCTGGGTTCTTAGATCCTGGACGAAGGGTCATGTCTGTCATGGGGAGTTCGTCCACATAGCTGGCAGGGTACTGTGTTATCGGGAGACGCCCAGCAGGTGCTGATTTCCCTGTTAGAATATCGAAGATGGCTGCGCCACCCGCTTGACTGGGATAACCTGCCCACAGGAGTGCGCCGACACCAGCATTTGCAAGGAGGGAGGAGTCGTCCACTTGTCCACCGCCAAACTGCACCACTATTAATGGTTTCTTTAGGTCGGACAACTGTTCGATCAAATCCAGCTGATTTCCGGGCCACACAATAGTTGTGCGATCCAACGTCTCTTTCTCAATTGTGTTATCTATGCCGCCCGCATAGATTACAATATCTGCTTCTTCGGCGGCGGAGATGGCTTCTTCGAAGCCGGCTGAGCTGTTTGAGTTAATATCTGTGCCTTGAGAGAATCTAACCTTGTATCCCTTGTGTGCGGCTGCCCAGATCAGCGTCCTAATGTATCTTGGAGGTCCCTCGTAGTTTCCCTGCAATTGGTTGGTTGCGTTCGCAAACGGGCCAATTATTGCTACCGTTCCGTTGTTCTTCAGCGGGAGGGTTCCATCGTTCTTGAGCATAACGATACCTTCGACCGCTGCCTTGAGGGCAAGTTCCTCGGCGGCTGGCGTGAACACGTCGTTCCACCCGATCGATCGGTAGGATTGGCCCTCTGCAGGGTCGAAATAGCCGAGCTTTACCAGAGATGAGTATAGTCGTATGAGCGCCTGGTCCAATGTCTGATTGGCATACAAACCCTGCTGGAGTGCACTGCCCAGATATTCCGGGAAGACAGACCCGCAGTCCAGGTCCGTTCCGGCGTTCAGAGCAGCCGCGGCAGCATGGGCACCATCGGCGACGTAATGATGGTCAGCGTAGATGTTTTCAATTGCGCCGCAATCACCGGTGACCCAGTGGCCAGTTTGCTCCCATCCCCAGTGCTCACGGAGGAGAGTCTGCAGCAGCCAGCGATCTGCGCAGGTGGGGATGCCGTTTAAGGAATTGTAACTGCACATCACGGCGTCGACTTTTGCATCGCGCGTGCATGTCTTGAAGGGAGGAAGATAATACTCGGATAAATCCTGAGAGGATACAACGGCATCGAATGCGTATCGCTCGATCCCTTCCCAGTTTTCCATATCATACGCTGCGAAATGCTTGCACGTTGCGACTATCTTGGGTCTATCAGGCCCGATGCCATCCTGAAGTCCATCCACCAGATGGTAGACATACCGAGAAAGATGCAACGGATCTTCTCCAGGAGTTTCTTGGCCGCGGCCCCATCGCGGGTCACGGAATGGATTAATATTGGGTGTCCAATAATCGAGACCTGCATGGCCACTGTTTCCGAACGCTCGAGCCTCAGTGCTAATGACCGTGGCGACTTGCTTGATAAGGTCATCATCGAAAGCAGCACCGAGAAGAATGGGCATTGGGAAGGAAGTCGCGTAGCTGAAGTTCCCGCTCTCGGAAAATGACACACCTAGGCCGGCAGCTACTCCATGGAGGGCCTCGTTCCACCAGTTATAGGCAGGTAGGCCCAGTCTAGGTGCCCCGGACGATTCGTACCTGGTGTTGTTGATTTTCTCCTCAAGAGTCATGGCCGCCACGAGTGATTTGGCCCGAGATACAGGGTCGAGTGATGTGTCGCAGACATTGTTGTTGCTTAAGGGGCCGCTGCTACAATCTGGAAAGATGCGCTCGGTCGAAGCCAGGGATGTAAAGAGCGAAAGTGCGGCAAGAGGCTGCAAGAGGGGATAGAGGTGCACCATCTTACTGAGCGCCTAGTGTGACTACCTCTGACCAAGGCATGACGAGAAGATGCAAAGCCGCCTTTAAATGCCCGCAACCTGAGGGCACTCCTGTCAATTGAACTTACCGTTGGGAAATGAAGGATCATGCAATACTGCCTTGACACAAAACCGGCTGATATCCATGCTCACATAGTAGTTATGCATCGCTCTGGCGATGGACAAACTCTTCACCTGGAGAGCTGTTTGTCCTTCCGCCAATCGCAGAAAGTAGATGGCTACCCGATAACCTTGTCAATATGCAAGCAATTAGCCTGAATTTCAACTCCTTGCGGAGAATGCAGATCAATGTGCGGAGATACTGCGGAGACAACTACGATTTTGCCGTATTTGCGTATGAGATGGGACTAAATGTTGTCCGACAATGCCCTCCTGTTTGATGTATATCTTACAATCTCATTCGGAGTACGAAGCTCTGCTACACATTCACCACCGTGTCATGTCACATTTATTATTATATTGTTGAGGTATATATACAATGTCAGATGAACATCAAATCGCATATCGAAACTCCGGATTCTCCCGATCGGTTAAATCCAAGAATTCATGATTCTCCGGTATGACATACGCATCACCAAGCGCCTCCTTTTCTTGGTCCCTGCGGCGATTTTCCCGGATCGACAGCCAGCGAATTAGGCAAAGGTCCAGCGTGACAAGCACGTACAAGATGACGATGGAGATCTTGGCAGGCAGATACTGCGGGGCATCCTTCGCCTGGAAGGTCTGCGGCGAAATAATATTTCCGACCGTGTAGGCGATGGTCTGGATACATGAGACAGTGATTTTCTTTGTTGATCCAGCGATGTTGGTACTTGTGAGGCCCAGGATAGTGGTCCACCCGATTGGAATGCCGCCTGTGAGATAGTAGCCGACGAGGGCGGGGGCCTTGTCTGTTGTTGCCATGAGAATGGCACCCACGATCGACGGGATGTGACCGATTATGCACCAGAGGAGTCGCTGTTCAGTTTTCATAGCGAGGTAGGTCAGCCCGATGAGGGCGACAACCTCATAGGCACCTAAAGGTGTCACAAGAAGGAGACTCTTTGTTTGCGAATAGCCCATGCCGGTGACGAGAATGTTCCCGAAACTAGTCGCGATGGAGTTCGGTACATTGGCACCCAAAACCCAGAAGGAATACAGCCAGGTGTTCGGGTCTTTAAGCGCTTCATACACCTGGGCTTTCTTGAACACGTTACTGCCGATGCCCTGGACGTTGCTTCGCAGGCGCTCTGCGTGTAGGGCCTTCTCCTCCGGAGATAGAAACCCAGCTGTCACAGGCGAATCTGGCAGGATGAAGAAGAACAAGATGCCAATCACGACAGTGAACAGTCCCAGGATGAGGAAAATTACCTGCCATCCGCGAAGAGAAGCGGTAGGATCGCCACCGATATGAATGGCTACACCGTATGCGATATACCCGCCGAACATTTGCGCAAAGCCACACATCGAGAACCACAATCCGACCCGAAAAGCCTGTTCCTCCTTACGATACCATTGGGACGTGAACACCACCCAAGCCGGTACCACCGCGGCTTCGGCAGCACCGAGCAATGTACGGCATACCATCAATGCAGCAAAAGAATGGCACGCGGCCATGCATGCCAGTATCGTGCCCCAGACCGTCACATTGAAGGCGACGTATCGAGCAAGGGGAAATGCCTGGATAAGACGGGTCGTCGGGAATTGGAACGCCAATTGACCGAAGAAAAACATGCTGGAGACCCAATTGAACTGGTTTCCATGAAGATTGGCTGACTGCCGAAGACCAGTCACACTGGCGTAACTGATAGCGATTTTATCCAGATATTGCAGGAAATATACGACGCAGATCAGCGGCATCACGTACAGATCGATCTTGCGGACTAGTCGGTGCGAGGCCTCGGGGTCAAGAGTGCCGGCTTCACCACCCGCCGCGAGAAGCTGAAGCGCGCCATCGCCCTTGATCGTTGATTGACTAGTTGCTGACGATTTGATGTCGACATGTTTCTCATCTGTGGAAGGGGTCGTAGACGATGCCATTGTCGCAGTGATGCTCTCCCAGTACGCAGCGTGGGAGAAACAGAAACCAGTTGTAAATTTATTTTCATGGCAACTGTGGAGCGATACGACGCTTTAAATCGGCATCTGGAATTTCTTGGCTCTAGTGTCGTATTGCGATGAGCATCCGTGGGGCGAAAAGCACGCCATCGTGTTGACTCTTATCACATTGATAATAACACTACCCGCTCTGACTCACTGACGGCTTCTATGACATGAGGTTATTAACAACCTATCCATGTTTGGAGATGATATTTAAGGTCCAAAGACTAATATAGTTAGCCCAACTTAAATTAGGTCAGCATTGCACGGACCGCTGCAACTGGCGCATATACCACGACCCTAGAATTAAGTCCCCTTTCGTGTCACAGACTCACAATTGAGTAAAAGAGTTAAAGATCTAACGTCAGCATCAATAAACTATGAGCCGTGCAGACATTATTTCAACTTGGGCCGTCTCTGCCTGCCAGCATCAATGTCCACTGGGAGGGGCCTGTCGCAGACTGCAATAGATTCATGCTATGCTCATTGCTCGTCTGGACCTGCACCAAAATCGAGAAGCAGCTTAACAGTCGAGGGGTTGCAGATCCCTTGACTTTGAAGACTGAAAACCAACAGTTGCCTCCTATGACTTTATCGAGGTGAAATGAGACAGGTCACAAAGGACTATCCCTGGTCGCTGACCTGGCAGCCTGCAGCAGCTATATGGAGAGCTGTTTCATTTGGAAATGGTAGCCATGGGCGTATTGTTTTGTTCTTGGAACTACGAGCATATGATGTTGTTTATGGGGCTCACGTATGTATGTCTCTATATCAATAGTTAGATCCCGAAAGTCAATAGTCGTTCAAGAACACTTTATACATGCCAAGTGTTCTCACAAGCTCGGCTTAATCCCCTCCCGTGCGAGAAATTCCCTGATTCCATAAGGACCATAATACCTTCCATTGAGAGGTATTGCATCCCATAACTTGTACAGGATAGATACCATGCTAGTGCAGACAGGAAGCTTGTTTTCCATGGTCAGAAAAGTAGCAATATAATCCTCCTGCTCTTCCCGAACGGTAATACATGATCCGACGTGAAACAGTGACCAAAGGAGTGTTCCCCATGCGTAACTCGACGGCGGTAGGGTTTTTAATAGTCTTCTGGCTTCAGACACACAACACGAGATCTGGCCTTGAATAGGTGGTGACGGCATGCCTGGGCCATTGAGTGCACATCGCAGCGTTATAAGTAGGGCCATCTGCTGAAACATGGCAGCTGCTACCTCGGCTTCGTCAGGCCCATTGGGGGCCCCTGTCCCATTCCATGGCGCTGGTACTACCCATAGTAGGATCTGCTGTTCGAGGGAGTGGAACTCCGCAATGATATCTGGATCAAGATGTCGGGGAGAAGACAGGGCTGGTTTCTCAGCAAAAGCGCCGATTGATGGGATCATTTCAAACAGCTCGTACGCACAGCCGGAAGATCGCCCGCGATAATAAGCTCGGTATGAAAGTGGTGAAAGTTGTAAGGATTGGCTCTCGGTGGGCGTGTAGTTGCTGCTCTTTATGGGGCCAAGGCCAATATGACTGTTGACAGTACTAAGAAACATGTACTGCTCTGCGATGAAACATGCGCAATCCTCATCGACTGTGTCTAGTAGATTATTCTGAGACGCTAACAGGGCACAGCACGGTAGTAAGTGCTGCATCACTGTGCCCTTTGTATCTCCGTCTATTACCTGAAGTCTTAATTAATATACAGCACTTGAGAAGTCAGCCACATGCCGAAGGCAAGTGGTTATAATCCAGGATGAAGAGGAGCTCACCTCAAAATTACACAACGCTAGGAGCAGCAACACTATCACCACGGGGTTACGATTATACCCACTCCCATGCTCTGTGATTAGATACTTGACTGCCCGTAGCGCAACCCCATAATGGGAAAGCGCGACAATATGCGATTGTTGATCATCATAAGACAGATGAGAAGCGCTTATGGCAAAGACAACATGAAGGAATCCATCGTTTTGCTGCGCCAAAGGCAACATATAGGCGAGGAAAGGGTTATTAATGACATCTCTGACTACCAGTCTCTGTGCTGACCTCTCGATGTAATGCTGAAGTAGCCGTTGTTCACCCGATCTCCCACGGAGCCTAGGCCAAAGCGATAGGGCACGGTTCGGGGAGAGGGGACGCAGTGATGTCGTATTCTGGGACGGTTCGGAACAGTCGGACCCCGCGGACGCCGAAGCAGTGGTCGTCTTTCCCGAGCATGGCCAGGAGCAGAGCAAATGATTGCGTACACAGCCGCCGCAGATTGGTTTAGTCTCATCGCACTTGGTGTGCCGGACCCGACAGCTGAGGCACCCGGATTTAGTCCTCTTGGCATTCCTTCGTCTGTAAGGGCGAAAAGACCCTTCGTCGTTGGTGCTCTTGAATTGGAGGACCCCGTGCATGGTAGCTTCTGGCCAATCCTTTGCTTATTGGCAGTGGGGAGAGGATACAAGGGATGTCGTTGGATCCAATGTCCACGTTAATGGATGGTGAGTATGGATCACATTGCGCTAGTCCCCATATGGTTAGGCGATGGGCCCATAGATAACGTCGGTTATCCTCTTTTGGTATACCTTCACTTTGTCTCCAGCACGCAGTAGGTTCAGAAGGAGTTGATGAGCAGCTTGATACTAAGCACCACCCAGTGGGCCATTCTCGGTCCACTGTATTTCGAAACAACGAAATTGAATTGGTACGTGTCAGGTGGGTCCCAGTGCACCAGGTCCTCGTTCCGTAAAAATGGTGCTATATAAACAAACCGACCTAATTCCATCACTCTCCGTCGGCCATTCTATGTTTCGGAGAGAGTGCCAGATCTTGAGCTCTCCTATCGACACCATGTCACAAAAGCACCCCGAGTCTCCTCCATTTTTTGACTTCATTGTGACCCCGGAGACCACACAAACCGCTCCGAAACAGGACTGTGGAGTTCGGACTACAACGGTAAGCACAATTGCGTTGTCAAACAAGAAACAAGAATGAGAGGCCGGTTCAAAATCGAGAACTTGTGATAACACTACGTATTTGTATAGTCTCCCGCTATCAAAAATGCCCCTCTTCCTGCTGACGGTGCCGGAAACGACACATGGTCTAACCTCCTCCTCTTTTCCTTATTGATTGGTGTGCCCTGGTTTATATCCTACCAACTGGGCGGTGGCCTCTACTTCGCCATTTTCATTGCAGTATGCACCGCAATCCCTATCCTCATGGCCTTTTGGACGATTTTCTCCTCCATGTCCCCCCGTATGAATGAAAAGGCAAAGCTTCCGGGTCGGCCTGTTGAGTATTATCTCAATTTTCATAAAGAGAGCGATCGCGCCCGGTGGAATGGCAAGAAGAAAATCCCCATTGAAGTCTTCTACGAGAAGTATTTCCGTGGTGAGGTGGATTTCAAGAATGGGGATTGCTTGGAGAACCTCGAGTATCGGCATGATTGGGCCAGCTTCAGCTTTTCATGGGGCGTATTTAAGCATTTCCTGTTTGGGTTTGTACCTGAACTCATCGTTCATTCTCGCTCTCAAGGTACAAATAACCCCCCGCGGATTGATCTTAGCATTGCTCTTCGAGTGAGAGGCCAGTTTTAGGGAATGTATAGCTAACGCATGAACAGACGAGGAACAGGTGAGCGGCAATTACGATCGCGGCGACGATTTCTACGCATGGTTCCTCGGCCCGCGTATGATCTATACCTCTGGGCTTATTGGCGACATCAACAAGGAAGAATCCCTCGAACAGCTTCAGGACAACAAACTTACTGTAGTCTGCGAAAAAATCGATTTGCAACCGGGCGACACCATGCTGGACATCGGCTGTGGCTGGGGAACTCTAGCTACCTTCGCAAGTGTCCACTACAAGGCCCATGTCACTGGTATCACGTTAGGACGCAACCAGACGAAATGGGGCAACACTACCCTTCGCAACGCTGGTATCCCTGAGTCTCAAAGCAAAATCCATCGTCTGGATTATCGTGACTCTCCGCGGATTCCGGGAGGATACAAGAAAATTACTAGTCTTGAAATGTCGGAACATGTGGGCGTTCGCCATTTCCGCGGCTTTTTGAAACAGGTCCACGATATGTTAGATGATGACGGTGTCTTCTATTTGCAATATTCCGGTCTTCGAAAGTACTGGCAGTACGAGGACTTGATCTGGGGCTTGTTTATGAACAAGTACGTTTTCCCAGGAGCAGATGCAAGCACGCCTCTCGGATGGGTCATTGATCAACTTGAGGGAACGGGATTTGAGATCAAGGGCGTTGATACTGTCGGCGTTCATTACTCTGCTACCCTTTGGCGGTGGTATCGCAACTGGGTTGCAAACCGTGAACACGTGGAGGCGAAGTATGGTCCGAAGTGGTACCGAGTAAGTGTTTGATTCTATCTGTACTTGGAATCGTTCCTAATCAAAAATTAGACCTGGGAATGGTTCCTTTCTTGGGCCACCGTTGTCTCCCGCCAAGGAGGTGCCACATGCTACCAGATCGTCCTGGTGAAGAACATCAATTCTACGCACCGAGTGGATGGCATTCCGAGTCAGTTCAATATCTCCGGTGGGATTAGATCGGCGATCGAGAAGATTGGAAAGATGCCCAGTGCATTTATCCCTTAATCTGCTCTCTAAGTTCAGGACAGTTGCTTGGTGGTTCCTCGCCCTGAGTAACCACCCGAGCATGAATAGAAGAAAGTCGGTATACGGTTATGTATGACACCTTGATGGGATTATATCTCTTATGTGATAATGAAGCCGGGTCTGCCTAGCGACGCTTTATGTTTTGTCATGTACTATCTCTTTAGAAGGCTATGACGTATCATGTTTCCTGAGATCCAAAATGCAATCTCCTCTCATAATGGCTACACCAGGAATGGTCGATGGTCAAGGTAGCCATTCACCGATGAAATCATCGTACGTCCAGTACAGTGGGGGTCCATGATGGACAATATCAGATAAGGTTGACATGTATCGCGTTTAATACGATTGGCATTCACCTTAAAACTTGATGCTGACCATATCAACCAGAAAACTCTCTCCCTTGGTGTCATTGGTACCTCTTGCTATGATACACCTGCAGCTACTGGACCCTGTTGTGCCAGAAATGTTTTCCAGAAGCACTAAATATAATAATTTTAAAAGGAAAGCTTAGGAGCACTATTATCTTCTGGAATTCGAAAAGAAGCCTGACGCCCAGCACGGGTCTCGTATCACTCATTGTAAAATTTGGTCCAGTTTATAAAGTGCCAAAGCCCTGCCGATGTGAGACTCTTCCGGTAACGGGGTGAGATCAGCGGTTTCCAGATTTCCTGGATACGTATGTGTGTCATGAGTCTATGTGTATATAGTTTCGCTTTCGAGGGAAGTGTTCCTGTGTATGAAGGAGAGACTCTCTGACTAGCCCTGTCTAGCTGATCCTTCACCTGCGCGGTGTTAACCTACTGCCGTGCCCAGACAATGAAGGATTTAATTAGTGATAGACAACGGAATTGATTCAACGCTAGCATGCTATCATACTTCTTGCATTGCAAATCAGAAGCAAAAATATCAAACCTATAATTCGAAGACTAGTTCTCATCCTTGGCCAATCTTAAAATGCCACCATTCTTTTCTTCCATACGAAAACCAGCCCTTATTGAGCAAGAGCCTCAACAACCTCCTTAGCACCTCTATCTCCCGACCTCAGCGCACCCTCATATACCCCTTCCATTGTAACGCAGTCTCCGTTCCCACAAAATGCACACCCCCAAACGGCTTCCTCACGGCACCCTTCCCAACCTGAGAAATCACACCCGGGGGCATACCCGGCTCAGGCCCACCATGGAAGAAATCCTGCTTGGACCACTCATACTCGAGCACATTGATAGGCTCCGGGACCTGGATCTTCTCTCCAGACGGTAGGTTGGTATTCTCCAGCGCGGAGCGGAGTTGTTCCCACGCTGTGTGACGTCTCTCGTCCTGCGAGAGCAGGGACCATTCGCGACCACGGCGGCCCACAGTAAAGCAGGCGATGGACCACTGCTCGTCATCTGGGAAGCTGTTATCCATGGTGAAGGTGAAGGGACCCGTCTGCGATTGGATGGCGCCGGTGAGGCCCGCGGTGCGCCAGAAAGGTTTCTCAAAGACGAAGATGATTTTGCTGTAGTAGCCTAGTTTATTTCTGCTTGCGAGCAGCTGTTTGTACTCAGGGAGGGGTGGGGTGAATGTAATGTTCTTGTAGAGGGGAGTTGCAACGGACAGGATGACTTTCTTAGCGTGGAAGGTGGTGTTGTTTGCTGCTCGGACGGTGCAGGTTCCTGTGGCTGAGTCTTGGTTGATCTCGGTTACGGGGCTAGAGAGATAGATGGAGCCTGGTTTTAGCTCTGCCGCCATGTTTTTGGAGATTGTTTGGTTGCCTTTAGGGCTGATGTTAGTATCGTAGGTTTGCATGGTGGGTTTGTGAGATTAACTTACCCTGTCGAACGCGGAGCTGCTGGCCTCCATTTTTGCCGTCCGAGGTTATGGCCTCGAATCCGTTGCCGGCCTTCAGAGAGAGCAAGAAAGCCAGCATGCTGACTTCGTTGCCATTCACACCAATCAAAGATTGAATAATGGTATCGAACAGATCGGCAATCAACTCGGACTGGAAGGTCTGCATGCAGTATTCCTGGATACTGACACTATCCAGCTCTTTCGCGTTGGGGCCAGAGCCGGGGTCTTCCAGATTGACGTCGGAGACGAGCTCATTGATATGCGCCAACACCTGAGATAATGCCTCCTTCTCTTCCTCGCTCACCTAGACACCCGTGTATTAATTAGTACAAGCCAGCCAGAAATACTTTTGTTCAAGAAAGGGTACCTACCGGAAGTTCACCGTGTTTGAACAATACAGAGCCCTCAGGGCTTTGGAAGATATCATAGCCTGGGATTGCTTGTGTCTCGACTTGCAGTCCATACTTCTGGACCAGCTTATAAATCTCGCTTTGCGTGGTGTCATTGATCCAGGCGGCGCCGACATCGTTGACTCCAGGACCACTCTTCTTGGACGGCACGGTCAGAGTCTTGCCTCCTACACGGTCAGTAGCTTCGACTACTGCGTAGGAGAGTCCGGCGGCCTGCACACCCAAAGCGGCCCGTAGCCCGCTGAGTCCAGCGCCGATGACTACCACGTCCACGGTGTTGGAGGAACCACTAGTTGATTGAGATGCCATCTTGATAGAGGTCAGATTATATGATGTGTATAGACTACAATGGGAAAAGACTGATGGTATGAACATCAGCGAGTTTATATGCTTCTGGTAGACTACCCGAATAGGAAACACATGCGCCGAAGGCGATAAGATAGCGCGATTAGGGTAAACGAGCTTATCGATAAGATCGGGCTCCGCGGCTCCCGTCGAATTGATGGCATCTGATAACACAATGATCTACATACTGCGAGATTGATCAATCGGCTGCATTCATTCAGAACGTTGGGGACAAGGCAAATATTAGAGGACTGGACCGTTCTGCTTACCAATATTATAAGATTGTATGGTTGCCTCCAAGACCCGGTTGCAGCAGAGTGCACAACGATAGCACCTGATGACAGTAGTATACCATGGAGAAGTTTCCAAGCATTGTTTGACCCTGATACCTTCTTCCTGTCGTATAAACTGCAAGCGAGGCCTGAACCAATATCGTCTTCATCGGCCTGTAAAAGAAAACTCCCTGGGTGGGGCGCGGGTGCAGCTCTCTACCGATTGAAGGCCATAGCTCATAATATCTGAAGCGTGCTCATCAGGCCAGCCGACATAGACAGAGATTATAACACAAGTATTCATAGATAAGGAATCCGTGTATATGAGGTATCGTTCCCTCTCAGACGCCAATTGCGAGATGGCTGTTGTGGTTCTGTTGGAGAGTGAACGATTACTTCTCGGAACCTATCGTCATTTAATCATTACCTATTGAGTTCCGGTGGTATGCTACAAGTATGTTCTTCTTGAGCAGCCGTGATGGAGTCTTGTTGAAATCAACATAGTCGCCCGTTTCTATTACGCGCTACCAGGAAACTTATTTCATGGCTCGCTACTCATAGCACGGCTGCATGCGATGACAGCATGCACCCTCCTGTTTCATGACCAAAGTAAAGATGTATAGCATGGCAGGCTTAGCCACTAGCATTGAGCATATATGATAACCAAGGATCGGCGGGTGGCTTTGTTCAAGCCTTCAGGGCGATCGCCGATCAGCATAAATTAGAAACATTATGTAGTCTTCTTTGAACAGTGTACCCCCTTGTGTATTCAACCGGGGGGGTCTACAGGTGGCCTGACACTACAGGCAGAGGCAAAGATCGAGTGAGATTCCGGATACGAGTTCTTTCTCGTCCAAGAGTAGTACTTCACCAATTGGTAATTCATTGCAGTCACCTGGATCTGTCAAAGCCCAAGGCGAAGAATGTATTGGGGTATGCATTATAATTATGTTACACTGTAAATATTCTCGTCAAATAGCGTTGATATTCATCATAGCCTTCGCATCACGCATGTTCATCCACCAGGATAATACCCTTAGCCCAAACCTTACACAGGTCATAATGCTCCGCATATTCATTCCCGAAGGCAACAATGGCCGGATGAACTATGATCAAAGCATTCTTACCGTCTAATCTTGTGTCGTCCCCACGTGGACGATGAAGGGCATGCGCACTCATTACCGGATGCTCTGCCCGAAATATGGGGAGCTCATCCATACAGTAACACCGCATGAAGGATCGCTGCGTCCACAGGGAGATGGCCAAGTCGCCAGCGGTCTGGTAAAGCTGGTAGAGTTCCTGGTTGCGCTGGATCGCCCATGAATCATTTCTGTGTCGGAAGAGTAACTGAACAGGACCCGCGAGGAAATCAACCGCAAGCTCACTAGTTATAGCTTCCACCTTCGCGCGCAACGGTGCATTGTGCACGGAGTTCGGGGGAGGTGTGGCCAAAAGCCGAAGAGTTTGCGAACGCCAGATATGGGCTTCTTCCTTGTTGACTACGTTTGGTTAGAGCTCAGTAGGCGCCTTACATGGTAACTCAAGGAACATACCGTCCAGCATCGATGCGTATAGAAAAGATAATGTTTGGGAAGCGTGCGCCGTGGAGGGTTCTTTAGACTCCCCGAAGGCAAAGAAGGGGTTGGCAAAGATTGTTCCGAAGATATCTTTGGCTAGCAGAGCCTGCATAAGAAGAGCTGGGATGTTGTCTGCCATCGTAGACGCTTTCTCAATGAGTGTGGTCCAATCCACCTGTGCGCAATATCCACTCAGCCGTTCCAGGATGGCGTCCTTCTCCTCGATCGGCAAGCTATCAAGCGCACGTATCTCACCGACGCTATAATTTTCGGCCCAATGTCGCATTGCTGCCTCGAAACTCGATAGTTCTTCGCGTATCTGCCGACTGCTTTTGGTGACCCAGGAGCCGCTCCTTGCCGAGCGAACTTGCGCTTGCAGTCGTTTGCGATCATTGTCTAATTCGGTGATTCCTCTCGCCAAGGCAACGATGTGCTCTCCATCTGCTTAACTTTACCGTCACGAGTACGAGGATTCGGCGCGGGTTCGACCTTGGTTGACGGGTACACACCTTCCGGGTCCCCTAGCTCGGCAGGGTTGGGCCCCGGGTGTTCGTCCATAATTTGGCTTGGCTTTATAGGAGGCGAACCCCCGGATTTCGACTTGTTTTTGCGATGCGATGCGCGCTCCGGATTGGGCTCGGAATCTTGCTCCGAACGGGGCCCTTGACCCTGATTAAATGTGCGCTGATTCACTTGCGTCAGGGCCGTGCGACCGGGCGTAAACAGAGTTTATACATACCGCTACAAAACCACGTCCCAGTAGTGATTTTTTCGTATGGATACGCGTCGCAGACCTTGCCAGCATCCCTCGTCCACTTCCATGCTCCTTGTGAGCATGTTCGGCGTCGTGGTCATGGCTAGATTGTTTCTAAGGCGGACGGAACGTTGCGATCAGCCTTTTCCGTTTTTCCGAGCAACGATGTGGCTCTGCCTACCTTTACGCCTGTTTCCATGTCCTCTCTCTTGTCTGCTGTGTGTTGAGCCATGTTCTGCTTCTGCGATCATAAAATGCTCTGAGGTTTGAGATATTGTCAGGAGAGAGAGGGGAGAGCGCTCTCTCATCAGCTGGAAATCCTGGAGAAAAGCGACATGGGTTGGGATGTCGTCATTGGTCGCCCCAAAAGGGGGAAAGGAATCAGGGGAGCGACAGAGGCGGCGCATCATCGGCTCAGTTCGGGGTCCGTGGACGACTAAAAACAAAGGAAAGGCTTCTGGAGCTGCAGGGCGTCACCAGTCATAGACGGCGTTTTCCATTCGGCGGCAATGTAGCACAGCGAGGGTAATAATTCTATAACACTAATGGGTGGGACCAGGATCACAGAGTGGCCCTAAGATCAGTTCTGCAGCCGTTAGGGCAGCTTATTCGGGCCTATCAGTCTGGCCAGCTGCACCGTCAGCCTGCTCAGACCAATCAAGGTTCCAGTGCGACTGCGCAAGGTTTCTGCTCCCTGTCCATGTCTGTGACTCTGGAACTGGCGAGGGCCCAGGAATCGAAGGAATCACATCAAGCGATCCAACAGCAGTTGAACAATTGCCAAGTCGGTGGGTGTGCATGTAATCACTAACGACGAGCTAAAAGTAGAAACAGAAAAATATCCGAGTCAGTGACCATGACGCTAACCCGATTGCGGGAGGCGCCGCTATTACTTCGGCGGCAACGATTAGACCATTGACAGCTTCACGCCTAGACCCAAGAGACTCTTGTTTTTTTTTGTTTTTTTTATTTTCTTCTTTCTTCTTAGGGAGGACGTAGTAGCTTCTAGCGCTTATTGGTCTCGTTTTTGATCCCTTTTTTTGATCTAGTACGGTTCTAATGGGATTCTAGCAGATGCATGGTCATCCACCTTGCCCATTATATATAATTTTATAGCATATGGGACTATATCCCAGTCCGGAACATTTATCACTGAGTATAATTATTCTTGGCCACCGAATCCCCGAAATATTGGGTAAACCATGGGGTAAATAACGTGAGCATAAATAGCGCTCTATTCAACATTGACCTTGACATAAACTCCACAATATCTGGAGTGGAATGCGATACGAAATGTTTTAAGTTGAGTGTTGACTGGCAGCACGGAACGAGGAGACACCAACCCCGCTTTTCGAATTCAACAAAGTAAACCGAGTAATATTCTACTCGATAATGCGTAATCAAGAGAGTATTATGCTGACAAAGGGTATAAAACTTGCCTAATGGGAAGTGCTGTCTCCAGCCGTGGCGCATGAACGTGGCGGTGTTATAGTGGCTGGTATACCATGCCTGAGGCAGGAGAAATCCAGCGAGGGGCTATCATTTGAGGACGACCCGAGAGCATTTGCATGTCCACTATCAAGTTTAGAACCCAGTCTGCTCCTACTCTGCATACTACTCTGAAACAATGTCAAGTGTGTGTTATGATATATATATAGCTTGTTGAGAATACTCTCGTAGCTATTATTAGATCAGTGCTTTGAACGGTAAACGCTCGACATGGCCCGAATCAGAATTCCAACCAATGTTCAGTCTATGATGTGAGATCTGAAGGCACCACAGCAGATCTGAGGTCACATCGGTCCATATTATCAGCGATGAGGAGTAAAAATAGACAACTACAAAACCGGGAAGAGCGACTCAACTTGCATTCATGCGCAACCTTCCCGACTTGCTCACCATGCAGATACGAGCTAGTCTTCGCTCCTGTTCAGTAACGATTGCATAGACAGCTTTCTGTTCGCCGTTCTATATTCAAGTAGTATACAAAGTACAAGTGTATGAAGTGATCTACGTCATGAATAAGACTAATGCTTCTCCATACGTGATCCGCCGCCTCCATGGAGAACGCTAATGCAAGGTGAGCGTCTAGCACAATGCACTGATCTACGATCGTGAGACCCGCCGGAAGTGCCTCGCTTATTATCTTTCAATGTAAACAAAGAATTGGTCATACGTATACTTGTCTCAACGGATTGTTATTGAAGGCAGTCTGGCGAGGTTCACTTTCTCTTGGTACACAACTTCGTATGTGAATGAAGTCGATCTGACGTAAGTGCCCTCTACATGGGCCACGCCTCCCACCTTTTCCTGCTTTCCTCAGCGTCATTGGGAAGTTCTGCTTCGGGCCTAAGATGCGCGGGAGGCAAGCTGCTATAGGAGGGTTCAAAGGCTTGCGGATCAGTTCGTTGATCAAAGGCCTGCCGTTTCCACGTGAATGTGCTGCTTGATAGATGTAAAAATACGAAAGAGTTAGCTAAAATGGTTATTAACTTCCCTGAACATGATGTGGAATAGCCTCATCGACCTGGACTGGGAAGCAGACACGAGATGGAATTGTCATATTGGCCTTGTTCATTCTCCTAACGTCCCTTTCGCTCTCAACCACAGTGCAGAACTTATAATAAATTAAATTCCCAGCAAGACTAGAGTGATGTTTCCTACTAGCATTGCTCTATTTTCTGCGATTGTTGAATTCCCATTGCATACATAGAAGGAAAATCATCTCACATGACAACCAACCACCACCCCGGACAACCGAGTCTAGAAGAACAGTAAGTATTGAATATGCATAACCCCAACTACCCGACGTAAGAGAATGACTATCCAAATACAAAGCCAAGAGAAGCCTTCCCACAGTGACGTCGACGCGGAAAAGTCAATCCCGGGGTTCCTAAACAAGACACCCTGGATAGGGACGTAGTATTGTTCCCCATTGCGCATTTAGGATTGCGGGGAAAGAGCTTGATCTATTTATGTCACTATAGTATTCTTATATTATAACAGAAATGGTGGTCGGGGCAACTTGGGCCGTCATTAAGGTTCTCACTTCTTTGTCTTGACGAAGACAAAGTAACCTCGGCCAGGAACCAGTACGAAAGCATAGTCGGTCAAGCAACGGGGCAAACTTCAAAGTTTAGGAAACAAAGAATGTGAAACCACTAGCCTTCGACTAGAGAGCCCATGGTCGATCTCGCTTTTGTTCTTAGAGTCCGTAGTCCACCTTTGTGGCGCAGCTAGGGCTCTATGCATTGGGTGAACAAAGGATGGGGGTCGAGTAAATTTTAACAATCTGACTAGAGCTATAGTATACACTGTAATATGTGTGGAAATGGCTTCGAGGGCGTTCAAGAGGGTGACACTCGCGCAGACTCTTGTCTTGGATATAGATATTCTTCATTCCAGGTCTGTATGTTAAGGCATTGTGTTGTATACAGTGAAAGTCATATTATTGACGATCACGATGCCTGCCCTCGGAGTGGGTTAAGCTATACTTGATCTTTGTTACGACTATTAGTGTGGCCATCTATTGCCCTGCCCAGGCCGCCACAGGGCAAAGAGGCCCACCGTGACCAAGTTTATATTCAATATTGATCGGCAAGGTTTTGGCTGACCTGAATGCATCAGCCCAAAAGTGAAGTATTGTACGGTCACCTGGCAGACGCTATCAACGGAATGGCTCCGAACCGTGGTGATGCAATCCGAATGTATTGGCTCGATGACTGGGAAGGTGGACTCAATTGTCAGTCAACCCCAGAGAATGTGACCCCGGAAAACCTCTCACCTGTTCACTGACATCATTCAGTCAGAGCGGATACTCTCTAGATGCAGGTTATAAAGCCTCCATAACGCCCTGTTCAGTTTCTTCTTTTTTGTACAACCCAACTCACACTCTCACTTTGCAATCTATCCCGCAACGCCATTATACTTCAACGACTTACGACACCTTACGTTTGAACGAGCACCTCACGATGAAGGCTTCAGTTATCCTCCTGTGTGTCTTCGCCGCTTTCGTGGCTGCCACTGACTCTGATCCCAAGGCGGCTGACAGCACCACTACCGCAGCTCCACGTTAGTGTCTCTCGGTCTACTTGACACAAGGCTATGACCATTTTCCGTCGACATTGACTAACCTCGATTGTAGCTCTGCGCACCATCGCTCCCAAGCAGCCTATAACGTTTAGCGACCTCACACCCCAGGAGCTGAGCTTTTACTTGCAGTACTGGCGGGAGAACACGGTTCCGCCGGGCCCAGGTACAGTAATGCCCGGAGGTTGGAAGTGGCCAGACTGGCCAGACAAGCGTGACAAAGCCCCTCAGGCTGAGAGCAAATTCGACCCGGAGCTGGCGAAACTCATTCAAACCACCAACGCTTTGCCCAAGCCACAAGGAAAGATCAACCATTACGTCGGAGAACAGGCGGAAGACAAGGGCGACTCGAACGAGGACGAGGACGATGAGGACAACGAGGATGAGGACGACGGTGGTGATAACGAGGACACCTCTCCTGCCAGCCCCCTCGAGAAGAGGAAGCAGAAGAACCCTTGCAAGCGTGGGTGCAGAGCTGATATCCATTGCTGCCCTGGCGACAGGTGCTTCTATGGAGTTTGTCTGGGGCCTCAGAAGCCACCTCGTGATGTCAAGCGTGAGATCTACGAATTCTATGCCTCTGCAGATACCGAATCAGAGCGGGACGAATGAGCTCATCTTTGTGAGACCGACAGCGCCCCTCAAGAGTGACAAATGCGTTGTGGGTGTTTGCCTGGGTGCTGTAGGATCTCCCTGAACTGCAGACCTAGTATCTAACATGACCGACATCGAGAGGTGGTGGATAGTTTGCTTGTGATGGACAGGAAGACTGGAAACAGGGTTTCTATTGCTTGCAAGCAAGAATAGGATTTCGCATTGGTGTACTTTATACGTTTTTGATTCATGGTCAACCCAGAGATTGCCATTATCAGTTTACCCTTAATCCTGTACTCTTGTAGGCCTGTAGGCCCTTGTACTACGTGAAAACGACTCATCTACAGAGGCAAGGGGTTAATACAGGGTAAGCAACCCAACTGACGTTCTAGCCCCCAAAAAGATATACGCATGATCTTTATGAACAGCTGACTATATTTGAGCCAAAGACGTATCTCTACATCAAAGGACATATCGGCTAGTAACAAGCATATGATTAGTGAATTTTGAAACGGATCAGAGGAGCAAGGCACGTACAAGGAAAGGTTTTCACGATCCGTCAAATCCAATTGGTTCTTATCCACCAGGTGAGCGTGCTTCGTACCATCATTGTCGACCTCTTCAACCACACCCGTGTCTGCGACGAGTGTCTCACGCTGCAGTAAATCACGGCGCTCGTTTTCCTTCGCGAGATACCATCGCAGGTATATAATGATGATTGAAGGTAGGATGCAGGCGACCTTCAATGGTCAGTATCCGAATCCTTAATGAAATGCGCAATCGGCTACTTACAACCAAGATGATAATCCAAGTGGGATAATACCGCGGCTATCATTAATCTCATTAGTCAAAATGAAAGTGGCCAACAGATCGCTCGTGCATACCTTCCACCGCGGTTGAAAAAGTTGTGGTGAGAGGATGTTCCCCAACCCATATCCGATATGGTACATGGCTATCACTGTGGTCTTCTTAGTATGCCCAGCAGATGCGTTAGCAGCCCAGATCATGACCACTGCATACGGAATGCCGACAGTTGAGCGGATCCATATCCCTGTGATCAGGCCCCATCGATTTGACCACGGTAGGCTTAGCAGCAAGATGCTAGATATAGCCCCGGGAATGTATGCAATGAGAGAAATCCAAGCCCTGCAGTTCTAATAAATTCTCGTTAGCCTGGTCGAAGGTAATTGACTGGTTTTCATGCTCGGCCAAACCTACTGTTGTCTTCGCTAGAACCGCTGCCGCCGAGGCAAGCGAGAAGAAGCTGACTATCCCAGTTACACAACCCAGTAGAGTGGTCTGAAGCACACTGAACCCAAAGGAGTTAATGATTAGTGAGTATTGGTTGGTCATTCCGTTGGCCATTTCCTGAGACCAGGCATGTAGGAAGAACAACCAGGACTTTGGGTCTTTAACTGCCTCAATGAATCTAATAATCGTCAGTTCCTGAGTAAACCTGAAGTCATATGTGTGAAGATAGGACAACAGTGGTATCATACTGGTACTTCTTGAAGTGCTTCTGCTCAATTCCTGAATGGTTCTCCTTTATCCGAAGGATTGCCTGCGCACGCTCTTCTGGCGTAAGGAAGCCGGCACGTAGAGGATTATCAGGAAAGAAGAGCCACACTGCCAATCCAAACACAACGGTCACGCCGCCAGTGATGACTGCGACTGGGTAAGCGGCTAGATCAATTGGTCGCTGCTCATGCGAGGGACATACCCATAAACCATTTCCATGGGGCAAACGTTCCAGTTTTGATCCACAACACCCCGTAGGAAAGTAGACCAGAGGTGATAGGACTGGCGTTTCCGATCGACCACATGATAGGCATCAGAACAGCCTGTTCCTTATATGTGAAGAACATAGACAAGATCAACAGAAAGGCAGGTACGATAGATGCCTCTGCTACCCCTAGAAAGAAACGAACGACGAATAATGTGGCGAAGCTATTGCATGGTATATGAAGAAGCGTAATCCCTCCCCTGATCAAGTTAGCTGAAACTCCAACTGGAAGATTAACAGAACATCTAGCTTTTACCATACGACAAGATTGCCAGCCAGCCATTTTGCGACAGGGAAGCGCTGAAGGGCCCAGTTCTGCGGCCACTCCGCAAGGAGGTAACCAAAGTAGAAGATTGATGATAACCAATTGTACTGATTCGAATTAAGATGTGCATCATCCATAATGCCAAGGATGGCTGAACTTCCCAGCTGGAAAAAATATATGTCAACCATTGCTAATACAATTCTGAAATGGTATACGTACTGTCTGTTTGTCGACATACATGAGATGATATCCCAGACAAAGGAAGGGCAAAATCCTCCATAAACATTTGTTTCTAATTTTTAATGCCTCTTCTGGGGTAGGATCCGCCACAGATACCTTTGAAAAGAGCTTGTAACTCTCATCGGCATATCGTTGACTGAGCTTAGGTGGTTGAACAGCATCGCTGACGGTGCTGACTGTTTCTGAGACCGCTATTTTCGACATTGTTCCCTGAAGGTTGACACACAGACAGAACTAATGGAAGTCGAAGTTCACTTGGAACTCGGGGGATGGGATGGCTTTGTTGTTCTACATATCGTGCGGTATAGGCATAGTACTCCAGCAGCATACACAGTGATCCATTGCCAAGACATGAGGTACTTACAGAATTCGCCGGTGACCTTACAGGCTTTGTCTTAAACTCCAGATAACCTGAAAACTAAACGTTCTGAGCCAATGCGACTGTCATGTTGGCGAAACGCACAATTCGCTGTTTTCGCGTCATATCACGCAAGTTCGGCAATGAATACCAAAACCCGGCGCCGTTATCGGCCAACGAGTTTATTTCACAACTGACCAGCAGCGTCAGTTCGTCTTCGGATTTGTATTGGGTCAGCAACCAGTATTAAGATGCGGGGATGGGCAAGTAAGGATACATTCCGCTGTTAGTGCCTTGGTCGCAGGCTTGCATGATTCATGCACGGCTTGCGTGCTTCCACTCCACTGCATAATGATCGCAAATATCAGATAAGGATTACTGTCGGAAGTACTTGTCGTTAATATTTGCTTATCGGCACAACCCCGGTGTAAACCTCTATAAAGAGGGAGGATATTCCATGTGCTTGTTGTATTGATTCACCTGTAGGGATCACGTACAACCAAATGTCCCAAGAAAAGCTCAAGGTTCTTATTGCCGGAGCTGGAATTGCTGGCCTCTCCGTAGCTGTCGCATTAGAATCTCTCCCGTATATTGAGGTTGAGCTGTTTGAGCAAGCGACCGAGCTTCGAGAAATCGGCGCCAGCATTGCCATAAGTCCCAATGTAAGCCTGCAATCGCAAGGGTTGTTACTCAACTACTAATGGTGTTCAAGGGACTCCGCTCGCTCGAGAAGCTCGGTGTACTAAATGCTCTCGACGAAGATGTGGCTTTTCGTGGCCCTTCTGCCATTCCTATGATTTACAGGTAGACAGCCTGGGCTGAGTTTCTACCATATAAAATACCCAGTGAAACTTACAATATCAATTCAATCAGACACTGGAAGACAAATGAGGTGATCCACCAGGACTATTTTGCCGATGTTTCCCTCCGTCGCCACGAAACAGCGAGATTTCACCGGGGACATCTGCATGCAGCACTGCTGGAACATGTCCCCCTGGAACGTATTCATTTAGGCAAAACTGTGGTTTCCGCAGATACATCGCAAGACAAAGTCACACTTCACTTTACTGATGGAACATCCACACAAGGAGATGTTTTGATCGGCGCGGATGGAATTCATTCGGTATGCGGGTTCTTCAAACGGAGTATCTAGCCAAACAAGACAAGGAGCTCACAGTAGTATAGAAAGTGAGGAAGTCATTCGTTCCCGATCATCAGCTGTTTTCTACTGGAAAGGTCTTTCTACGGTCGACATTTGACGCGTCCCTTGTGGAACACATTCAGGACCTTCCGTTAGATTCCACACATTGGGTATGAATATCCCCCCCAACCATTCAAGTTTGTGGCGCTTACTGGATCGAAACAGTGGGGACCAAAGGAGAACTTTTTCGCCTCTCGACTTGGTATCGGCCTGTCATGCTAACCATTTTCAAGGATCTAGCTGACCGTGCGGCAGGGAAGAACCAGTACACTACCGTCGGCAATTTCGACTTACCAGTAGAGACGGATGGCAAGGTTAGGAATGTACAGTGGGATGCCGAGGGGAATGTGGAAGTACTAAGACAGCGCTACAAGGTATCATTTTCTTCCGGGATTTTGAAAGTAAATGGCTGCTGACAAGATGTTTTTACTAACCAGGACTGGAATCCTGTGGTCAAAGCCTTGGTGGATTCAACTCCCTATACGCGTATTTACCCTAACTACGCTGGCGAGCCTCTTACAACCTGGGTACTTGATTCACGAGTGACATTGGTCGGCGACGCAGCGCATACCCACGGTGGTGCGTTCGCTGCTGGAGGCTCACTAGCTATTGACGACGCTTATGCATTGTTTCTGGCCTTTCAACAAGCTCTGGGGTCGTGCAGAGCTCAGAAACCAAAGAGACAAGAGATCCGAAATGCGCTTGCTTTGTACGATGAGACGCGGCGCCCACATACTGAAAGGCTTTTGACGATTGTCCTCAAAGGCATTGGAGCCCAGGCAACGAACACAGACTCCGACGAGATTTTAGTAGAAAGAGTTCGGAACAAGCCCAACACAACCTGGCTCTCAGAGCACGATGTGGAGAAAGCGTTTCAAGGCGTCTTACAAAACAGATCTGTTGGAGATAGGGTGGAGTCGGCTACAAGTAAGCTCTGAACATTTGCGGCATGAGAGGAGAGTTCTGTGGCTGTTTTAGTAGCGACGATATATCTGCTGCTGGTTAGCTCTCGCTGGCTACCAACGTACATCGGTTAATATCAAAGACTAGTCTTAATTTCTGATAAAACTAGGCGAATTGATTTCAGATTGTTATTCATTAGTACAAGGTAAACCCGTGGTGACCTAAGTGCTCTCTACAGGATAGGAACATGACATGCAAGCTTGTTTATGGACCCGAATTCAATCTACAACAGACACTCGCAAACTCATCCTCAAATCCCGTCCAATTAGCGAGGGGTATTTATAAGAAGTTATGCCGAGAACCGGATCCAGCTCTGGCGAGCTCTAGGGCGGATGGCATCATAATACACTTCAATGTCACAATGCCCCATTGCCGGTGGGTCGACCGCGCCTCAATTAATTACCTAAAATGGTTATTGTTCTTGCATACTGTCCAGATGCATTATTATCGATCTAACCGAGCTGACCCGCATCGCCAACTTCTGTCGCTTGCCAAGGCAGACTATGTACCACCCTCGCCTATTCCAACAGATGCGAGAGATTGCCGAGATGTGATTGACCTTAGCACGGACTAGATCACCCTGAGTAAGGGTAGCCTGGGGTTTCAGAGTGCAAGGGCAACGATTATATAGCTATATAATGATTTCCTAGGTGCACTTGTTCATATACATAGACTTCTGAATCAATAAATTTATATCCTAGACTTCCGGGATGCCTACGGTTCATTTCTCTAGCACAACGAAGACCCCCAGTGAAACTGTCTCGACACTACAGAAAGAGACAGACTCAGCTAGCGACCATGAAATAGCGCCCCTAGGTGAGCTATCGACTGGGCGGAGACTTTGGTTTCAGAAGGGTCGAAAGTACGACCCCGACGCGATTGCAACTCAGCCGTCAGTCTATGATGACCCAGACACTGCACATGAATATCAACCGAATGATGACTGGGAGAACCTGCATCGATTTGACCCCTCCGCAAGATGGACCTGGGGTGAGGAAAACAGGGTCATCCGTAAGATTGATGCTCGGATCATGATATTTACCTCCATCATGTTCATGGCTCTGGAATTGGATCGAGCGAACCTTCAACAGGCCTTAACCGACAACTTCCTGAAAGACTTGAATCTCACCACTAATGGTTGGCCCTAATGACCCTGTTACAGTGCATACAAGACACTAATACATCACTAGACTATAACTTAGGGAATACTGTTTTCAAACTCTCTTTCCTCTGCGCAGAACTTCCTTCACAACTCGTCAGTAAATGGATGGGACCAGACAGGTGGATTCCCACGCAAATGACCCTCTGGTCGGCGGTTGGTATGGCTCAATACGGACTCAAGGGACGGTCATCCTTCCTTGCCTGTCGAGCCCTTCTCGGAATGCTCCAGGGTGGATTCATCCCCGATGTAAGTGAGCATCATAACACCAGTTGTTCAACCTGCTTATACATCCCAGGTCATTCTTTACCTCTCCTACTTTTATAAATCGCATGAGCTGTCTGTGCGACTGAGCTTCTTCTGGACAGCCTACAACCTGGCTGATATCCTCGCGAGCTTTCTAGCCTTCGGCCTCTTGCACCTACGCGGTGTCCAGGGCCAGCCAGGCTGGCGATGGCTGTTCCTACTTGAAGTACGAAACGCAACTCCCCAGATCTTAACACTAGCTAATAGTAATTAAAGGGCCTCATAACGCTGATAGTTGGCCTCGTCGCATTTATCTTAATGCCACCAGGACCTTGCCAAACCGCCAACTGGGCGAGAGGCAAGAAAGGCTGGTTCACACCACGGTGAGTCCCTCCTGCCATACATCTCACCATGGACCTCAAACATAACACTCCCCAGCGAAGAAACCATCATGGTGAACCGCGTGATCCGCGACGACCCAAGCAAAGGCACAATGCACAACCGCGAACCGATAACCCCCAAACTCCTCTGGAAAAGCCTCTGCGACTACGACCTGTGGCCCCTCTACGCCATCGGCCTCACATGGCTCACACCCATGACGCCGCCCCACCAATACCTCACACTCAACCTGCGAGGCATGGGTTTCAACACGTTCGTAACGAACCTCCTCACGATCCCCTGCACATTCGCCCAGATCCCCACCATGATCACCCTCACATACCTGTCCGAGAAATTCGGCCAGTTGACCTGGGCAGCAATGTTCCCGCAGTTCTGGGCTCTGCCGTTCGTGATCTACCTCTATGTGGTTGACATCAATACCATCAATAAGTGGGTTGCGTGGGTGATCCTGACTATATTCTTATCTATTCCGTCCGGTACGTGTATCCTGTCTAATGTAATTTTTGGACGGAGAATGCGAGGTCCTAATGATTCCAATGACAAAAGCACATCCAATCCAAGTCGCCTGGAACTCTCGGAACTCGAATACCGTTCGCTCGCGCACCGTGTCGGCTGCCGTGTACAATATGTGCGTGCAAGCGTCTGGGATCATTGCTTCGAATATTTACCGGAAAGGTATGTTTTCTCCTGCGTGCTGTCATTGTATCCTGTTTGACTGGGGGTAGACGATGCGCCTCGGTATAAGAGGGGAAACCGCGTTCTTGTTGCTTTGGTGGCTATGAATATTTCTATTTATCTGTTTACGAAGGCGTACTATGTTTGGCGCAATGCGTCCCGGGACAGGAAATGGAATGCTATGTCGGAGGAGGAGAAGAGGGTGTATTTGGCTACGACTACGGATGAGGGGAATAAGCGGCTGGACTTTCGGTTTGCGCATTAGACTAGGGGTGGTAGATGCTGTAGAGTGTATTCTAATGTGGAAAGTACTTAGGTGAGAGCTCTAAAAGTTGATTGAATGAAGTTACTGGTTCAAGTTGCGATATAATTGGACATTTGTATACGATTTGCACTTGATATAGAGAATTTGTATATATTGTTTATCTCCGCGAGAGGCTGGACCGTTTACCTATCATCACCCATCCTAACGAAGTATCTTCCCTGTTATGTGGCTATCCATAGAAAATACGATTATTCTAGTCGTTATATTAAGAACACACCCTTATACCGATTTATTCATTATTATACCCCACATACCGCAAACATCGGATACAGAATTCCCCCTAATCCAAATTTATGCCAATTTATGCGATTTAAACTAGATATCCACGAGCTAATGCAGGCCAAGAACGACGATCGTGGATGATGCTATCCATCATCCGGCTGATGTGCTTACCCGCCAAGCACGCGCTCAAACTAGCCCCGACACGAGGAGTGGGTGAACACGAGGCCGAGATCGCAGCTTGCATCTGGATTATCTGGCTCTTCCCCCTGTATGTCTCTTTTATACAGTTCTATGTGAACGTATTGGCCGCTGTGTCCCGAACATCGGAAAATGTATGTTTGTCTAGACTCTTAATGATTAACCTGGCCACCGTGCTTTTGTTTTACCAGGTATTAATCAGGGAAGAATATGTATATAGAATACGATACGCCAAAATAGATACTACCTATCCAGTGAGTAAAGTTATCCTGGTATACCCTCTCTCACACGCGCTTAATGGCCTTCGAAATATGAGCTTTAATATAGGATAGACGAGGTCTTCACCTAGGCCAGGCGTGCTGGATAGCGTTAAGACAGGGTGAGTAGCGTGGCCAGTTCAATTATAAAAATCCCATTCTCTTGAGTCACTGTTTAACAGGTTTGGACGAATGAATCGTAGTGCTATCGTGCATATATTCGAAGCCCAGATAACACTGCGGGGTGACAGGTGGCTATATAAGGAGTAATCCAGGCAATATCAGACCTAGGGTTTCGGTACTGTGACCTTGCCCAGTTGGGTGCGGGCTTACCTGGACTCCTGTGCCTACACTAAACGTCAGATAGAATATGAGTCACGTCTCAAAATCCTGGTCGTCGAATAAATAGACAGATACGCGGCTTCGGCCAATACTTTCGCCAGGAACTTAGAACTTTATGAATGATAATTGATGTATGATTGGTAGCGCGATATGTGACTAGGTGGCGTAAGCAGCATGTCAAATGACTCCATCTCTGTCCGGTTGACAGTCTACGGTCGTATACACACAGTTCACCGGAGACATCCAGATGAGATGGCGAGATATTGCATGATCCCCGGACGGCATTGCGAACTTCCAGAATGACCGTCTTATCAATGGATTCAAGCGATATCAATGGCTCTTCTGCTTGTGCCTGGAACACATGGAGATGCCTGGTATGCGGGGTTCCGGAACACGGCACAGTTGAGATGTCACCATCATGGCGACATGGGACGTATAAAGAGGGTAGGTTGTCGTAGTCTCTTTGTATTCTTGTAGATGTAGAGATCTTGAGATACACAAACCCCAAAGAACACCATATATTATTCGCAAATGGCTCCCTCTGTCGCTGAAAGTACCACAACTCCTGTGGTTCCTATCCTGAAAGGAAATGTATCAGCAGCAACGACGCTCCAAAAGGAGCCCTTGAAGCTGAGCGGGGCTCTCGACTCCTTCGATTCCTTCGATGTTACGCCCGTCATTGGCCGCGAATTCCCTACAGCCAACCTGAAAGAGTGGCTGCAGGCTCCCAATTCAGATGAACTGCTCCGCGATCTTGCTATAACGAGTAAAGATATACTAGACCCATATCAGCGGATTTGTTACTAACTGGTTGTTTCTAGTCTCCCAACGTGGCGTCGTGTTCTTTCGCAAACAGGACGGGCTCGACGATGACCTGCAGAAAGAACTAATCCAGCGACTAGGCCTTCTTTCCGGCAAGCCCAGTACATCTGGCCTTCATGTGCACCCTATCCACAACGGGGCACGCGAGCACGGCGTTGAGGATAACGAGATCAGTGTCATCACATCTAAGAACCATGACAAGCTATACAAAAACCATTTTCATCCGAAGAAGCAAAGCGCTCGGCGAGAGTGGCATAGTGATATCACCTTCGAGCCAATTCCTAGTGACTACACTGTTCTCCGGTTGACTGAGCTTCCCAAGACGGGCGGTGGTAAGTCAATAATACTGTAAGGCTGAAGCTGTATAGAATGTTAACCAGTCAGTATAGACACACTCTGGGCATCGGGTTACGAACTGTATGATCGCATTTCCAAGCCTTACCAACAGTTCCTGGAGACTTTGACTGCGACATATGCCCAGCCTGGGTTCAACAAGGTTGCGAAGGAGAATGACTTCGAGATCTTCACTGGACCTCGGGGTGCTCCGGAGAATGTTGGCGAGAAATTGGAGGCCATTCACCCTGTTATTCGGACGAACCCTGTAACTGGGTGGAAGAGCGTCTTCGCTGTCGGTGTTCATGTGGCGAAAATCAATGACCTCTCCGAGGAAGAAAGTGACCATTTGCTGAGATGGTTCGTCTCTCTGATCGTTGAGAACCATGATCTGCAGGTTCGCCTCAGATGGCAGAATCCCAATGACTTGGGTAAGTAATACCTTTCCTTTACGGCCGCGCAGAGAGAAGCATAGTGTCTGACATGGTGCCGCTGTACAGCTATCTGGGATAACCGCAGTGCCTATCACGCCGCAACATACGACTACAAGGGGAAGGACTTTGGTCCCCGGACGGGTCACCGTGTTGTTGGTCTAGGAGAGCGGCCGTACCTTGACCCAAAGAGCACAAGTCGTCGTGAGGCGTTGGAAGCTGAATCAGCATAAATAGATTTCCAAACTGTTCAGTGTACATAAAGATACTAACGCTGTTATTATGTAAAGTCGCTTCACACTTGATATGAAAGACAATATTCCTCAATGAGAACATCTGCACATGTCGCCCCCACACGATAAGCCGTGACTTGCGTGTGATTGTTCGTCGACATTGGTACCACACTCATACCTGCCACTCGCAGTCCCTCTAACATTGCGGATTCGGAGCGAGCTGTCACCAGTTGCGTCCGGATCGTCTGATCTCCCCATCTTCACTGCCCCAGTCATGTGCCCGGTCGAACCGCCAAATTTCTTCCAAAATTCAAGGATAGCCTCCTCACTGTCCCTGTGTGGTCGAATCAGGTCCCCTATAGTATCCTTAGAGAACGAGGGGTCAGCGCCGAGTTTCAATAGATCACGGTAGCTCTCACGCCTTATGTGGTCGAATCGGATGATCTCTTGGTCCAAGTGCTGATAATGTAGACAATATTATGGCCAACTGTTCTGAAAATGCGCAAGACACAACTATCGAACAAGTTTGAATAACAGACTTTGAGAACGATGCCTCACTTCCAAAAAGCTGGCTTGTTAAGGTAATACTAGCCAGCAACCATAACCGACATAGTCCTGAAGCCCGAGACAATGGTAATTTAAGTATAATAAGAGATATGGCCTCCTTCGGTATCGATGTATTCTGGATTCGACGAGTCAATAGCATGGGACACGATTCACGGTCCGTCGGGCTTTGGCGAAGTGGCAGTGGTTGGATGTTCGAACTGTGAACGAGTATGGTTGGATATACACGCCCAATAGAATTGCTTCTTCAGGATGTCAACATGCCTTTGACAAGCGTTGAAGTTAAAGTCCATTGTGATTTGGTATCTTGGTTGATGCATGGCACGTGCTAGGGCCGACGATTTGGCACCGAACAAATGCCGAAGGGCCCACTGTGGAACCACCGATGCTTACTTGGAGAATGCGGAAATCCTGCTCTCTCTTTTGGAGTGATCGTCGGACGATCTACTCTGTATGCCATAAAGCTGTAGCTGGACTATTAAGATTGACCAGTGTTAAGTTCTGATACCCCCTCTGCGAGTAACAACGCTCAAGTCTCACAAGGAATTTATTAAGGCAGGCTCCCTATATACAATGCCACACCGGCTTTATGTGATCTAAAAAATAGTCATATCCAAGCGCTCGTATAATACACATACCAGGAAAATGATAACGACGAAGTAGAAGTCGAAGTGGTAAAGGGAACGCTCAGGTTCCAAGTACCATAAACGCAACCAGACCACCCCATACACCAACAAATGCAACGGTGACAATACTCGCGCCCGCTTTATCACCTGTTGTGATTGGCTTTAATTGGCTCTTGTCGGAGCTGCTGCCATCGTTGTTCCCTGCATTTGGGTTGCTGGTACTGTTTCCGCCTGTCGATGAGGTCAAGGGCCCGCCCCCTTTCTTTTCCGTGACCAAGACTGAGCTCAGCACGTCGGTGGCACTAATCTGCTCTTCCATACCAACCCAGCCATCCCACTTCGATTCATGCCAGCGCACCCCACAGGTGTTATTGCTCATTCCGCTGCACGATGCGGCAGCCCCTTGTGCGGACGCTTGCAACTTGGGGAGAATCTGGTCATAGGTTGATGGGACCAGCAAGGCAACAAAGGCAAGCCACCCAGTGACAAGGCCCTTGAACAGGATTTCATTGTCATTGCAAACCTCGTTCGGCTCGCAGAGAACCTCGGACATAATGTAATTAAAGTCTTTCGGAAAGAATGTGTTCAGTGTAACCCCCAGGAGACCGTCAACAGCGGTCTTCCATGTTTCCTTTTCGGTCTTCGATATAGCTATTAGTTTTAGGAACTTAGACAGCAACTCCAGGGTTGCCCCCAGCTAAAGGACTGGGGCCGGAAGAGCACTTACCATGTTATACATGTACGCCGCACCAATCAAATATGTGCCATAATTGTACGACCATTGGTTGTTTCCCTGGGATTTACACCCGCCTGCGATATCAGTGGAGTCGGCAACATTCCATGTCTTGTTGTTCAGCAGTGGCGAGGATGCACTCCAATCCCAAACTTTCTCGGCCCATTCCGTATAGGTTTGGTTGTTGGTATACCGAGCGAGACGTGCTGCCAGTTGAAACAATAAACCGTTCGAAATCGAGTTCTTCATGGCATAGCCAGCTTGGTATGGGAATATCTGCCAGCGCAGACCACCGCCACAATTGCTACTATCCCAGCGAGCAACTTGCGTGTTGAAAACACCCTGCGCCAGGGACAGCCAGGAGTATCCGTTGTCGACATCGGGGAAACCGATCTCGGCAGCTGTCATAGCGGCGATACCCCAAAAGCCTTGGTCGTCGTTACCCTAGACCACCGGTCAGAATGGCTCGAATGGATGGAGTTGAGCTTCCATACCAAGTAGCTACTATAATTGGCCGGCATGTAGTCTCCGTTGCCAGCCTGCCACTCCATACCCTGACTAACTTCAGCATTGTAGGTGGTATCGCCGGTGTAATGCCAATAGTAAAGCAGGCTTAAGAACAAAGCACTGCCTTCCCACCACTTGTCTGGAAACGCTCCCGGAATCTGACCCGTTTCATTGCCGGAGTACCATAACATCGAACCGTAAGCGGTCTGACTGGCTGCACTTTTAATGGAGTCTATGATAGACAAAAGGTTATCCGTCAGTATTCCGCACACAATCTTTCATAATCTTGCAGTGACGTACCTGCATCATTGATATCAATACTCAGTGCCTCTGCGACACGACCAATCCCGGCGAGGAAAAGAATGGCCCCTTGAAGCCCACCGCGGGGCACACGCATTTTCGAGTAACGTCCAAGTACGCAGCGCGATCCCGAGCCAGCTGAGCTAGAATCTGGGGTGATGCGAGGATGTCGTCGTCCGGTGGGCTCTAGGTGGGAAAGGTTTGCAAAACGGACCAGAGCACACAGTCGGCACCATCGGCACCATTTCTTTTATTAGCTACCGCTAACCAGGTCCGCGCCGCTGCGAATACACCTTGCGGATTGGGACGCCGACCACATCTCCCCTAATAATCCAGCGGCATGATTAGTGGGATTGCGTGTCGGTCCAAACCGTAGAGAGTATGGTTTCAACCGTTCGGAGCAATCACCGGTAGTGAAGAGGACCAGGCACCTACGAAAAGTCATCTCTCATACGTATGCAGTGGAGCCGACGGAGCCAATCTTCTCGCTTCTCCGGGTAGTGGCCAACCAAGCTTTTGCCCAGGAGACGCCGCGCGAGATTAAGACTCGGAAGCGGATCACTCAAACCAACTTTCTGCATCAGCCAGTCGAGAATATACGGGTTCAAGAAAATGGTTGGCTTATGGGTTCCTGACATGTCAAGAGGGTTTTATTTCCATCACCGATATCAAGAAAACAATTTGGGCGTTTGGATGTGCGGCTTCACGTGACCGAGCCCCTGAAAGGCATCAAATCGCGCACTTTCGGGGGCGTCTTCCATCCCCACTTGCGCAAGCTAGTGCTGAATAGCTAATTCTATATCGCAGATCAATTCTAGGGTATCATAGAAAAAGTAGAATAGTAGGACAAGGCAATTTGCCATAACTATTCAACAGTCCAGACCAAAGGATCTGATTAGAGTACACAAGCATCCATCTTGGCGCGTCGGGAGGCTTCGCATTGAGAGAAGACGCAGAAAGAGATTACGGGCGACCAGATCGACTAAACGCGTCAGTCGGTTCTGGTGTCCACATTCAGGCTTAAGTCCGAGCAAAACCCCGCGCGGAGATATTTACTCGAGTTTCTCCGTATATGCTTTGAGAATTTCGACTCTCAAGGCTCTGTCTGTCATGTGACCTTTTTGTGCCTATACTCCATAGGACATGACTATAACATCTTGGATGGGGGTTCTGTACCGCGGCCTACCCGACCAGATCCAGATCTCGACGCCAAGCAGGTTAAATCTAGCTTAATTATTGATGTGTTTCAGACCAGCCATATTAATTTAATTCCGTGAGTCATATGATTCATGTCTGAAGGAATCCTAGTAGTGAGTCGTGACCTTGGAAGATTGATACAGACCAGAACCACTGGTGTTCCTCTTCGGGACCCCGACAAGAACGCGCCCTCATGCTTGGATTTCCCCCGTCCGATTCGACGAGATGGTGAGACAGGTTTCCGTTCACAGCCCGCTCCCGGTAGACCACTCCTATGATGGGTTCATGGGGCGTGAGAAGTTCGAGAAGCTTTTTCTGAGACTGGCAATCCAATATCCGGATGGTTGACAACAAGACCGCACTATTCGACAGGGGACCTACTGGTCATAGATACGCTGTCGATTGAGCATCTAATCTGATAATCAGACCCAGATATAATGACGCGAGGTTTCCCGTTTCCCAGGATTCGCTCGTACTACGTTCAGGGCTAGAGGTTCCATGCATAAGTGGTCTATGAAGAACTGAGTGATGGTGTCGCAGAATTCTGACTGTCTGCATATCTCGGCGCGATTCAATCTCGAGCGACGCTCGACCAACTGAAAATACTGTATGCGTGCCTGCTGAGTCTTCTTACTCGGACACAAAACGGTCATAATCCTACTAAAACTTGAGGCATAGGCGCAATAGTCATGAGACGAGGGCGAGAGCATCAATTGTTCATTATTGCTATCTTCTTCTAAGACTAGTAAACAGCAATTTTATTTCGAGTCTTTGTGCGGGGCATCGCAGGAGTACTTCTTCATATCAATAAGCTCGATGATCCCCTGCTCCTCCAACTCCTTCAAGCCACCCTCGTGATAAAACTGCAAGCCATAACCAGGTTGCCCAAAGAACGGCGCGATTGGCCCACCCGTGACGTTAAACGTTTCGACGACCCTCCATACCCAGTAGTTATACTCGGGACTGTTGGGATACTTGTTCAAGTTGCTTGGCGGAATGGATCTCCACGCGAACGGGGTGTCCCTTGGCGCTAAGTAGCCTCCATATTGAGTTCCGAACCGATCGAGCTCCATGCCTTCCTCAAGGGTGTATACTGTCGTCACTGGGACGCCAACCGAGTCCAACAACGCGCCGTCCTGCTCAGGGTATTCGTATTGCTTGCCATTAGGTGCAAACTTTCGGAGGAAGTCCTGCGGGCAGTAAGACCCGAGAGGGCTATATCCCTTGAACATTTCAGACCACTCGGGGTCATCTGGCGCCGTAAAGACCTTGGGTCCCAGGAGTTTGTTATTGCATAGGGAATCGCTGTTTCCTGTGCTAGGAACGCCTTCGCAAGGATTTCTACCGCATCTTCCCCCAAAAGAAGCCTATCAAGGTTAGTACATCAGCCATCAAACCTATAAACACGCGTGATTTATGATGGGATTACCTCGGGTGTTTGTGAAGAATTACCAAATGGCAATGAGAAGGCTCCAAGTGGGAGCAAAAGCAGTGCTAGCGATGCATACATTCTGTTCAAACTTGAGTATCAACAGGGTCTGCTCTCGAAATGCGACAACAACAGCAGAAATGGGAGGGTGTCCATGGGTCCGGCGCTGGGAGCCGGACGCATTTATAGCCCACGGCCGGTCATGCTAGTTCGGCCAATATCTCGCCCCTGTGTACGGTGGGACTAGATTTCGTGTGAGCTGTTCCATGCAAGGCGATCGCGCTCTGTCTTACTGTCTCCCCACGGTTTCTCCATGGCAACCTAACAGCTGAACTTTGCTGAAGTCCATTTTACGGGACTCGACGCGACTATGGGTCTCTAGCCATGTCGGGCGCCGAGATCTACTCCAATCAAATTTCACACATCCAAAGCGGAGACCAGTGCACGAACACGAGGAGCAGCTCAGAATCAGTAGTTCGGCAGCCAAGACTACTGATCAGGGAACCGCCAAGGGGAAAACTCCGGCCCAGCCGCCAAGCAAGTCGTAAGACGTGTTGACACCGTCTGTTTTCCACCCACAGTGACGAGCCAAGTTCGACAAGAAGAGCATCCCGTGATAAGCGGTAGGCATACTCGTTCCCTGGTCGCCTTGTTGCAGTGTCAACCCTCTCGGTCTCCTGGTTGAGATCGAGGAAACCTGACGATCAGCAGGGTCGTGCCGGAAAATCTCGAGGTGGATCCCTCAGCTCAATTTCGCCGTCTCCACCGTCCAGCTGCCCTTACTTTTACCTTTTCTGAACTCGTTTACCTTCAGTTCCCGCCAGACAGTGGAGAGACCAATCCAATGGTTGTCGAGTATTACTCACACCGCTTGGAAATCTGCAGATCTTGTTGATAATCAATCTGTCCGTGCCCCATTTTGGCTGGTACATGTTTTCATTTTTCTTCAGCTGGTATGCGGATTCGGCCCGCGGCACTTTATTTAACTTTTTTTCTTCTTTCTCTATCCAATTCCCATTATTGACCTCACTTAAGTCACAGCTGGGAAATAAAACAAGATTAGGCTTTCCAGAAGGTCAAACTGTACCTTTCGTGGTTCCATAGAACCCATATACAGGAATTATTCAGCATGAGTTCCATGGAATTTGTCGTCGACTACTCCGTACGGAGTACAATAATCAAAGACCGCAATCACAGACACTAAAGAGGAAGAATTTGGCCAAGACTGAAACCCACACAACTGGAAAAGATCGACGATCCCCAAGCCCACAGATGTGATATCGGATCTCGAATCCTCGTGTCCGTAAGTAAGGAATACCTGTGAATTCAACGTGAACACCACGTATAGACCCCACATTTTTAAAGCTATCAGCGATGGTGCACTACTGGAGAGTTTTAGCATGCAGGTACAAACTTTTCTTCCCCCTTGATGGAGGATCGGTGGAGTAACTCCGTGGATCATCGTGCTTGTTTCGCTGCGATATATTATGAACACTGTGCCATACCAGCCCACCCATGGGATTCCGCGATCGCTGTGAGAAATTTCCATCGCAAGACAGGATCGTATCTGCCATTCTCATATGCTCACTATCTACATGACGATCGTTACACTAAACACTGTCCATCTTGTCCAAGTACCAGCCAGAAACACAATGTCACTGATAAAATGGCTTTTGCTGAATCAACGCAGTTCCGACCTCCAAGTCATGACCGAAGATGATAGTAGCCGAGTATAGCCTCTGCAACCGCCGAATAAAGTTCGTACTGTCCATCCAGCTCTTATGATCACGCAGCAGCCACCCCTGTGCTTGGTTATTCTCGTAGTTCTCCCGCACATGGAACTGGTCGGTGGTCCAGATGAACGTTCCATCCTGAGCCAGGTTGACCTGCATGATGCACAGACCCGGTGTATGGCCCGGGCAGAGATGCAGGGTGATCCCCGTGCACAGGTCCAACTGGGAGTCGTTGAAAGTTTGCCAATTGAGAGACCCGTCTAGACGGAGATAGTCGGCGCTGGTGTTTGTCAATAAACTGGTATGTAACAGAGCAACTATGCAAGGGGAGAAACAACGTACAGGTAGGCACCTTCTTCTGCCTTCGTTCCTGCTCCCCAGCATGCATACTTGAACTCTTCCTCGTGCACATAAATCGGCACGTCTGTATTGAGGAAATGCTCTAGGCCGCCGGCGTGGTCGAGATGTAGATGTCCCATGATCACTGCTTTGACGTCTTTGATATCGTACCCGGCAGCTTTGATGGCAGCCGGAAGACGGTTTTCGGGCTCATACCGCGTGCGAGGGAAAGTGTCCACATTAGCAGGGGGCCATTTCTATTTTAATTCTTAGCAGTTTTCCAACGTCCGTCACGAAATTATGCATACAATATCAATATCCTCTGCACATCCAGTCTCAAACAGAATCAGCCCCATTTCCGGGTGGTCAATGAGACCCGCCAGAACGATCATCTCTCGCCATTTCCGGGCTGGTTGGGGATTGCTGGCTGTGGCTGAGCCCTTTGACATGAACAGCCTGTTTCTCCTATTAGCTTTGGTCGAGACGATAGAAAATTGTGTGCTCTCACCATCCCTCCTCGCAGCTAAGTAACCCTAAATCCAAAAGGTGCATTTTTGTTCCCTCCGGACAGGTATACGCGGGGATGGCCGCCTTGGCCAACTGTCTAGAATTCATTGCAGGGATTAGGTACTGTTGTACGTGTGCTAACACGTCGTTGGGCTTTGTGTGTACGTAGTGTGGTCTATTTAAGAGCTTCCTCAGTGCGGGGTACGTGTCGCTTGATTGCCACCATATTGCGTTCTTCAACCCCGACTGGACTCGTGCTTTTCTTTCCCCACTGTGATTATGCATGTAACCTTGTGATCTGGAATTACGTACTGTGGTAGGGTGGGAAAGATCGTGTTGATCCCTGTGGACAGGTTCGTAGATCGTTTCCTTCGAATTTTGCCAGCTGTGTACATGATATGATAGGACCTGATACAGAAGGTGATGCTTTTGTCACAGTGGTTCTGGCAGTTCTACCCACCATCTTAACGCACCCTACTACAGTCTACAATGTACAGTCTCTTATAGGCTAATGCGCTTTGACCTGTCGGGAAAGGAATCCAAACAAGGGGTCTTGTGTGAGGAAAATATCCCCGATTCCCCATCTCTATAAATTTTGCCAAGCTTTATATCAACTACCATACTGTCCGAAGTTATGCACGGTCATTGGAAACTTAGCAATCGTATACCAGCGATACCAACTCAAAGTTTGGAGCCAAAAGTAGCGCCCAACGGATCATATCCCGCAGATTTGAAGACAGCCTCGACCTGTCTTCTCCGGACACCGACATTGCCCCCATCGAATATGGGCAGGCACACAGCATCATTGAGCAGCACCCCATATTGAGCTTTTGCTTGGTACGCTTGAATGCCAACAACATTCATCCCCTCAATCACACACTGCACCGCATTCTCGGAGCAGAATATCTTAGCTAGATGTGCAGTTTCGGCCGCCTCCGGCAATCTTCCCAGGGAAGAACAAGCTTTCCAAGTCAAGGCTCTACCCGCTTCGCAGCGCATTCTCATCTTGATCAGCAAGTCAGCCACGCTTTGCTTGTGGATGATCGGCTCTGAGCCGTTCCTCGTGTCTGACTTGGCAAACCGAAGCGTCATGTCAAAGCCACGTCTCATCAATGCGACGCCCATTGCTCCAACTAAGCCCGCAGAAGCAGTGAAAGCGGCTTCAATGACCTCTGCTCCCGCGCCGGGCATTGCTATGACCTCTTTGGCCACGAAGTTCCGGAATCGTATATGGGGGCCAGACACAGCGCGATGGCCGATCGTTTCGGGGTGCGATAGAACGGCATACGCATCGGGTGCATTAGCTGCGACATCAGCTCTCGTCACCAAGAGAATCATCGTTTGCCCTTTAGCATCTGCCGTAGAGTATGCAGCATTTTCACACCGACATGTAACGCACTGGATGTCCGCGCCGCGATCGTCCCACCCTGCACAATTGGTTGCCCATAACTGTTCATCAGCATTAGAAAGCTCTTGCAGACAGATACGTCTCGAATCACCAATGTTACCTTCTCCCCGTTAATAATCCACCCATCCTCAACCTTTCTCGCTGTAGTCCTCAACCCTGTTGTCCCGTAATTAGCCGTCCCGCCCGGCTCAGAATGCACCAAGCTTGCCAACGGCACCCCCTTTCTGTCCGTGAATGGACTCAGATACCTCTTCTTCTGCGCATCCGTTCCCCCAATAAGCAACGGGGATAAACCAAGCCCGGTTGCGAGGATGGTCAACGCCACGCTGACGTCAGCAGTATACAGTTCCTCGGTTAAGAGTGCCATGTCAATGAGGCCGTATCCCTGGCCATTGTATTCAGTCGGCACCTGAGCTCGAATTAGTCCCGCCTTGACCGCTTGTTCGTAGAGTGGCCTGATGGCAGAGAACCTCGCTTGCGGAGTCGGTAGATTCTCGTACAGAGTGTGGGCAGTTGCGAGGTGCTTTGTAGCAAAAGAGCGGGCATGTTCCCGGACTCTAGTCTGCGTGTCAGACAACTCGAAGTCGATCATTTTCAGACCCTGGTTTTTGGGATGTGGATGGGGTTGAATACAGGGTAAGTTGTAAGCAGTAACAAGTTGATTAAATATGCGCGATATTGGGAAAGATTCGTAAGATGAAAATGTACGTCAGATTTACCGCGAGGCTGCATCGGGGCTTTTATAGTAGCTGCACGCACGGCCCCTGGTATGTAAGCTGTTCCGTTAGCGCCTTGCTGGCGGTGGAGAATGTAAGCGCACGCATGCATGATATAGAATAATGGACATAATGGACAGATAATCTCTAAATTGTGGAAGAGGGATAGACATAGTATAGCTTGGTGGTACTGTTTTATTTTATGTAAGTAGTACTGGTAGTCCATAACTGCCAATGAGTTAAAAAGCCACTTCACATCTGACCGGGTATTTTCTCTCGTCTGCGTCACGATCTAATGGTCAACAGCGATGCTTCCTAACGAGCGATATCTATTCAACTTCGTTCCTGATCTGCCACACTATTGGTACTACTGGACGAGAGACTCTGCCAAGTATCAAGTTCATTGCATTGGTATAACCATCATTCCGTAAACAGGATGTCTTTACGATAGGGCTATTCAAGTAAACAAAGCACTCAGTTCAAGGCCTTTGAAACTTGACTTTCAAAGACCTATTTGCCCGCTTCAAATATGATCTTCTGCGACTTCATCTGGTTGAAATCATCGTACCTAGAATTTGTCAGTAAGCCGTCTGCAACCATGGGTCGGAAACCTACGCCTGAATCGCCTGCGACAGGGGCCGAATATCGCCAACCATGAATCTATAAAACCGTTAACCATGCCACCAGCCAAGCAAAGCGAAGACCTTACTCCAAAGAGTCCTGCTTCCGAACCAGCAACTCCAAAGCATCCTCAAAGATACCTAATAACCAGAGTCAACACAAACCCCACATCCAGGGGGCAGATACATACTGCGAACAGGACACCGTCCCATCTGGATCTGCAGATTCTTCCCGTACGCCTCATTGCCAGTCCAGGGGATCTCCCCGTTATGCACACCAATACTCGAGATGCGACCCCACGGCCTCAAATTATCAAAGGCCATACGCAAAGCATCGCTATGCCCAACGACTTCAATCGCCACATCAGCCCCGCGACCCTCAGTAAGATCCTTGACACGCTGCTTCAGACCCTCCGCATCAGTCTGGAAATTCCATGGCTCAGCCCCCAGACTCTTCGCCAACTCCAACCGCGACGGAACACTATCAACAGCAATCAAATGCTTAGGGCGATAATCCAGCGCGCTGATCAACGCACAAAGCCCCACGGGCCCACACCCAAACAACAAGACCGTACTCTCTTCAATCGTCGCCCGGTCCATCCCCTTGAACGCATTCCGGGCCGCGAAGAACCCCGTCGGCAGGATATCCGCCATCAGGACGAGTTTCTTCTCATCCACGGCCGCGGGAGCCGCGACGAGGGTCGAATCCGCGGACGGCACGCGCGCGTAGTCCGCCTGTCCACCGTCCAACATCGCGGAGCCGTACAGCTTGCCCTTTGCGCAGCGTGAAGAGCATTTCCGGGCACAGTAAAAGCACTCGCCGCAGTTGACGGTGAACGGGGAGACGACAAGGTCTCCCACTTTGAAGCCGCGGACCGCGGAGCCGACTTCGACGACTTCGCCGGTGAATTCATGGCCCATGATGAAGCCCGTGCCGGACGGCTGGTGGCCGCGGAAGACGTGGAGTTCACTGTTTTTATCTTATCTTAGAATTCGATTCATTTCACAGCGACACCAATGCGCCTTACCTGCCGCATAGTGCCGTATAGCGCACTTTGACGATGACGTCGGTGGGTTCCTGGATCTGTGGGACGGGCCGCTGTTCTAGAGCGACCTTGAGAGGACCTTGGAAGACAACAGCCTGCATGGTGGACATTTCGTTCGTTAAAGCGTAGTGCTAGAGATGTGGTGCGGGCAGTTGCGAGTCCAGTGTGAGATGAACGACATTCGTACCGTCTCCCCTCCATCACCCCACTTGAGGGGTCTAATTGCCTCGGCTGTGACCCCTGTATGGTCAACTTTTGTCACCACATTTTGTTTGCAGGGTTTACCCAGGTTTACTCAGAAGTAGGTTACAGCAAATGGTTCGGAGAATATGGCATTGGTGGGCTATTCTCTTTCTTTGTGTCCAGACTGAATCTCAATATTCATACCTGTTGCATAATAATGGACCTTAAGCGCCGACATGATCTCACTCTCTTTAGTCGTATACACGTATATCGATATCCTTTTAGTTTTTTTCTGTTCTCAGTTTAAGAAGAATTAATACTGATCCATTGCTATAATTTATCCACCTACACTATCAAGCCACAATAAGAAGTAAGTGATAGCATTCAGCATACCAGCTGATTCGATCCAACTTAGGGCAACCCGCAGAATATATAAACAACCACCCCACCCCTAGTACAGCAGTACCTCATACAAAATTCCCGTGCACAACTCTTCAATAGTAAGCCAGGAAAACACCACTAAATAACAGAACCAAATGTACAAGTCTGGAACTCTCGGAAACCTGACGGTCTTTGTTCGGACCGGGGGTAGATCTCCGATCAGCGACATGTGATTGGCCAACGGTCCCTCGCCTCGGCATTGAGCAGCTCTCATGCGGGGACCTCGATCCGAAGAGACTAGTATAACTATACATTCCTGACCTGCAAGGTATTATATCAAAACGACAATCCATTTCGACCTGACCATCTCAAGTGCATAAACCACCCAGGCCACACAAAAGTAACCCAATCCAATCAAATAGAAGAAAACCAAAACAACAGAACAGAAAAGGAAAAGAAATGTCCCCCACAAACCTCCCCAACCCCATCCCCTTCTCTGAACCCCCCTACCTCCGCGGTCTCCCAAGCCCCTACTACACAGAAGGCCACCTGCGGTTCCAAAAAGCCTGCCGCGCGTTCCTGTGGGAGAATCTGATCTCGCACGCCACGGAATGGGAGAAGGCCGGCCAGGTCCCGGACCATGTGTTCGAGACCTTCAACAAGCATAACATGCTGCTACCGATCTGCCGGCGCCCTTGCCGGTCGATTGGTTGAAGCGATTGGGCATTCATGATATCCTGGGCGTGAGGGTCGAGGACTGGGATTATCTTTACACGGGCATTTATTGTGATGAGGTTTGTTTTTTTTTCTTTTTTTTTTTTATTTGGGTTGTTGGTTGTTCTAAGGGTACTGCTTTTCCGCGCGATTTCACGTGGATGAACATGCCACTCTACTACACTGCACCAGTCCATGGAAGAGTCAATACTGATGAGAAGATAGATGGCCCGGTCCGGTCTCGCGGGCCCAGGCACCAGTCTCAGCGCTGGCTTCGCGTTCGGGATCCCCCCCGTGCTCAAATACGCGAGTCGGGAGCTGCAAGAGCGCATGCTGCCGGACATGCTCACCGGCCGGAAACGCACCTGTATCGCCATCACGGAGCCCGAGGCGGGCAGCGACGTGGCGAATATTACGACCACGCGACCAAGTCTGCCGATGGGAAGTTTTACATCATTAACGGGGCGAAGAAGTGGTATGTTTTACGTTCCTGGCTTTTTCTATTCTTTGTCTGCTTTTCTGGTGTGTGATGTATTTGCGATGCTGTGTTTCGGGTTGGGGTTTGTGGGGGGTGAGAGTTTGATACAGAGATTAACTGAGATAGGATCACAAACGGCATCTGGTCCGACTACACCACAATGGCCGTTCGCACCGGCGGACCGGGTGCTGCTGGCCTCTCTGTCATGGTCGTGCCGTTGAAGGGCTACCCCGGCGTGTCAATGCGCCCGATCCACGTCTCGGGCAGCAAGACCAGCGGAACCACCTACATCGAGCTGGACGACGTCAAGGTGCCCGTGGAAAACCTCATCGGCCGCGAAGGCGACGGCATGCGAATCATCATGACGAACTTCAACCACGAGCGCCTGACCATCTCCGTGCAATGTACGCGACAGGCCCGTGTGGCGCTGTCCGCGGCGTTCGGGTACTGCATGAAGCGCGAGGCGTTCGGGAAGACGCTGATGGATCAGCCGGTGGTGAGGCATCGGTTGGCGAAGGCCGGGGCGGAGTTGGAGACGGTGTCGGCGTGGGTCGAGCAGATCTTGTATCAGCTGAGCAAGTTGGAGAAGAAGGAGGCGGATCGGTTGCTCGGGGGTGTGACGGCGATGGCCAAGGCCAAGGCGGCGATGGTGTTGAATGAGTGTGCGCAGTGTGCGGTTCTGTTGTTTGGAGGCGCGGGCTTGACCCAGAGCGGGCAGGGCGAGCTTGTTGAAGGTATGTTCCTTTTCTCTTGTGTTTTCCATGGCTGGGGTTGGTGACTGACGATTATAGCTATCATGAGGGATGTCCCGGTGGCCAGGATTCCGGGTGGTTCGGAGGATGTTCTGCTGGATTTAGCTGTGAGGCAGCTGGTGAAGATTTACCAGACGCAGGAGAAGAAGTTGGGCCAAGCGAAGATCTAGGATGTTTAGATGACTTGTATTAGCTATGTTTCTATTACTTGGTACACATTCGGGTTATACGTACAGATGTCGCAGGTGGAAGATGACAGTAGACATTGAAGTAGATTCACTATGTTCATGTTACCTATGCTACTAGTGAAGGTATACTACGGCTTGTCTACGGCGCGCTTGAAAACAGACCGTGCTCATATAGCGATTGCCACGGATCGGAATAACAAATCAACGGCGATCGATTGGAAGGTGGTGAACACAGGGCACGCCATTGGTCTGCACAATCATAAAGCACCATGACAGCAGAGAGCGACACGCCGCGCAAGTTGACAGAAATCGACGAGTCGAGTCAGCCTAATCTTGGCTGAGTCCACGTTGTGAATCCAGAATACCATGGATTATACCACAATGAGTGCGAAGCAGAATGTGACGCCGTATCTAGCTGCAACAGGGATAGAGAAGCGTGACGGGAGGTTATCGGCCAAGCTTCAGACGCTTTAAAGCGAGCGATGTGTCCTTTCGACGGAGTGTTGCGATACCCATGATACTCGCCGAGTCGCATTGCCGAGAATCTGTAACCGATGTTTGACCGAAACGCACTGAACCCGCTGAATTCAACAGTATCCCGCATTTAACCAGTCGCCATGACCCGCCTTCAACGAATACCTCGTGTAATACATAGTGCGCTCATCGGTAGCAGATTTTGATCGGAATGATTGAGATCGGCTGAGACGACGAAGGCAGTTGCCATGGTCAAGAATGGATTTCGAAAAGATTGCGTTGTGTTGTCCAGAAGGATCTGCGATTAGTCATGCCAGAAGGACCCAGTCGAAAGTCACATGATCAATGTATTGGTAACATGGAAGTGTATAGGTAAAGAAGCTGCAGAGCATTAAGAAGGTAAACATCAAGCCATCACGTCGAAGCGATTCGCGTAAAACAAAAGAATGACAATTAAGAGCCAAATCCCATCGCTAACATCCACAACACAAGCACTCGACACATTCAATACAGCACTCGCAGGTCTCCTCACACAGGAAACAACAGCACATGGCCATCAAACTGTCACCGTCAGCGTTTCGTTCTTTTGTCTGCACAGATACCGGTGGATCATGCTTACCAGGCGGTGAGACAGCCACGGTCCTTCTTCTCCTCCTGGGGTGGGGGCTGCTGGTACTGCATGGGCTGGGGAGGAGGATATTGGCCGCCAGGGGGAGGGTAGCTATGCGATGTGTTAGCGGCGATGTTGCCCAATAACTGCCAAGAAGCGCAACGGGCATGCGAAATCCGCAGAAGGTATTACTTACTATCCCTGGGGAGGAGGCTGTTGACCGTAAGGCTGCTGGTAAGACATGTTGTATCTAGAGAGGGAACGACGGTGGTATCACGGAGGGAGATGGTCAAGCCAACGTAAATAAAAAGGGAAAAAAAGAGAGTATGGGGAAATGGCAACGGGTCAGGAGGTTTTCAGACTTAAGTAAGAGTTGACTTCGAAGGCTCGGGGGGACCAGACCAACAGGCAGAACTAATAGCGGTGATTTCAGCCCTGCTGGTAGACGCATCGGTTCTCTTGGCCCTGCAATTGACGCCTGGGGTCCACCTCCGCCAGCACGATTGGGTCTGGCGATGGAATTTTCATTGACAACTAATTATTGGCAGCCCCCTTGTACGACGGAGTCTTGGCTCTGACCCTTTGTTACTTCGTAGGTGCAATCTCATGCTGTCGGGGAATGCTGGCGCCTAGCCGTTGGTCTGGCAATGTGGACCGCGAACCATGGGCAACTGACGGCCAACAACACATCCATCAACTTTGATCGGTGAGGCCCTGGTGTGGCTGAGGCCGAAGTTACTTTTCTATGGTCAAACAGTATTGACAGTGGACACAATACCGATTACATACACTTGATATTTCATAGTGTTTCCATGAAGATTGCCAAGCGCGACTTATTGGCCACTAGAAGGTCGCCAGCAGCCCCTTAAGGCTGGGACTCCGCTGCCAAGCCCCAATCATCGTCCCCAACGGCCCGACTGATCTCCACTTCCCCTGAATCATGATTGGGTCAGAATGGTGTTGCCTAACCAGCAGTTTCATTCGCTTTGCTTCCTCCTTATGAATGCCACCATCATGAACATAACTCGGCACTAACGGGAGTCAATTGTCGAGAGGAAAGTGCTTTGGGTGGTTTCATGGGTGTGGCTGATGTCAACTGACTCTGTTTGAAGCCCAGCCCAGGTGCACATGCCATCCCTTCCCTATCATTGAATGGCGCAGGACTTTCCTCTTCTGGTACGACGGCGCTAATGAACAGGATCTCGCTACGCCGTACTATCCACATCTATTAATATATCGGGTGGTGCAGGGTTCATGCCTGGTGCGACTCCCCAAATCCTGTCGGGGCGTGAGATTGTCCGTGTAAGACATATAAACGAGGGAATTATTCCCCGCCAATGGTGCGTTGTCAGGGAGTATATATAGTAGTACGTGATGAATATCAGACTGTCAATACTCAGACCCAGTCCATCACGTGTCTGTCAAGCCACCCATGTTGGGGCCAATCGGGTGGAGCCGATCCCCATTTCCGCCCACGGGACAATTCAACATATCAGGGATCTTATTGTAGTCGCGTTTCACATTGAACACTGTAAAATCATGTGCAGAACAGAACAGCTCCTCAGAAAAGACAAGTTGATCCGAGGTGACGGAATACCAGGCATCCCTGATGTCGGTCGGTATGTGTTCCCATGCTGATCATCCTACAAACCAATCAGATGCGCCAGACACATGCAATGCTCCTCCTAATCTGAGAATGCGATCTACAGCGTACAGTTTCGCCAATGTACCTTAAGGTTTATTGTCAATAGCCCTGGCGTCGTAGGGGGCGTTTCCGAAACCTAATGTGCGAGACAATGGCGTTTCTTGAGCGCTGTCCAGTGGACCAAATATCACTCAGCAATGCAGGGGTGTAGCGGCACTCATATAAAATCATAGCAGACCGCTTCGCGCTCCGCTGTAATATGCTGACCACGGCCTGGTACATGTCCATAATTCCCGATGTTGTGACTCGTAAAGGATATACCTGGTCTTGTGAGGTTATTGGTGACCTGAGCGCTCGACGCGGAATTGAATCCCTTACACACAATGTGGGGGTATCATTCTTTATCAATTGAACCGGGCACCTTGCCACGTGTAAACGGTTCTGCTAACTCCAGCGCGGGCTCAAACCCGATGGCTAAAGCCGGGCACCAATGGAATCTATGTTCATACCAGACAAGCAATGGGGCTGCTGTTGGACTTCTGGCTTTGTGTCACGCCAAGCCAGGTCTCCACCGAGCCAAGGGATATATACATCGGTCATATAGCGTCGTAGAACGTATTTGGAGGGGTTTCGTGAAGGATACTACTTGACGGAGAGAGAAGACAGTTCGTAACATAAATACGCATTGCATCCCTAGTTGGACAATCTGAGTGTTAACCGCAAGAACAAGTTAGGAAATAGCGGCTGGATGATTCGTTAGGGAATATCGATAGTAAGAAAGCTACATCACGAAGTACTGAGAAAAGAAAGGACGAGAGATGCACATGTGAGAAAGAGAATCAGCTGCCACGACACGCTACGGCGGAAAAACAGTAACAGCTTCAATAATGGGAACGACTGTGAATTGCAACAGTAAAACCAGCGTCTGCGTGGATCACGCAAATAAAAAAAGAAAATCGAGGAAAGACGGCCCAGAACTCAATCCTCAGCCCAATCCATGTCAATCTCAATTTCTTCTGGATTCACACTTCCTTGCATACCTCGTGCGGCAAGCTCCATATCAAGAGCTTCAAAGATCCTGACGAGAAATACTTTCTCGCCAGGGAGCTCAATGCCCATCCTCGTCCCTTTAAACACCGCTTCTTCAAAGCAAGCCCTGGCCAGCTTGGCGACCTGTTCGTTTCCGCAATGATAAAAGTGTTTGTAGCGTCGCCTCCAGAACACCCATCGGGGAATGCTGAAGCCACTGCACGGAAACTCAGACTTGGGAGCGAGGTCACCCGGCGTAGTTGAAGCTGGAACGTCATCACCCATGGACGGAGCTGGATAGTCATGATTGGTTGCTGTAAATTTGGCAAGATTGAAGCTGTTGTACTTCAACCACGCCAGACATGCGGGAAGGAGTTCCACAACGGGGACAGCACCATTGGTCGCATCCACCTCTCCCTCTGCCCGGCTTAACGGTCTCTCCGTCTCAAACGTCTCCTTGAACAACCACAGCGCGCAACGACCAAGCTCCGACGGGAAAACTCCAAGCGCACACAGTCGAGCCGTGAGCGCCGCTAGCCCCTCTCGCTGCGCTGCTGTATAACCCATGGACTCCTTCATCCAGGCGTCCTGGAACTCCTGAACAAGATGGGGGAGATCACTCCACAGGCGCTGTCCATTGGGTAAGATCACCGGTTCTGGTTCCTCATCGGCAGGGGCGTTCGTTTTCTTGCGTGTGATGGGCCCGCACTCTCGAGCCTCCAGAATCAGTGTCACAAGGCGGTCATGCTCGGCACTGTCAGCAGGGTGTCTTTTTGCTACGTGGATGAGCTCGTCCCACAAGTCGTGTAAGAACTCTTCGACCATCGGCATGTCCCAATCACCTTGAAGGTATCCCTCACTGAGGTTGAGCATTCTCCATCGGAAGTCTTGCCAGGTCTCCCGGGGGTTTGAGAGGTCGTACTCAAATTCTTGACGTTTTTGTTCGCGAGTAAGAACTCGCACACTGCAGTTTCCACTGGGACAGTCGGCCATAATGATGACACTAGATAGGAGTAGAGAAAGGCAGAGGGGCGGTGTTGTCAGACTGAGGGAGAAGAGGTCAGTGATCCTCACTGGAGAACATCAAGAGAACTCCAAGTTGGATGCCTAATCTTGTACACTTTATGGTCGCCAATCATATCTAGTCTAATGTGTGACATATGAGGGATTGTTATGCTGAATGGAGTTTAGTAGGTATAAAGGTGCCGGTTGTGCAAGGCAAAGACTTCTTTCTTTAGCGTGAGTGGGGAAGTTTTATATCGATTTTCAGCCATAAGAGATAGACCTCCTGCAAGACCTCGATTGATGCAATGAAACAGACATTCACCTGTTATAATGACACCTTTTATAATAATGATGGGCTAGCTGGTGCGTCTAGAGCACCACTTTCCCTTCCCGAGTCCATTCTATCATTATTTCGCGGAAGGATTCAGGCCCAGCCAACCATAAAAAGAGGAAACCAAGGGAATTGCGGAAATGAGAAGAATGAACACGAGCGAAAACGTTACATTTGAGATCCCCCGCCCCAGTTAGCTGAACAAAATATCGGGAGGCTACATACACAGAGCTCATGCGCCGGTCTCAATTACAATACTACCCTGAGGATGAGAAAGTGAGACTGGAAGCAAAGTTGGTGCACCGATATTGTGGAGAAAAGATCACAGGCATACCCAACGTAAGGCTACGGTATTCCTATACAATTCTCTCCAAATGGAATATAAATATCATCAACCTATCTTCCAAGATTTTCCTTCCGCTTTTAACGAAAACCGCGAAGATCACATCTTTCGATCTCTCTAGTAAAAGACCGCATCACTTGAGTCAGGATCAAACACCTCTCATCCTCGAGTATGAAGCTCATCTCGAACCTTCTCCTCTTCGTAGCCCTGGCTGGCCCTCTGCTTGCCACCGCCATCCCCGAACCCAACAACGCGAACAACGTCGAGGAAGAGCCAGAGCCCCTTGATGGGGCCGTTAGAAAGGTGAGAACAGTCAGAACCAGTTCCCGCTGTGTCAACTAACAGAGTCTCTACTTAGCCATGCAGCGGCACATGCAGTGTGAATGGATGCCACTGCACCAGGCCTGTTAGGCCCTGTCCTTGTCCGCCTCAGGATATCGGAAAGTCATGTACCTGTTATTAGGACTTACCATGATTGCCTATATCTCCCGTCCGCAAGTTGAGGGTCGGGCGAGGATGGCGATGTATGCGTTGTTCGATCTTTGTCTTGTAGTGTTATTGATTTGTCTTCAAGTTGCTATATGTCAATGCAATGGGTTCTGTCTCGTAAATGCAAAGTGTATCGGCCAAGATATGGTTCTACCGTAGAGGCCTTGTCTACATGATATAGTTCAATATTGTAGTTGCTGGAGTATTGGAGTATCCATCTATTTTGGCACTGATAATGACTATATAGCCTGGGTAATATAAAATATGAATGAAGTCATATCCGGGAAGATGAGTTGGCATGTCAGTAATTTTTGCTACTGTATATAATTTTCATTTGCTAAGCAGAACGAATCCTGCGACTTTTTTCGTACGTACCGAAATTTTGTAAGAGAAGAAAAGAAAAAAAAAGACCTTCCAAGCCATGACAGAACAACAATGCGCCCCATATTGCAACTTAAGACGTTATTCCCCGCTTGAGCCTTGTAAGCGAGAGCCTCTCGTGTCCCATCAACGTCACACCAAGAATCTTATGACCGGACGGGTGCAACTGGTAATTGAGCCCCTGTAGCCTCCGCACGCCCTTGAAGTTCAACCTCATTGAGGGCTAAGAGGTCTTCTTCCTCCCAACCCTCACGTTCATCCTTGACCAGTCTTACAAAACAAACGTCGAGAATCAACGCCACCGCACTGATGGCAACACCGAAGTACAGTGCTGCCCGATATCCCATGATCTGGCTGTGGAAGCGCCGAGCGACTTGGACCTCAATGGTCGACGCAAACCCGAGTCCCAAACTGTTGCCGTACAAATTTAGTGTTCCAATAATAGAACCCGCGATACCCTGCTGGTGTCTACGGACGGAATTACTTGCAATAATCTGTCCCGCGGTATAAACAAAGTCTGGACAGAACGAGAAGAGAACTACAGACGGAAAGATCTGAGCCCAGTATGATTGGTGCAGAGGCACGGTGGCCATCAGGGCATTGGAGACTAGAATGGTGACTGTTCCAATGGCCAGGATCCACTGCGCCGCTAGACGAGGGATCAGCCAGGCAGCAAGGGACGCTGCAGCCGTTGCACAGATGACAAAAGGGGTCCACCCGACAGCAAAGTGGAGTGGGGACCAATGCCACACTTCCTGTAGCCAGAGCACCTGGTACCAGATTAGTGTGCCCACTGCCATGTAATTCAGGAGAATGACTAGAAGCAGCGTTAGGAAGGATGGTGCTTTGAAGATCTCAAGTGGCATGATGGGCTGCGCTGCGAATCTCTTTTCCCAGACTAGGAAGCCGCCGAAGAGTATCAATGATACTGGGAGGAGGGCGATTTCATAAGGGGTGGACCATCCGACACTGGGTGCCTGGCTATGAGAGTAAATCAGCTCACTGTCCGCATCTAGCCTTGCTCGGGGGCCACCTACTTCCAAACAAAGTTAAAGAGAATCAGGGAACTGGTGCCTAAAGCGGAGCCGATCCAATCTATCTTTCCGTGGCGGTCGACTGGCGGTTCGTATGGAGCTAGAGTCCACAGAGCGACGAAGGTTACCGCGGCGAGACACGCTCTATAATCTGTAAGCATCAAGCTTATTCCATGTCCCCTTATGCAGCGTACATGAAAACGAAGAACCACTTCCAGTCCGTGTTCTCTAAGAAGGCGCCCAAGAGTATCGCTCCACAGTAGCCTCCCAATGGCGCCGACGCTGCAAAGAAGCCTAAACTCAAGTTTCGGACGCGTCCTGGCGGGTTTGTGGCCGATATCATGGCTACCGCGTTCGGCATAATGAGAGCACCTCCAACACCAGCAAGGGCACGCATCGTGACAAAGGCGAAGAAATTATCGAGGAAGGCACCAATCAGGACACACAGACTCAGCCATGCTCCGCCGATCAGGAGAAGTTTCCTGTGTCCAAAAACATCTCCCAAGCGACCGCTCATCAAGACAAAAGTCCCTTGTGTGAGTCTATATGCGATCAGCTCCTATGCCTTGTGTGATGAAGTAGAATGATGCTCACGCATAGCTGGCCCCAATCCAGGAGGCATAGGTGCCCTCTACACCCATTGCATTGGTCAACGTGCTGCCACCGGCTATTCCAGCGAAGTTGACTGTCATCTGGTCCCGTTAACTCTACTCTATCTGCTCACAGGGTCGGTTTAAGGTTTACCTGCACGAGGTTCGCCAGAATGAGCAGCACCGTGACTGTTATCCTTCGGGCCTGCGTGGTGCCATGCGAAGGCACACGCTCGAAGATTGGCTGGCCAGTTTCTGGCGGCGAGTCGCCATTAAGTGAAGTTCGCTGACTATCTAGCTGTTGTCCGGAACCCTCAGGACGCAGGTTAAGCGAGGGGAGCGCGGGCGCAGAAGCCCGTTTTTCCGGCTGGATCGCGAGATGGAGAGCTTGCATGAGCGACATGGCGGCTCGTCAAGATCCTACTGAGGCAATGCTTTCGCAGGATATGCCAAAGATTGTGGCAAGGGGCGAATGAGAACAGGACAGAAACGAATGTTTAGTACAGTGGCTACATTTGCGTAATATAGTAGAGATCTCTTCGGAAGAAAGAGAGATGGCGGAAAATCAGGGAAATTGACTTCCGATCAACGATATCGGCGACTCGTCGTTCAATTCCATCTCTCTTTTCCCCCCCACGGTACCTGGCTCGCCGATTGGTTTTTCTGGATGATAGCTATACTGATGGATCCGAGTCGAATCCGATTGATCCATTAATTCCGCTAGAATAGTGCATGACTCACCGCTGCGCTTGGCTCCTTATAAACTTGAACATCACGACTCATAACCCTTCGGAAGTATGCTGCTCGGTTCTTGAGCACCAATCAGACACTAGAGAATATCAATTGGGTTTCTAAAGACTGAGCATAGCATGATGGATGGGGTCTGTTAAACATATTTCTTGATTGAACTTCTTCACCCTACTAGCAGGCCTAGATCGATAAACAACTTGCCCGGCGGCACAGCGCAACACGCATGGCAAGCCACATTAAATACAGGTGAGAGCCAGGTTTGTGGCTGGCTTCTGGACGACAATCTCCATTCCCGGTCGAATTTCACCTCCTTTCTCGACAACACTCATGACACCAGCCATGTATCCAACCACCACACCGCGACTATCCTTCACCAAGAAGCGATCCTTCAGTCCCTTCTTCATAGCGTCAAGCTGGGGACCGGGGTTGCGCAAACCAGTCAGCCTGAGAGTTGGCGCGTTCTGTCTGGGCGTCTTGCCGTCCACAAACAGCAGTTTTGTGTCCTTGGGCAATGAGAGCAGATCAATGCCCTGGGTTGTTATGTTCTCCCCCAGTTGTCCAGGCTTGAGGGCGATGTCCTTCGCTCCGGTCGCAGGGTCCTTACACACTTGTTGAAGGATTTCCGCATGCATCAGGTGGACCTGACGCAGATTTACGTCGGACGGCCTCGCATTTCGTAAGGGTCGGTGCTGGACAGTTGGTCCCGCATGGGCGTCACCTTTGACACCGTGGTTCGGAATGAGCGTTATACTAGATACAGCAGCTTTCGAGACAGAATGAGAGCCTGAAAGGGAAACGCTGTTGACGGACATGATGTCGATGTTTTTGAAATCGGCGCCAGGGTCGCTCCGGCCACGTAGTGAATAGGTAAGATTCTGATACAGTAGGTCTATCCCAGTTCATCCAGCTTCAGTTTTCAACAAAATGACACTTATTTATCTACCCATTTGGCCCCGCTTTCCGACATGATGTGCAGGTGATGGATGGCTGCATCTACCCCGCGGGAGATGAACTTTGGATTCGTCAACCACACCGTGCTACTGCAACTCCGTAGACGTGGTCATCGTTTATTTGCTCGAGAACCACCATACGATGTCAGACGATATTTTAAGTTTGTTGAGCATGTTACAATTGTCCGACGTATGGCCTTCTAATACGATCTGAACTCTATCCGTTTCCAGGCATATGCTGTGTATATCCGGAGCATATGCAGTGCACCGGTCTATAAAAGAAAGATTGTCTGTGGCCTTCATTATACGTTGCCTCGCAGACCGAGATGGATAGAATTTTGAGTACTATGTACATATTTAGCCCCGGTTCGAAAAAGCAACCTGTACTAGTGGGCATCTATGGAGAAAGAATCAGCGCCGAGACACACAGCAAAGAATTCCCGATCGCCCGAGGAAATACAGCGAACCAATAAACCGAAAGATTGACAAGCCCGCCGTAATCCACAAGATAGCCTGGAAGTATCCGGTCGTCCTGGTAGTCGATGTATTCGTAAAACAGATCTTATCGACGCCCGTGGCGGTAATCATCAACGCCAGGAGCAAATTGCTAAAGACCCAGAGACACACCAATCCGGTTCGGAAATTCTTATACGAGTCGTCGAGGGTTTTGCCTTCATCCTCTTCGGGTTGAACCCATGGCGCTAAGGCGCGTTTTACCGTAGCCTCAAACTGGCTGTCAATATCGGCTTGTGGTTTGTCAACCTCTTCGATGAAGTTCTTCTTGCTGTCCTCGTCTTTCTTAGTCGTTGCTGACGGTAAGGCATCTGCTTTGTCAGATCCTTTTGTGCCCCAGGAGACGTCGTGCCAATTGCAGAATGCGTAGACCATGAGCACATTGATGCCTGTGGTCATGCCGAGGAAGTATGCCCATGAACTGGTCAAGATGTGCCAAGGGTCAAGGTACAGAATGCTCGCAATGATATAGATCCCGTATGTGGATACTAGCGCAATGAGCACGATACCACCACCAGACGAGCTGAAAAAGGACTGTAGGAAGGCGGCAACACCATCATCGAAGTTGAAGTCTAGCATGCCTCCAGTAAAGACGTTAACGACTAGGTAGAAGGAGAGGATGAGAACATAGAGCTGCACGAGAGAGAAGTAGACGAATGAGAGCGTGTAGAGCGTAACCACACTATTAATCTGTAAGTTGCTGGCAGTCATTAAAAAAAAAGGAGCACTCACCCCTTTGGTCGATTACCAAGGGCTAGCATGAACTGGAGCATCAGGAGCCAGAGGTACCCGTATTTAAGAAAGGTATTGACTATCGGCGATGCGTCATTGCCCCAGGGCCAGCCTTTTTCCTTATTGTGAGGGCTCGGGGTGCCGACTAGGTCCATGATTACCGAGCTGGTCAGCCAGTATGACGCTGCCGGAAATGTTAGCATTAAAGAATCAAACTGGGAGGGTGATGGAAACGCACCGAGAGAAAACCAGGTCATGATAAGCTGGCAGAAATTATAAAGCATCTGGATATGCAAGAAAAACAATCGAATGATACTATGACCGCTGCGGTAAATACGCCCGAAATGTATCATTGCGTACAGACTCGCCGCAAACGACCCATTCAGCCAGCGACGACGCTGGCTGATAAACTCGGCCGCGTTCTCAGGCACATCAGTCTCGCCCTTTGCTGCCTTCACATAGCTTAAGTGCCACTTGAACCCGGCCTTGGCTACTAGCTCAAAGCACAAGATACGGTCCTCAGCTAAAAACATATTCTTTTTAAATATATTCATACCTTCAATTCCCTTTTTACCAAGACGTTTGGATAATGTATGGTCGCCATGAAAATATTGCTCTAACGGACGGCCCATAATAGCTCGGTACCGGTAAGCAGAGAAAGCGCCCGGCAGAACACTGACATAGCCAAAAGCGCTTTCTAACGGCTTATCCAGGATATTTGAAATTTTATATTCAAAATTCTGCGCGGCAACAAGGGGGTTCAAAACCTTGCGCCAGGCCGAGCCAAGCATGGCGTGGATCTCACCGCACGCTCCACCCAGTGTTTTGTCATTATAGAAGGCTTCCCATAACGATAGCAAGGACTTCGGGCCTGGCTTCGTGCCTGCATCTAGAAGAACAATAACTTCAGGGTTCAGGATTCGGCTGAAAGCGTTGAGAAGCCAACGATGCGAGTTGATCTTTTTACTGTTCTTCTGTTTCAAGCAGAATATAAATTGCACCGGGGGTAGGTTGCTTGATTCGTCACCCTGAGGTCGAACTAGTTGCTGAGTAGCAGTAACTGATAACTGTGTCGTGTATTCGAACTACAGAAGTCAGTCAGTGTCTAAATTTAACAGTTTATTGCTGCCCTGATCAACCCAGATATCATCAACTCACCACATGAGCAACGGTCTCTCGGCCATCTACATCTTTCTTCATAATCCCATCCTGGTAGACCCCGATTGTGGCCAGCACGTCCAGGGTATTCTTATCGCAGGGCTCAATACCATCAAAGACCAAACAGACAACAATCTTCTGCCACGCTGGGCCTCCTTTATTCCAAAACTCGGATTTTTTCAACGTGACAATATCCCGGATATTCTGCATTACTCCGTGCAGAGTACGCGCAGTGAGGACCTTATCCTCATTATAATAAGTAACAGCAATGAGCAACTCGGTATGCCGATTATAGATCGCCGGCCGAAGATTGTATCCATTGCGCAGGGTAAACTCATCGGGGTCACACGTCGCCGCCGTATCTAATCAAGATCATGAATCAGCTGAACCACAATTTCCAGGGTAAAGTAACCCACATCGCAAGTGTGTGAATTCCTCTGCGAAAGCCGCCTCGACATCCCGATACGCCGGCTGGATCGCGTTCTGAATCGCGCTCGGGACCGGATAATCGACACTCAGCACTGCTCCCTTTACCAGGTTAATCTTCCTCGTCCCGTACCGCTCCAGCCCTGTGCGATTCTTCCTTTCGGTCAACTGAACCGGTTCGTATTCCGGGACCCCACCGATCGATGGACCGGGATCATGCAGCGTATATCGCTTCTGTGAATCTGATTCGGCGACGGGATCGGCAAATGGCGAGCTGTAACGGCTGGAGCTGTTCCGCCGCAGGAGCGATGCCGCTTGCTCATCCCATGCTTCCGGGTAGTGTTGCTGGTGTTGTTAGAATATGGCGGAAATGGTTCCGGCGATACTCACCTCCTGGTAAGGGGGATAGTGGCTGCTCTCGCTGCTCTCCGATGTGTTGCCTGAAATGCCGGGGCGCCTGCTATCCATCTTGGTGTCTGAGGGAGAAGCGCTGGGTAGACCCAAACTCAGTTTAAAAGGTAAGGACAAGCTTAGCTAGCTATAAAGAAAAAGACGAGGGAGGTTTAACCAGACCCGATGGGAAATGATGGCAGAAAACCACGATGTGCAACGGTAGCCTAACTGTGGTTCGTCTAGGTACTTCGAGTGTGGACCTCATAACTACACAAGATCTAAAAATAATATCGTTCAGGATAGCTGTGGTCTCTAAAGGCCTCGTAGGTCAGTGCTAGAGCTGCAGCTGCGGGACCAGCGCCTCCTTGCAACAGCTTCTAGAGCAGTTGAATATATCTATATGACAATTGAGACTATTCATCTACCCTAATTAGGAAAGAGCATCGTACAAATCAGTCTCAGTTCAACAGAGACCTAATACGCAACCGACACCTATTTTGAGATACTACCAGCACGGAATCTAAGACACAGCGCCAGCCTCTTGCGCCATTCATTGGATCCAATGAGAAATCTTAGCTGTATATGAAGCTGGTGACGAATTCCTTGACAATAATTTTAGTCATGGAGGAAAAAGTGGGCTGGTGTACGGGAGCCAAGTGGGTCCAGAGAATGCCACGAACACGCAATGGCAAAGGCTTTTTCCAGAAAACTCGAGCACCGTGGAGACATCCTATCGCTAGTGGTTTTTCCAAGACATTAATCAACCGTGATCTTTTAGTGGGAGACCGTATGTGTTGAAGAGCGTTGGAGGTCAAGGTGGATCGAGCAATGCTGTAAAGAAATATGGTATTGGCTGCCAAATCACTTAAGGTCAATGCTGGTGATAAACATTGGCGTTTTGGTTGTCAGAATTGATAGAGCAGGGGGGAAAAGTTCTAACAATAAAATTTATAACAATACTCATGTATCTGTCAGCATTTCAAATTAGATCTGTGATTGTTGGATATGCAATAGTTACTCGACTACTAAAATGCTACGTATAAAGCAGTTTTTCTTGACAAGCTCAGTCTTTCTACGGTTCAGACCACTAGACAAGACTCAAACACTTGACAGGAGGAAATCATCACAGTAAAGCCGGAAGGGACTGGGTTCTGGTTTGAGTGAGCGTGCTATGCGCTGGAGCATGCACTGCGCGATGTATTTCTCCTTCCCCTCGTTCTTCTCAAGCAGGGTGTTGTAGCACTGGTAACGCAGATGGCAGCGCTGTTGAGTGACTATGTCTGTAAGGTATTCGGACGCGTTGGTGATATCTTGCTGGGCAACGGGCTGTGGGTAATATGGTCGCCTTGGGCTAAATCATCTACGTTTGCAGTGACGGCTCTCTTGGATACGCTCCACTTCCGGTCCGAGTTCTGTACAAAGGCCCCTATATGTGAGAATGTCTATTTAGAGAGCTCGAGCAACATACCGTGGGGAAGCTGGTTGTCGGGCTTGAGACTCCAATTGCGGTGTGACTAGGCCAGTGCTGACTCGTTAGTCGTACCACCAATACGGGTAGTTGTTGTAAAAGTGCTTGGAGACAGGAAGCAAAGTGTTCCTGACTTTCGTTCTTATCAGGATAGATCCAATCCATTATTGTGAGCGATGGGTTAGTGATTTCAGTGGTAAGGGTAGAAGTAACAGCAGGTACAACTGAAAACGGTAGATAGAACATGAACAGAAATCCTGAATTGAGTCCAGCCTTCTGATACAAAATAGTTTCTCTACGGTGACTTAGCCATCCCACTGCATAAAGACTACCCTCGGCTTTTACACACCATGCAGTAGGCAGTGTGCTAGGTAATTTAAGGCTATTTATACACCACACATGGAGCTTCTAGCACCAATAGTTCCCTCCATATCTTGCCTGAAACTTGGTCAGAAAACCACATAATAACGCTTTATACATCTTTAGTAAAATGCAAGATGGACGAATCAAAATACGGTGTGATGAACCTAAGTCGAATTTCCACAGAAGATGAGTCCAGGCCCCCTCATTGTGGGGAGATTTATCCATCGTGGGGATTTTGTGCGCCACAATATTCCCAGCACTGCCCCGTCACTAAATCCAAAAATAAAGAGACACTTTCGGGATTCGGAATTCTCGGGATAAGTCCATGGTTGCCTTTCTTGAGACAGGAACATAAGTCCGACCAAGACGAACTGGGACGTAGATGCTGGTGTGGGTTTTATCAAGGCAATTATGCCGGGCCGTCGCTTACCCACAGCTGAGAATGATTGGTATACTGCTACGAATGGCAAAGCGGAATATGAAAATAGACTAGATATTGAACTATCGCATCGGTAAAGGAACAAGGTATATCCCCAATTCACGAATTGGAAGTGAATGTTAGTTACTCCAGCCCATCCGCTCAGACAAATGACGAGCTCGCGACAAAGATTACCCCAGGCATCTAAGCGAGGTGGGCAGAGGCCTACGAGTCATGGTATGGAATTGGCCCTGCCTCATACCTGTCTAATATATGGTGTATGCGGACTGAAGTCAGTCCCTGTGCTTTCTTGCCTCTTGTGAGCGCAGCAATCTATTCATAGTTTTCCAGTTTCAGACATGAATATCACCCGGGCCCGAGTATATAAATAGAAAATCAAGACCATATCCGGAGTCCTCAATGAATAATATTAGAAGACGATCTCTCCAAGCTTGCCATCGCTCATTGTCCTATCAATCAAACACAACACCACCTCTCACCAAATCCACTTGATAATAACTTCATTCAAAATGTCTACCATAACAACCACCGCCGCCGCTGCAGCAACACCATCGTGTCACGCAAAGCTCTACGAGATCCCAACCAGCGATGCTTCATGCGCCATGCCCATGAACAGCACCTACCACGCCCTAATGACGAACTGCTGTGGTTCCGCCAGCGTTATCTCCTACTCGGACTGCGACTATTACTGTCTCGCGCAGAACCAGACCGTTGGCGACCTTGCGGAGTGTCTGATTAAGGGCTCTGCGGCAGGACAGGTGTGGTGTAATACAAATGCGAATGCAACGGCTACGGGAACTGCGACTGCGACTACAAGCGCAACGGAGGATGAAAAGGCTGTCCCAACTGGATCGAACGGGGCGGTGGCTATGCATTTAGATATCAAATATGTGTTGATGCTAGTGCTTGTCGCGTTTGGTGGAATTGAGCAGCCTTTTGTTTGAGGTTTATATGCGTGGAGGTCATAGGCTATGGCCTGGAATATGGTTATGCGCTGAGCCCTCAGCCATGAAATACTCTACAAATACAGTGAGAATGGCAATAAAAGTGGTGATGAAAGGTTATCGCTCAGGCATATAAGACGGACAGAACCATACAGCGCGATCCCCTCTTGCTCTCTCTTCAAGCTTTTGAAACTCGTCAAGAAAAGATTACCAGTGAAAGTAATAATGCCTCAAACTGTTATAGGGGTGTTGCTTTGTATCTTTATGTAGTATATTTGTTGTTTCGGTTTGCTTTGTTAGTTGAGTGTCTGGAAGACCGATACTGACATGGGTATCTGCCCAACCTACCCAGTCATAGCCTCATGGCCAATGAACAACCCGGCGCCCTGGAAGCGCTGCGCTATTGGAATTGTGTTCAGCATCTGCATGGGCAATACCTGCGGCATTATCGGTAGCTACATGTATCTTGGTGTGGAGGCCCCGACGTACCCTACAAAATAGAAAGATTATCTTTGCCCTAATTATGTATTATCTTGTAAACCGAGATAAAGTTGATTTAAGTACATACAGAGAACAGCGTCGATGAAGGAACTTGTATTAGTGGGTATTGATATATACTGATTGTTCGTAAACACTTACAGTCGTGTCGATCCGCAAGGCTGAGCATAGGGCAGATCTCTGCTCCGCTTTTTAGGCCCCCTTTGAAGAGTGCTTTATCAGGCCAGAACTTGTTATTTCGTGATTTTACCCTGCAGCCCGAAAGTATCCATGAACATAGATCATAATTCAAGTCACTCCAACTTCGACGAAGTAATTTGTCGAGATGGTCAACTCCAACGAGTATACTGTCGGCTGGATCTGCGCAATCGCTACCGAATTTGTCGCTGCCCAGGCATTTCTCGACGAAAAACACGAAACCCCCGCATATTTGTCCCCGCAAGATAAGAATGACTACATATTAGGCCGAATCGCAAACCATAACGTGGTGATCGCTGTATTACCAGTCGGAGAATATGGCACATCCTCAGCAGCGCGGGTGGCAGAAACCATGCTGCACAGTTTTCCTAATGTGCGAATCGGCCTGATGGTGGGCATCGGTGGAGGTGCGCCAAGTGCGGACCATGATATTCGGCTTGGGGACATCGTGGTCAGTACCCCTTCGAATGGCCACGGAGGTGTATTTCAGTATGACTATGGCAAGACCATCCAAGGTGGAACATTTTGTCCGACAGGCTACCTCAACCAGCCGCCTGCGCTTCTACGCGCAGCTGTAAATGGGCTCCAGGCGCGGTATGAGATCGAGGGTCATCACCTAGAGGACGATATTGATCAAGCCCTGGAAAGAAACCCAAGATTGCGAGGGAAATACGGTCGACCCGATCTGACTAGCGATAGGCTGTACCAAAGTCATATTGTTCATCCTCCAAATGGACAGACTAATTGTACCATACGTTGCGGGGATGATAGCTCTGCCCTCGTACTGCGGGACCCCCGTACGGACGATCAAGATAACCCGATGATTCATTATGGGCTGATAGCCTCCGCGAATCAGTTGATGAAAGATTCCCGCGTCAGAGATAATCTGATTACGGAAAAGGACGTTCTATGTTTCGAAATGGAGGCAGCAGGGCTGATGAATCATTTTCCCTGTCTAGTCATTCGTGGTATCTGTGACTATTCTGACTCCCATAAGAATAAGGGATGGCAAGGCTATGCAGCAATGGCCGCGGCTGCCTATACAAAAGACCTATTACACCGCATCTCTGCTCAACATGTGCAGGCAGAGCAGAAGATCACGGAGATACTTTCTACTGGTTAGGTTATAATCCTTTTATACTGGTACACCATACTGATTATCCCTCAGTCAAAGTTATTCATGAGACAACGCAAAAGATCGATCACGGGGTCAAAATATTACGCCAGCTCGGCGATGACCGCGAGTACCAAAGTATTATTGATTGGCTTACACCGGTCAACTATACTCTCCAACAGAATGATTTCATCACCCGGCGGCAAGAAGGAACCGGGGAGTGGTTTCTGAATTCAACTGAATTCAAGCAATGGCTTAGCCAAAGTAAACAAACCCTATTCTGTCCCGGTATGCCCGGAGCAGGTAAAACCATGATCACCGCAACGACCATCAATCATCTTTACCGCAAGTACCGGAATCAACCTATGACTGCTATCCCATACATCTATTGCAATTTCCGACAGCAGCACGAGCAGCGGTACACCGACCTTCTTCTAAGCCTGTTGAAGCAGCTAGTGCAAGGACAGCCTTTTATCCCAAATGCTGTGAGAGTGCTTTATGATGAATGCAAGCGAAGAGAAAGCCGACCAGCCCACGAAGGAATTTTAAGTGCCCTGTATAGCGTCGCTTCGTCTTATTCGAGAATCTTCATCATCATCGACGCGCTGGACGAATGTCAAGTTTCCAATGAAGATCGGGAAAGATTTCTCCAGATAGTCTTCGGTATCCAGGAAAGGGCCAAGGCGAACATTCTAGTAACTTCGCGTTTTGTGCATGAGATTGAAACAAGATTTGAGGGAAGCATCAGGCTGGAGATTCGTGCTAATAACACAGACGTGCGGCGATACCTCGAACAGCGGCTGCAAAGCTTTCCATCCTTTGTTTTACATAACCCTGCTCTACAAAGAGAGATCAAGACCAAGCTTGCTCGCGCGGTAGATGGAATGTGTGTACCGCCCAATCTTAATCATTCCTTTGCATCGGCTGACATAGCTAGGTTTCTTCTTGCAAAGCTGTATGTTGACTCACTGGTCTATAAAACAACGCCTAAAGCCATAAGAGGTGTGCTTGCAGAGCTTGAGGTTACATCCTCGGAGAAATCGGAGAATGGCCAGATGTCCAAGGTTCTGGACCATGGATACAAGCAAGCCATGGAGCGAATTCGAGGCCAAGCACCGGAGCACCAGGAGCTCGCTAATCGAGTCTTAACTTGGATTGCCTGTGCTAGAAGGAGCCTTACATTATCAGAGCTACAGCACGGACTTGCTGTTGAATTCAACACGCCAGAGCTTGATAAAGACAACATGCCAGATATTGGACAGGCTGTCTCCGTATGTGCGGGCTTGGTGGTAGTAGACGGGAATAGTGACGCAATACGGCTTGTCCACTATACAACGCAGGAGTACTTTGAACGCACCTACAAAGAGTGGTTGCATCAGGGGCATATTGATATTACAAAAGCTTGCCTCACCTATCTGTCGTTCAGGGATTTCGATGATGACTACTTGTTAACATCACCTCGCCTAATCATGAGAGTATGGTCAAATTCTCTTTATGACTATGCCGCAGTGAACTGGGGATACCATGCTAGAGAGGCTTACATGGAAGAGGACAAGATTGTCCTAGACTTCATCCATGACACTGCCAAACTGTCCGTCTGTGGCCGAATTATGGCGTATAACCAGTTAGGCAGTGGTTTTGGGGATTTAGATATGGAAAGCATGCACCTTACAGCGTGCCTAGGGCTATCGAAGTCCATGTCAATTCTGCTAGAAGAATTACATGACGCTGATTCAAGAGACTCCCTTTACATGACTCCACTTCTGTGGGCCGCTATGCAGGGCCACGAACCAGCCGTAAAGCTACTTCTTGAGAATGACGCAAACGTCAACGCAGCAGATGCATGGGGCATGACCCCTCTGTCCCGGGCTGCCAACAGGGGCCACGAGGCTGTGGTTAAGCTTCTTTTGGAATGGAATGCTGATACTGAGGAAAAGACTCGTAAGGGTTACACACCCCTTATGATGGCTGCTGAGGGCGGCCACGAGGCGGTGGTACGAGCTTTACTAGGCCAAAACGCTAGTCTTGAAGCAGAGAACAACTCTGGTTCTACTGCGCTGCTATTGGCTGTCCAAAATGGACATGAGGCGGTTGCCAGTCTCCTGTTAGAGAAAGGAGCCAATACTGAAATCAAGGGGTATCTTGACAGAACTCCACTGCTGATAGTCGCGGAAAATCGCGACAGTGCAATGGTAAGACTGTTGCTGGATAATAATCCCAATATAGAGGCAAGAGATTCGGAAGGCCTGACCGCGCTCTCATTAGCCGCTTGGGGTGGCGATGAGGCGATGGTGAGACTTCTGCTGGAGAGGAATGCGAATATAAATTCGAAATCGGATAAAGGCATTACAGCGTTCTATCTGGCAGCTCACAGTGGTCATAAAGCCATAGCTGATCTTCTTGCAGATGCAGGAGCATTATAGGTCTATGATTGGATGCAATAATAATCTGGACAATACTGACCCCCAGCCGTAATTCAATTCTATCTGTGCCACCAAGCATACCCTACTATTCCAAGTACAGTTACGGCCAGCGCTCCAACCTTTAAGATAGCTAGTTGAATCCTGGGCTTCAGGTAGCTTTCTAAGAGCATTCGAAATTTCTCTGGCTCATTTCCGCGTGGATATTTCTCATCAGGAATTGGCAGGTCCAAAAATGGACAGATTTGCTCCCAGCCGAGACCCTCCTCGAGTTTAATCAATAAGGTCCTGTCGTTCGGGAGTGTGCTTTTCGCAAATTTAATACTATAGTTATCAGGTTATACGAACTATAAAGCTTCATTTTCGCATAGAGATAAAGACAGGACCAGGGGTATCATGCCACTTACTATTCGACATAGTTCCTACGGAGCCTGGCCTCGTTGTCCGGGCCTCCGGGGTTTGTTCCATCAGATATAGCCCACCACATGATTTGATTCAGACGGAGGAAGCCTGCGAGGATAATATCGAAGTGTTTCAAGATATTCATGGGAAAGGCAGTTGCCATTCTCACTACGTTGGCGACGGTGTTGTTCATTGATGTCACCCATTTGTCCGGGTCACGATATGTTAAGATGAACTTGACATCTGGGTCTTCTGCATAAACTTCGAGTGCTTGGGTGCCTAAATAGCTGGGAAGCTCAATGAAGCACTGTTATCAAATTAGCTACCATTGAATAAAAGCACACGAAAACGAATATTTGTAGAGTACAGCTATAGTTCACATACATCATATTCGCTCAACCACTTGTCGAACTCAGCCCTTTCGTATCGCTTGATTCCAGAGAAACGATTATGCTGCGCAATGACGGCTTCTTCTAGAATCTTCATGTGTACTGGACCATTGAAACACGCCTCGGTCATGTGGTACGGACTAAAGCCTAATATCCTCATGGCGGCGAGGAGGCCCAAAGTACCCGACCTATAGCTGATCAGTCATCTTGTACTAGTGTGGTTGTACCGTGGTGAGAGTTCACTTGAGGTACAGGGGCACTGTTCACAGCGTCTCTCACCTACTGCAACTGGTGACAACCACCTTCATCTTCTTCTTGTTGGCTGGCTCCGGTAGCCTGTCAATTTGGCGAGACATGGTGAATGAACGCCTCGTCCTGTACAGATTTGAGTGTGAAGACAACTGAATTCGGGGGCTGACTCTCCTTTATAAGTAGAAGCCAAGGGAGGAATACTGCGCATCCGTGGAAGACCCAACTTGGCAAGGTCCACCAATCAAAGGTTTACCAACGCGGTGTATAGCCCAACCAACGCACGGATCGAACTCTCCAGCACAGGTCGATTACTAGGCAGCGTTTCACGGTAGCTCCATTGAGGCTACCCAGCCTTACTGCGGACCTTTTTAGTGGGATCCTTATAGATAACATGTAAGCACTAGTATGGTCTAATCTACGCATCCATAACGGTGGGTGCGTAGACTTTTGTAACCCCTTTGTTCTGCATGGCTTTACAAATATATTGTTGTGTCTTGTGTTCAATGCAGCATTATTGCAACACACAGTATGGGCACCGGGGTCTGACAGCTCGATTTTGTCTAGACTACCAAAGAAACGACCTTCAGACATGGAATGGTATACGAGAAGTGCCTTGTCTAGGCTTGGGGGCCGAGTGTGGCGATGCGCGCTAAGGACACTAGGAGACGACACGGCGAATGACAGTTATTTCGGCTATTGGATTCGACTCCACCTAACTTCAGGCCTTATCCTCCCTCGTCTTCGGGATTTTCCCATTGGTGTAGATGTCGAAAGAACTGATAGTAGAAGAGCATTAGCTGGCTTAGTTGGTTGCATTGCTGTCATAACAAGTGAATCCTATAGTCTGACCTCTCATAACTCCCAATAGCCGATGGGAGGGGACCGGTAAATATTTTCTATCAGCCTCATCACCTTTCGTGCATGAAGATACATCATATATCGCGATGTGAAACGCACCTACACAGATGAGTTAAAAAAAATAATTCGCACCTTGAATAGGCCACTAGCCGTGAAGACAAGGTGGCAATATGCCTGATCTTTATCACTCATTTGGCTGGTTCATCCAGTTCCAGGCCAACTGTGGCTTTGGCACGTGCAATGCCGTACCCTGTCTCCGTATACACGTTAGACTCCACCTGCCAAGTCACTCTTCGATGCTAAGCTTTTGGAAGCTTGGCATATTTCTGAACTCTTATCTTCGTACGGAGTACATTGCTTCATTTAGGGTGGCGGATATCATAGCGCACTGTTGTAAAGGATTTAACATTCACAGCACCTTGTTGAACTTGAACATTCTCATAGTGGTTGGCGATTGGCGAACAGGATGATATATATTTCATGTCCATTGACATAGTCGATGCGCTTCAAGGATACATTCGACACTGCGGGAAATGCAGCCACTATACTGATACTTTTTCTTAATAGTATCGTACTTTTAATCCTGCTTACGAAGGCTTTTCCGCCAATCAAATGAGACGAATATATGACCACTCTGTCAAAACATAGAAGGTTTAAGCTCACCTCTCTTGTTTATCCCTACTGATACCGGCTTGACTAGTGATGGATTCTGATCTACGTGTGGGGGGGAACATACCCCAGCATGACGTCGGTTATCTATATAGTGGATTCATAAGCCGACGGCTAGATGCGGAAAGGATGAATATCGCTTTCGGGAGGCTTGATCCAAGATGCCCGCCTTGCCCCTTGATCTCTCCGCTCGGTGTATCGACCCTACAACGTGCTCTGTTCACAATTCTTGTAGAGTCATTGTCCAGACTAATCTATCACTCCATATAGCCATAAAATAAAGCGGGCGAGGGGCTCGACCTTCCTAGGTTTCCGATAAGTTCTTCAAAAATTGGCATCTGACGGGGTGCCACAGTTTTTGGGTGGCAAGTGTTACATACTCTAGGAACAATCCAGTTAGCTGCGTGGGCAGGCCATCGGTTTAAATGTAGGACGGCTTTCTTGGTCGAGGACCCTTGGACTCCCCACAAACCGTGGGGGTTCGGCTTGCGTGGGGGAAGCCGAGGGCCATTCGCCCGAAGTGCCGTTATGCTTTTGCGGGGATCGATTCGGGTCCACTCAAGCTTTCCATTGCAGAAACTGGTTGGATAACGCAAAAAATCCCCAAAACGAAGTTCTCCATATTACGCTAAACTTATCTTGTAACGAATCTGGGGTTTAGTAAGGGCGTGGGGGTGCGCGACCCTGGCCACCCGCGGGGAACTTGCCCATATATAAACGGCCGTGAAAATCCCTTCCCCAACGTTCGGGTTGTCATTCAAGGCCGTCGCAAAGGCCATCTTATTATATTATAAACCCTTTACTACATCCCCAATCATGGAACCGAAGCCGCAAGGGACTCACCATGAGGATCCGGTCAAACCGGCGAACATGGACCACATCAATGTGGTACGGGTACCCCTGACCGAAGAAGACAGCAAGCGGATTCGGCACAAGACCGACAGGACCATTCTGATAATCCTGATGTGGGGTTACTTCTTGCAGATTCTCGACAAGACGGTTCTGGGATATGGTGCCACGTTCGGCCTGAAGGAGGACGCCCACCTCACCGGCAATGAATATTCCTTGGTCGGTTCGATCGCTCCCATCGCCCAACTGGCGTGGCAGCCATTCTCCTCATTCTTGATTGTCAAAGTACCACATCGGATTCTTCTTCCTGCTCTAGTCGCCGGATGGGGTGTCGCACAAGCGGCCATGGCTGCTTGCCACAACTTCGGGGGGCTAATGGCCACCCGATTCTTCCTTGGTCTCTTCGAGGCAGGTTGCTTGCCTCTGTTCAGTATTATCACTGCTCAATGGTACCGTCGTGCGGAACAACCACTGCGAGTAGCAGCCTGGTATAGCACCAATGGTCTTGCGACCATCATCGCTGCGGCCCTAAGTTATGGGCTGGGACATATCCAGTCTAGTGTGCTTAAAGAGTGGCAAATGTAAGTGTTTCGCCGAGTCCATCTCTTCGCCCCCCATCCTAGAGAGCCCAGACTTTAACTAACTTCTTCTACCAACAGTATCTTCCTCGTCGTCGGTCTCATTACCGTCATCTCGTCACCGTTCCTCTACTGGAAGCTGGACAACGATATTGCTTCGGCCCGATTCCTAAACGACCAAGAAAAGCTTCAGGCCATGGAGCGCCTCCGAGCCAATCAAACCGGAGCTGGAAGCCGCGAGTTCAAGGTGCGCCAAGTTGTAGAGGCCGGACTTGAGCCGAAGACCTACATATGGATTGGGATGGCCTTCTTGCTCAACGTTGGCGCGTCGGTGACAAATGTCTTCGGTCCTCTGATCCTGTCCGGACTCGGCTTCGACAAGTTCAAGACAACGCTGCTCAACATGCCCTTCGGCGCCCTTCAATTCATCATTATCCTTCTGGCCAGCTATCTCGCTCAGAAAGCCCGCCTCAAGGCCGCCGTGCTCGCCGCCTTTATGCTTCCGGTTGTGGCGGGTCTTGCCATCTTGTACGCCCTCCCGCGCAATAACTCCGTCCAGGGTGCATTAATGGCCGGATACTATCTGCTTTCGTTCTTGTTCGGCGGCAACCCGCTGATCGTCTCGTGGATCGTGGCCAACACTGCCGGACAAACGAAGAAGTCCATCGTCATGAGTCTGTACAATGCGGCCTCGTCGGCTGGAAACATCGTCGGACCGCTCCTGTTTAATGAGAATGATGCGCCCGCGTATCAGCCGGGACTGCGCGCCTGTCTGGGTATCTTCGTCGCCATGGCCGCCATTGTCTTGATTCAATGGGCCAATCTGTTCGTACTCAACAAGATGCAGGAGCGTCGGCGTGTGGCAAACGGGAAGCCGGCCAAAATCGTCGATCGGTCCATGGACAATACTTATCAGGTTTCGGAGGAGGATGCGGAAGTTGAGGCGGCCGAGACGGACAACCAGGTCGGCAATAATGCTTTCCTGGATTTGACGGATCGGGAGAACGATGAGTTTGTATATATTTACTAGATGTAATGGCTCGGGATTAGAAGTTCCTTCTTCTACAATATGAATTATGATGAGTTATGAATTATTATTTTCACTAAGCTTTTAAGTACATTCACTATATCTGTAGATAAGTTCATCTCCTATACTGTCCAATTATTCTTCGACTTCAAAAGATCCACGATATCGGGATTTTATATATTTATATAACCGATGCACTATCTACACCAGGGTTCACATCCTAGACATAGTGATCAATCAGCCAAGCTATCGCTACTCATCCTCTAATTATTCCCACGGGTGGCAGTAGGTCATTATGCTAAACACGGGTCCCTGGATACGGTAGCATCGCAAGCCCTAGGCCGCGAGGCCGTCAGGTCCTCAAGGGCCAGTGCGCCTCGACAAAGAAAGTCAAAAACCTGATAAGTAGCAATTGCGACCAATAAATCCACCGCTACATTTCTGTACTACGAAGAGATTGTGATCTGGCCAGCTCACGGACGCTGACTGCTCCTCTTATAACCACTTACTGATCATAAAGAAAGCTAAACATGGGCTCCAGCGGTCACTCACACCCAACTTCTTGGTGTAGCCGCAGAACTTATATTAAGATTTTGCCCGCAAAAGGTAACTCGAGATGACGGAATAAAATACATATATAGGGTCTGGTAGCGAAGCATTGTCACCAGCAAGGATACCCCAGCATAAATCCGCCCAGTCCCGTGACCCTGAAGAAACATAAGTCTGCCCCACTTGAAATTTCAATTGATAAACAAATCACCCCACATAAGTCATTACTGCTCATTGAGAAGGAAATGGAGAAATCCGGTTTGCTGAAGGAGCTGCAGCGCGATCTAGCGCGTAAATATCGGCTTCATGGGCCGAAGATCGAGGAAATATGGCACTCCCTTGGCAAGGGACAACGGGAGAGGGTCTCGAGAGCGGGTGCCGCCGAAGGCCAAATGCTGAAGTCCCCTATCGATAGATCCTTGGGCAATGTTTACAAGTTCATCCCTGATTGGAACCTGCGAGACATCTCCAATCCGGATTCCGACTATCTGCTGGATTGCCTGAAACACCGCGCGACGAAGTCTTTATGTGAGCAATACATCGAAGGTGTCCACGGTGGCCCGGGTGACTTCGAGGTCATAGTTAAGAGCATGCATGTCCATGGTCTGAAACATGTGGATCCCTTCCGCTATAGCTTCACGTTGTTCATGGACGAAGAGCAATATGGACAATCCTTTACGGCCTCTGACCGGGTCAAGTATGAAGAAACAATGGCGGCGATGAAAGCTGGTGTGGATGCTGGCTTGATTCTTCCTCAATCGACGGGCGAGCTTATTTTGGAAAGACAGTCTATCCTATTAACGTCCATGAACATTGTGATTCAGGACATCCTTGAAGCTGGCTCTACCTTCGAGACGAAAGGTCGCTCCAAAAAGTCAGAGAAGGCAGCACGTGAGGCTATGTCCAAACTTGCAATCGACCAGAAGCCAGAAAAGCTCTCACTGGAGGAGCTGGCTGCATTGTCTCTTGACCAGAAATCAGCATTGGAGGACTATGTGCGTCTTTGTCGGACAGAGCCCGAGTTCCTTACTCACGCTGTCAACGCTTGGTTCTTCAGTCGACCCGAGCTGGTCGCAGACGAAAAAGGTCGACGATTGCCCTTGATCACGGACAAATATATTAGCATCGCATTTTTCGAGATGATCCACAATGCTGTGGTAGGTGCTGCAGTCTGGGGGTATATCCATCAACTTCTCCAGGCTTTTGTAACAGGGCCAAACGACCGGACCTACAGAAGTTCCTTTCTCCAGGAGCTTGCAAACGTCTGTCATTTCTAGTACCAACGGGTTCAGCGGCTTTTTAAGCGTCACGTACAAATGGGTTCCGGCGATAAACATTTCAAACGCGTGTCTGGCGTATATGATAGTGGCACCGCGCGGGTAACCATGAAAACCAAGCCGGACACCCTTACCAGAACCGATCCGCAACTTAGTTATATACTTCGCCTATGCCAAACGGACACTAATAGCTCCCGGGCAGTCGATTGGGTTAGAAAGCTAGACGAGTTCCACCAAACCAATCCCGCTGAGCAGGAAAAGATAGGAGAGAGCGAGTTTGACGCTTTCGGTGATCTTGCCGTGACAACCAATTTCATCCAGTGTCTCTCGGCATCTCTTCCCATGCCGCCAATGAATCCGAAGAAGGGGCAAACTTATATTTCTCGACTAAAGGCGCTGGGATCTGAGCTTGACCGCTAAAGTCCGAGGTTGACTTATCGGGATTTGCAGTCCCCATCGATAATCTTATCGAGCCGGGAATGGCCCAAGGTGCGCTGACCACGCTTGATGGATTTATATCCAACAACACAGGGGCAGAGATAGGCTTCCTCTATCAGGATATGAACGAGGAATGCCTGTTGGACTTGCTTCTGCAAGTCCAACAGCAGAAGGAGAAGAACGAACAGGTAGCACAGGCTCAGCTTGCTTCGTTAATCCCTGAAGCGCCTACCCGGGAAATGCAAATTGAACAGCGCAAGGAAAAGACCAAAACACGCCCGCCACATTCATCCGTGTACAGTATCACCCCAACGACAGCTCCTACGACGCAACCAGAACCTGCAGTGCCGTCCCAAGCATTCAAAGTAAAGCCATCCTTCCTAGAGGTATTCTCGACCCTTTTCTCCAAACAGAGAGAACGGAGCTCAATCACCTGGGCTGCGTTTCAAGCAGCTATGGCGCACATGAAATTCTCTGTCGTGCCAAAGACTGGGTCGGTTTATACGTTCTCCCCTCCCGAAGGCTTCAATGTCCAAAGGTCTATCACGCTCCACAGACCGCATCAGTCCCGTGTCGAGGGCTGGCGACTTCTTTATATTGCGAGTCGTCTGAAGAGAGAATATGGATGGGATGAGAAGTCATTCGAGACAGAATGAGGTGTTTGGGCAAACTTGGCCATTAAAATACTATATTTTGAGTTCACTATATCCAGCTTGTAGAGATTTACCTAGATTTCTAAGCACGGCGAAAGTCGGAGATTCCAGACTTGCTACACGTACTAGTCCTACCCAGACAAAGCAAGCCTGCGCTCCTTCAGCCACGCGGGGTACGAGTCGGTGCAGAATACAATTTTCTTTTGCCAACCCACGCCATTTCTGTCAACTCAGCTTCCCCGAATTGATACTCGACGTCAACATGGAAGTTGTACAAAGGAACGAGGCCATTGAAAAGATTGATGGCAAAATGCAATTTGCCTATGTCTAGATTTTTGTTCGGCAAATGGACAAACCGATTAGATTCGCCAAGGACACTGGATGATCTCCAGGAAGTCAAGCGAATTCCAACAGAAGACAGGGGCCCAGAGGTGAATGCCGCTTGGTCAGCGGTCTATGTGAAAACACCCAGTCTCCTCGCATATATAGATGGAAATCTCGAAAAGCAAATCGCTCGCGAAGTTGAAACATGCGAAACTCTTCGCAAGAACTCCCATCCAAATATTGCCACCTATTATGGCTATATGGAGACGAACGGTCGAGTCTCTGGCTACGCCTCAAGCGATATACGTCCACTCTGATTGAAGCGGTCAATCCTCAACGCCTTGGAAAAGTCGCTTTCCTTTCAAGTCCGCGCGAACTAGTGAAGGAGAGTATGAAAGGTAGCCTGGAAGGGATTTTGGCAGCTATCAGACATCTCCACTCGCTTGGACTTGTCCATAACGACATCAACCCAGCAAACATTATGCTTGACGAAGACGGTACGTTTATTCTCATCGATTTCGATAGCTGTCGATATATCGGGGAGTCCTTGCGCAACACCGAAACGAAAAGAACCCGCCACTGGCACGACCCTTCTGTTGATATTTCGCTGGAGAAAAACGACCTTGACGCTTTCAAAGATCTACAAATCTGGCTCACTGGACCGGCGGATGAAGAATTCCTGTTTGAAAGAAGTGCTTCTTAGTAAAACGTCAACACCAAGTGGCCCATTCTTTCTTAATATTGACCAGACACTGTTGTTCAAACCCCGCTGGAACATTCTTAATGTACGTATTCCGCGTCATGTCTTGGTTGACTGGCCATCAGGACCTCGCAGTCCCAGATAAGACATGGTTTAATGCCATGTGAATATCATGTCCAGACTTCCGTAGTTGAACATCTTTGTACTGGAATAAAAGTAAAGAATTTCCTCCTTTCAGGTTGCACACTATATGAAAGAGGTCAAGCACCGGTGTGGAAAGCTACGTGATTTCGTAAATAGTCAATTCAAGAAAGTTCAATCAGACAAATAGAGGACAGGAAGAAAATAGCATTCCTATAATATCACGGAGATTCATAAAAACTCTGGAGCTGTCGGCGTGCGCTGTCTGTGAGCCACTTCTGTACCATGTCGGGTGTTATGGTTTCCTTGTCCGACTGATAAGTTTCGAACAGCCACTCGTTCCAATCCCAATTGATCCACTCGTCGAAGTTACAAATAGGCTCCCTACCCCGAGTCTTAAACCATCTGAGAAAGAGGACTAATATAAATCCCTGGGAGAAACATCCTTTCTTGGTCGTCATTTTGCGGGTCAGGAGACCGCCCGATAATTGCGTGCCCAAAATCGATGAACTTGACATGTACTTTAGACAGGTCTGGATTGAAATAATATTGAATAGTGATGTTCCGTGGATGCGTATCACGGTGTCGAAGATTGATCTTATAGAGCTGCGATTCTATATCGACGATTTGCTTCATCACAGCCTTCCAGAAGTAATCAGGGAAGTCGATTGGACGAAGACTAGTCATAGACTGCCCATTGATGTGTTCAAGCAGTATTAATCGTACCGTGCGAAATTGGTGATCAGAATGGGTGATATCCATAGAGTAAGAGCCATAGTAGTCAGGAATACATTTCTGTCCTTGGGCATGTAGATACCGATAGGCAGCACTTTCCTGGGTGTATTCCATGTCAACAAGAAGAAATGGATCTACATCATCATCGGAATGATCATAATATAGAGGATCATACAACTTTGCCACAACGCGGGTACTGGGAAGTTGACCAGAAATAACGTCCACTAAAACTATTTGCGAAGTCTTCCCATCCCCGACTCGAATTGCATTATGTATCTTGAGGCGTAACCGTTGAGAGCCCGATCTGCCAGATATCGGTTTCCGTGTAAGACAGCGTGTTAAGACATCAGTATTCTCTCTCTTGGTAGCCTCCTCAGGAGTAAGAAAGAAGCGCTTGATCTGGGGTTCAGGAGGAAAATATTCGATCACTGAAAATTCATAGCCCTCGACGTACGGAAGGTCCGGCTTGGATATGCCGTTCAAGGTGTTGAAATCTAAAGAAAATGGCATTTCCCTTGGTAGGTAGCAAGAACTGGTCCGAAGGGGGCAGGATTTAGCGTTTAGGAGTGAGTTCGGAGCTCTACCGATTTGGTCACATGATAGGACCTGCAGGGGTCAGGGTTATATAATAGATATGTTTGAATTATTTACTATTGTCCATATGTCCAATACCGGCCTAGACTATGTCCACATGTAGATGATGGCCTCAAGTCATCAACTACTCGAGTCTCCAACTAAATAGAGTGCATCAATCTATTTAAGCTCCTTAACCCAGAGAGAAACCTTGGGGATATCAGAGTCCTTTCCGAGGAAGTAGACCTGCTTGTTGTCCTCGGAAAGACCGAAAGAGTCCTCGCCCTTGAAAGTGAGGTAGCCGTCGTCGGTGATGCCCCACTTGTCGAACACAGCGCCTGTGGGGTGGTCCGCGGAGTGAGGTTGGGTCAGGCCGAGAGGCTGGGCATCACCTGGGATGGCGTAGAAGTTCTGCCAGGCAGTGGGTGGCAGGGCTTGTTGGGTGAAGCTGATGCTGACGCCGTCGTTGCTTGTCACTGGATGTTGTTAGTTTTATTCAGGCAATATTAGGTCGGGCGTGTGAGGCATACGGCGCAGGATCTCCAGCGTGTTGGCCTGCTCAGCGTCCACGATGGCGTGGGCTGTTGATGTTAGTCATGTTTTCATGGCCAAGGCTTGGGGTAGGTGTTACGTACAGTTGTCAGTGAGGACAGTGTTGCCGCCGTCAGCAACGAGAGTGAAAGACGTGGGGAGCTTGGCTGCCAGAGCAGAGGCGATGAAGGTGGAAGCGGCGGCGAGAGTGAACTTCATTGTGACGGTGGGTAGTTTGTTTCGAAGATTGATGTCTTGAGTGATGGTTGAATTTGCGGTTGATTATTTTCGACGACCCTGGGGCTATTCGAGGGTTTTTATGTTCAAAGCAAATAAATGTCGCAATGCGATGCGTGAGGCTGTAGCGTCACTCTATTGGGGAGCATATTGGTGCATCCAACCCAGATGACATCGCTTCGGTGGATGGTGTGGGGAATGTCTCACCTCGTTATTCTTAGAGTCGGCTCTCGGATGGCCTCTGTTTCCCTATTAGCCGAATGTTGCATGGTGCTCGCATGCACAGTATATGCTTAGCATGCAACGCTCCAAGGTGAATTGGGCTCGTGGAAGTTCGAAACAAGCTATTATCTTCTAGAGACACACCCACAGCGCAGTCAGACCTGGGGTGATATCAACTCTTCCGTCACACTGCCCTGAAGACCCTTGAAGCAGCGCCATGTCGGTTAGAGAGTTACGCGATGATCGGCACGGCTTTCCCCCATTCTCGGCTTCCCCATCTTCGTTAGTAAAGGGGCTAGTCTCCAAAACCCGATGTGTGGCCCCACAGATGTCTCACGGAGAATGTAACTACTGCCATCGCCATCGCCACAGCATCCGGGTGGCTGAATTAGCACCAACTCAGCATGCATGATGGATATCTGTAGCGGTGAGTGATCTCTCTGAGATAAATAATTCATCACGCCATCACCTCGGACAAGCAGGAAGGAATCGTGCATAACGGATCATGTGAACAAAAGCTGCGATCGAAGACCAAAATTTAGGGATAGAGATCGGCTTCTTTATTGAGACTATTGACGAAGATCACCTCCCTTTCCCAGTAGTTCCCAATGTTCGGAATTGCGTTATTGAAGAGAAGGTGCAACGAACGGTTTTGCTAATACCGGTTGAAACCAGGTGATGTTACTGCCCTAACATGTGCAGTTACTTATCATCGCAACGCGTCCTTTTCTGAAAGAGCGGTCCAGATAGAGTGAGTGCGCTGGTCATTCTGCGCTATCTTAGAAATATTAGTTTGAAGTGTCTATTTTTGGCTATAATGACTCATTCTTGGTGGCTAATCTGTGTTTGTAGTAAGGTCACTGTCGGAATAAACAGGGGCGTGGTAGCTGAATAGCAGCAATAATGCCAACCTACAACTGACGAGGATATGAGATTGAAGAGCAATTGGTCCAAATCAGCCCCAGCCTAGAGAGCTGTATCAACAGCAATCAGAACTGCTTCATGCGCGGAGCAAACAACAGAAAAGCCACCGAGAAATGGCTAATTGTGCAGATGCTAGGATGGTCCCTGAGTAATGCTCTAAGAAAAAAGGTTTTCCTCACTGGTTCCCGAGAGCGATATCGTCTGAATCCATGATGGATCCTGCTTTGTGCAAGAAGCGGAAATGATGCACTAAAACGTCAAGAATATTATCTCAGGCGTCTTAAGTGCTGTGCCACAAGTGTTAGATCCTTCTATGGAATGTGCAGCTATGAATAGGCGCTATGCTCTCTGGCTTTTAGCTGCATTAACGAACGCCGAGTGCTGACTGTATCCTTTGCAACTTATCCTGAGGCACGTTTATATACAAGTTATGGAATGCTGAAAGTTATTCAGGATATCAACAGACGACTGCAGGTATTTTCTACGACAACTCGTTTCTTTACCCGACAATCCCCAAGTTGCAAAATTGTGCAATTGCAACCTTGCAGGATATGCTCAGGTTAACCTCTGTTTCGAGACGGGAAACTATTGTTATCACGGACGTATCAGGCCTTACAAGGACGACATTATTCTCACTTAATAACACCACACCCTAGTCGGACTCGCAACATACTTCCAGATCTAGAGCGACAAACAATAATCTCCGCAACAATAATACACTAATTGGCAGCTAAGATCCTCTGGGCGGCGTCTCTTCGTCCGCAGACCGCGGCAGCGAAGACCGCTGTATATCATTAAGTGGCCTTAGGTACCACCCATAGCTAGCATACATGGCAACGATTATGATCTCCTATATCACCAACATGCAGACCTTGACCGAAGTTGATCCCTTCATAATATTAAACACGGGATTGTTAGCAAACACCCCTGACGCTGACTATAAAATTCGTACGAGAAGTAAGGGCAATGCAATTCCGACGATGATGACTGTCAGGCGCTCTCGCCTCAGGATATATTGACATTGGTGCAGCTTGCCCCAGGAAGAAGCCAGAAGCAGAACACAGCCGGCTCAGGCAACAAAGTATAGGCAAATCCCAACACGAGACGTGGATTTTGAGTGGTCAGCATCGGACGAGGAGGTCCCGACAATGCTGAGGATGACAGCCACGGACACGACGATTTGTGTCAGACGCGAAAGTTTCAGTTCTAGCTTCATCTCTCTTTCCTTTCGAATCAAATTGTGTGATAGGGCACTGAAGGGTTTCCAGTCCTGTAATGCATGCTAATATGGACCAGCTCATGTATCGGCAGAGTGCACTTATCCCGAAGTATGTAAGCTCTGCAGGTTGTTACACTGCATTTGAGGAACAACCTCGATCTTGCGTATCCTGCCGCCTTATTCGGCGAAAATTATGCAGTTATCAGGCCGGTCGGGCATATGTATTATGTACAAGTAACATCCGGCGGGGCTGGAACTGCCCATTACATCTGCGGCGTGATTAGATTCTTTCCTTGTACCATGCACTGGGTGGCTACCGCTGTCACTGTCACATATCTGGCATATTGTCTACGCAGCATTCAATCGGGATTGTGGTGAAATTTGAGACGTTACGGCTTCCCTATGAGTGTAGTCGCTCTAGATAACACGTAAAGTATCTCAGACGGCTTGTTATCAGGATATTTGTGCCTGCAAGATCTTCAGTCTTAAAGTAATGACTTGCTGGCTACGAATGCCAGATCGAACAGTTCATGTCTGCTCTTGGTTGCTTCGTATGTCAGTATCATATCACCGTCCGCATACTGACGACTTGTTTTCCCTCCTTTAGGCTTTTCATTTTACGGACAAAAGACCATGCCCGGACATGACCCATTTGATCTGCCGTTGATTAGAGGGTGGAGGATGCTTTCGGATCAATCACAAGTATCGTGTTGTTATAGGAGTGATCACCCTGGTCATCCACAGCCCTGCTCTACGCTCTGTTTCTTAGATTTGGATCCTGCAGCGCTTGACTATTCCTCTAGTGCAATCCTTCGTGCATTGCGCTGTCAGGATTTGATTTGCTGCGTGGGCTGTCGAGTAACGTGGGCGTATGATGTCATTTTCCGAGGATGTCGCTCCTCGGAGATCGTATCCATTACTTCAAACAAATCATCAAGCAAAAATGCCATGCTTGGAGATTATATTGGTGGGTTAGCTGCAATATTTCCATTAGTTGGGCAGATACTACATCTTTTCCAGTCTACCAGGAGACAACTTGTTAGGGCTAGTTCAGGCAGCCTGCCGTTTCCTAAGCTCTAAACAAAGACCTGTCCCTTCTCCTGTCCAACAACCCCATAACGTCTGTTTCTGACCTGTCATATTTCATACCTATTTATAGCCATTATTTATTTTATCTTGTCGCTCGGAATCTCAATAAGTCATACAGATATTGATCGAGTCTTTCTCGAATAGCCACATCCGGAGAGACCCATACGAACGAGGCTGGGCTCTACCAAACATGACGTTAAACATCAACAGTTGGAAAGGGTCTGACCGCCAGTCTACGTATAAGGGAAACAGGAACACTCCTTCAGAAGGTTAGGATATTATTAGCATCAGGCCCTACATACAATATGCATGTTTTTCATGGGGTTAGCCAAACATGGGCGATCTCGGCAGCTTCGGGGATTTTCAACAGTCGGTTACCTCGGATTCTGGGTCCTTTAGGCCAACCACAATCGTGGCTTCGCTCGCCGCTCTGAGACTTGCAGAGACTTAGCGAATCACCATCGTCTAGTGGCTGTGCCCCCTAGCATTGGCCTGTATCCCCATCCCTCAACAGCATAAAAACCCCCTCTGCCTCCCTTGACTTCGACTAACATCAACAAGTACAAGACTAGAATCGCAACCACCAGCTCAACGTCGCTTCAATTTCAGTATAACTGCTTCTATTGCGTCAATATCACCAACATGAAGGCCCCTTACTTTCTCACTTTCCTTGCTGCCGCCGTCTCGGCGCAGAATGCTGGCATCGGATTCCCAACGAAAGACCAGGAGATCACGGCGGGAGAGAATTTAGTTGTTCAGATTCAGCGCCCGGTAAGTTCGGACCACCATACCACAGCGTAGCCGAGGCTAACTGCCGTATCAGAACTCCTTAACTGGCTCCAAGGAGATGGGTGTCGCAATTGGCGTGGCATCCTGCGCCTCAAGACCTTGTATGGCTCCGAAGGACACACTGGGCACTCTCCTCTATAACGGGCCCTTCAAGCCGGAGTACCACGAGACTAGCCAGCCTCCTTATCAGAACTTCACCGTGACGATCCCAGACTCCATAGCGAAGGGAGACGCACAGATCAACGTCGCCCATGTGGCAATTGTCGGGGTAAGTGCTAGCCTCCCACGATCGCATCGATGGGATTAAGGAGCTAACCCAATCTATTTACAGGCGAGCGCGTGGCCATACCTGGACCTGCTCAATCAGACTGTTGTTGTTGCTTAGGTCTTGGGTGGAGGATGCCTGCCTGTTTCCGCCTGTATAGGCTGTCTGCGGGACTGGCGTGTTGTATATTTGTTTATTAACTTTCTCTGGATTTAATTTCTTGGCTTTTATTCTGGGATTGTCCGTCCTTTGTCATTTTGGTCTTCAAATTTCCAGGGATCCTTTTAGCTATAGGATCGCCTATTCTTAATTTATTCGTTTTCATCGGCATTTACAGGCCCATCGCCATGGAAAGTAGTGATAGGACCAAGTATTATTCTTATGACCGCATAATATTAAGTCTTAATCAATATTAGTCCTCATTATAGAAGGGAACTCCCGGCGGCGTCAAGCGGCAGTGGAGAAACAAGCTGTCAGTCGATTCAATCCCACAATGTGGAGGAAGGTCCGTGAGATGGATCGAACGCCACAATCCTTGATTTTGATTGAGGAGACTACCTTAAATTCATTCTCTATAGGTCACACATCTATAGGACTCTGAGCCTGCGTCTTCCAAGTGTGGGTCTGTGCTAAGCTTTCTGTTGCCGATCTCACTCCGTTCATCTTATCATTTCAAGAAGTTGACTGCGTTTTATTGACACTTGCTACAGTCTATTGAGGACCCGGTAAAGAGCTAGATCGCACAAAAAAGTGACGATAGCGCCATACGTATCTGTAGTGTATGAATGTCCGCGGTGAAGCAACATGCATCTTCTCATACCAATGTCCACCCTATGAGCTATTGACCGGTTAGTCCGTATTCACACAACGTGGCTCGAGACTACTTGTAATGTCAAGTAAGGTATAACTTGGTGTTGGTATAGGTTTATCGGCGATGTACGTCCTTGATGGCATTAGTCGTAAGATATATAAAACCAGAATATGTGAGTACGGTAGCAAAGTTCATTCTGATCGGATATTTAGTACTTCATAAACCGGCTTTTTAGTTGAGGAATTGACACTATGCCTCATATTGTGGAGCCACAAATAGCACCAAGTGTATTCAGCGGTAGCTTAGGGAGGGCAATGGCATGACGAACTAGTAGTCGCGTAGCGCCGTAGGAGGGGCTTTCAATTAGGGACATCAAGTTAGCAGCAGACTAACTGATACAGGCAAAGTGCACTACAGTGCTGTCTCATCTGGCTGCTTTCTGGGCCTGCGATCGCCGACGGGGTTGCTGCCCCACCAGGTGTTAAAACGAATTTGTCCGAGATAAAATGCTCTTCAGGGCCCCAATTTACACATCCTGGTGATGCATCATCGTACTCGCCTACTTTCCAGCCCCTGTTCCGAGTTTGTCGCAAATTTTGCAGACCAACATGACTGTTCCAACTACTTCTCGCCCTACGATCCTTGTCATTCACGGGGCATGGCATCATCCTGAATTTTATGCCCCGTTCTGCAAGGCCTTTGAAGACTTGGGCTATGAAGCAGTCTGTCCTCACCTCCTAACCTGCAACAATGATGTACCCCCCACGAAGAAATTGGAGGATGATGTGGCGCTCATCCGACAGACGGCACAGTCGCTCCTTGACGATGGGAAAGCCGTCGTTGCCGTCATGCACTCCTACGGCGGAATAGTTGGCACTGATGCCCTACACGGACTGGCGATCAAACGTCTGATCTACATGACTGCTTTTATACCCCCTAGTGGCAGCAGCCTCGCGGGTATGTTTGGCGGCCAATTGCCTCCCTTCATAACCATTGATGTATGTATCCACCCACTTGAACTGCCATGCACTCGCTAATGAATCCTTCTAGGATGAAAAGGAGTTATTGACAGTCCCTGACCCGGCGACTGTCTTTTTCAACGACCTCCCCTCCGAGGAAGCCGCTACATGGGCCAAGAAGCTGGTGGTCCACCCGAAATCTGCCCAATTTGACCCAATCTCACACGAGGCATATCGCAACAGCCCCACGACATACATTGTGTGCGAGCAGGATGCGGGTCTCATTCCCCTGGTTCAGGAGATGATGATAGAAAACGTGCGGAAAGCGGGAGTGGATATAGACGTTGAGAGGTTATCAGCGAGCCACAGTCCGTTCCTCAGTATGCCGGAAGAGACTGCCAAGCTGGTTCTAAGGGTTGCTTCCCAATGAACTATCAGATAGTCTAGCTGCCTAACCATATGGAACGCGGTATGCGAGAGGTTTTGGCGGAATTTACTCCGCAAGGTTCGAATAGATCCTCTTAGTTTGAGACATTTCGTGGGCTGATACAACGGCTTGGAGCTGAAGAACGGGACCGATGTAACGAACCGCATCCCAGGCCAATCGCGCTTCGGGAAGGCTTCAATTTCGCTCGTTGCCCGACCCACTCCGTCCGATCCTGCAGGGCCAGGATTGAAGTTTATTTGATTAATCTTGCGTGTTTGGTTTGACCGGTTCCAGACTTTGGGGGTAGTCTATTTATTGAATACGGAGTACTTGCTCTTGTCTTTCTCGTGAGGCATTTCGCCTGATAACCCGTTCTGTCATCTATTGTTTCATCTCTTGTTAACATAGGGTATTATTCCACTGTAGAGGGATCTACGGCTTGGCTGTCAATCCGTAGTACTTCCTGATACCGCTCTCTATCTTCTAGTAGCGTATATATTAGACGTGATGCATTCTTTGTAGATCCACGGCTCGAGCTAGAAGAACCGTTGCCGCGGAATTGCATATTAGCCATTTCTAATCATCCCGCATAACCTACTAAGTCTAGCACTCTAGCGTCAAGAGGAATATCACTAGTCTAATGCACGAATCCCAAGGTAGTGGTCTGCACGCATTGATCCACCAGGAGCAAGATCCCTGCAGGCGGGGACGGTGAGCCCTCGGATTTGGGCATTTGCACGCACATGTAAATTTTAGAGTACTAGAGATGCTCCTTTTCGAGATTTCCTGTATTTAACAGCCCCCAGAAAGGCGTGCTGATGTGAATCCCTGCTCATATGTACATAACCCTAGTGACACGAGATCCCCCCTAGACAATCGCCACACTAAACACTAAGTGAAACCTTTCGAGCTTCAAGAACAGCTATGTAGCGTAGTAATTCACTCTCGATCTTTCCTTAAATTGTTATCCACACGAAAATGCCTTGCCGGAAATCAGTTGTGATGCTTACCTGAACTACCATGGTTCCACACAGCTTGATCCTAGTTAAAAACAATTATTATAAAACCACAGTACGTACCCAAGTTGACTATTCGGAAACTACCAAACGTCCCGATGGTGCTAGTGTAGTACGCGGTCCACCTAAGTTTAAATAAATACGTCAAGCAATCCTGCCACCTCGGGTCGCGTCCGACAAGCTTGCGAAGTTTTGCCGTCATTTGGCCGGCGACTAGGGTTATGTATAGATATCGACGACAACAGTGAAGTCATCTTCTGGCAACAGCTTTTCTTCTCACGTTATGGGCGCTAATGACCGGGGGAAAACTTACATTACGGTTAGTGCTGTGCTCGTCGCTCTGTCCACGGTTATTGTTGGGTTTCGGATCGTTGCAAGATGGATGAGAACCACTCTGGGACTGGATGACTATGTCATCTGTGCATCGATTATTCTTGCCTATAGCATGCTGGGGGAAGCGGTTGTTTGTATGTTCACCGGATCGCGACGAGATCGCGCAAGGCTGATCGTGTACAGGGGCTCGAGATGGAGGGCTAGGAAAGCACATGGACGAGCTAAGCGTCCAGGAGAAGATCACCTTCCAGAAGGCGAGTATCAGCTGGCATGCAATTGTGGTCTTATTCTAACAACAATCGCAGTGTTTCTTCGCCAACGAGATCTCCTATACGCTCCTCGTCCCCTCGATCAAAATCTCTATCCTCCTACTATATCGCCGAATCTTCGCCGTTCGCAAGTTCAGGATCGCGAGTCTCATCACCGGCGGTCTAGTCATGTCATGGTGTCTCGCTGTCTTCATTACCGTCTTTCTTCAATGTCGCCCGATTGCCCTGAACTGGGACAAGACATTAGAGGGAACCTGTATTGACCCGAAAAAGTTCTTCTTCGGCAATGCGATATCCAACCTCCTTATTGATGTGGTTATTCTGGCGTTACCGATCCCGATGGTTCTACAGCTCCAACTACGCTTGTCGCAGAAGCTGACTATTCTGGGGATATTCCTTCTGGGTGGATTGTACGTCTCATACTACGATTCTGGAGGATGAAAGCTTATGACTACAGTGTCTGTGTCGCGAGCATTATGCGCGTCGTTACCCTCGATGTTTTCGAGACTATGGATACGTCATGTATGTTTCCTCGATTCCTTCTCGAGTTTAATCGCACTCAACTAACATCTCAACCATATAGACTCCGTGATGGAAGCCGCAACCTGGACCTTCGTCGAGCCCTGCGTCGGAATCATCTGCGCTTGTTTACCGACCCTTCGACCCCTGCTACGGACACTATGCTGTTCCTTTTCATGGAGCACGGATCATTCAGACGGTCCACCGGCAAACTATAGGATGCACAGAATATCCAGCGCCGCAAAGAATGACTCAGCCGGTAGGAGCGACAGAGAATGGGACAATAAGCGATTTGGGGATGAGTTCGCATTAATGGGCGGGAGCACGAAAATAACTGTTAATGGAGATGGTGCTTCTTAGATTTGATTTCGGTATAGGCGTTTGGTATATATCCAAAAAAGGGATTCGTGTTTGCTTTTTATACTATACACAGGTTAGGAGTTAGGGTAACGCCCTGAGGACATGATGCAATGTGTGGTATGTTTGTTCCTTATTTTCGAGATTCTATCTAGTGTTTCCTAGAAAGTCAGTTAATATAGAGGAATTGTCATGATACGAGATCATATGAGTGTGAGGTTGGGCTGAATAGTATCCTGAGCTAAAAGTTAGACCGTACCAAAGTATCCAGTCTGTAGCGGGTGACACCTCGTATGAAGTCGTGTCCTGCGATGGCTTCAGAGCTTAGCGACGAAATTATGTCGGCAGTCGTCCGGTCAAAAAATATATTCTATATGTGCATGAAACTAGACCGGTCAATGCTGTGATCCAGGGCCTTCCGCAAATCATGTCCGTACATGTCGAGGGCACACTCTGAATTCTTTCTAGGAAAACAATAAAAATAAAAATAATTATGGGGAAGGTTTTGCAACAATAGCAACTATACTCAACATTTCTTTTACGTGTATCATATGAGCTCAGACGTTCGACATCATCAAGCTTCCTAGATCCCGAATTCCCGATCGCTTGCGGGGCTTGACGATGAAAGCATAATATGGCATCAACCTTATCGTGGATTGGCTTCAGTGTACCATGGACAGCCCAAGCCCCAGGAGGGTCTTGTTAGGTCTGGAAGTTCACTACGCCAATCCGGTGCTAAGTTCTTTTATTAGACCAAGACAGTAAAGCATATGTCAGTTGATCGCCATCACTGAACCTAGAATTGACAGGATATCGATACAAAACTGGGTCATAAATATCGCGTAGCTATCTCTATTTATAGGAGCCCGGAGCCATGACGCTGAGACTCTTGAGCCTTCTGCATATCCTGCCTTCGTCAGTCTATCGTTTCAGTAAATCATATCATGTCGAATACAAACAACACGCCTAGTCCACAGCCCGCACATGCAGGCGCATCCACAGAGGAGGCACCAAATTATAAAACCTTCACAGACGCAACGGATAAATTGTACAAGAAGCTGGTTCAGGAGGAGTCCCGTGAATGGTGGCAGTATCGCTTCGTTAGCACGTTCTTCAACGTGCTCGCGATCATGCAACTGATGGTTGGAGCAACCATAACTGCTCTTGGACCGTTTGGTGGTCAACATTTGATTGCTATAACCGTGTTAGGTGCTATTAACACCGTCATTGCCGGGTTCATAGCTCTCCTCAAAGGTAGGGGCCTTCCTCAGCGACCCCGGAAAAACATGTTGGAGCTTCGAAGGGTTCGGGAGTATATTGAGCAAAAGAGAACCATGTTGCAGTACAGGAACAGGAAGTTCTCGAGGGATGAGGTTGACTCTCTACTGGAAGATGTCATGAGGAGGTATGATCTTGCGGAAGAGATTATCGAAAGGAACCAGCCGGATACCTACACAGATGGTGCGGGATCGACCGGTAGAGAACGTCAACCGGACGAAGAAAGGGCACCAGGATAAAGCAGGTACCTATCAAGTACGTTGTATTAAAAATTTACTTTAGCTGATTGTGTTTTGTGTCATAGGTACTGTGGAGACTTTGACTAATAGCTTACAGATGCTTTCCTGCTTGACCGGTTCCAGCTCCGCTTACCATGCATTTCTGGCGGCGGATGATTGTTGAGATACCAGCTCCGGTGGCATGACATCCTTTCATGTCTTACCCCTGAAGTAGCAAAGGCTTTATTGGTCCGACTAGCACTACTCTCGCAGCCAAACGGTATGCGTTCAGACATATTTGTGGTTGGTCTAGTCTGTACCCTTACTAGTTATGTCATGAGCAGCCACACTCGAACAGGGATTGTGCGAGGAGCAATTATCCACAGACCACCACGGTTTCACAATAGTATCAGTAGGTGCCGGCATTCCAATCAAAGCATTACAATGTCAGAAGAGTTGAGCCACAGGACCATCAGGCCCCCGGCTTTGCGTTTTTGCCTCGGGCGGCTAACATTATTTCCTGTCCATTTTCCGTGAGTTTCACGGCGCCATGCTTGCATCGTTTCGTACGGTGGGGAATTATTACTGCATCATATACTATAGCTGCTAGTGGGAATCCACAGTCCTCGTTCTTCGCATGCAATTATAATTGAATGGTGCATGTACCAACTTGAATAGCCCGAAACCAATCTATCATTATTATCATGTGTGGAAGGACTCCACAATTAATGGTACAGGCGAGCAAAGGAAGTAATTATAGTAATGATATATCATCCATTCAGACAACTGTCTAAGGGCCTGCTTCATTGGACCCCCTGTCACTCTAGAATATGAAGGGAGTGCCTCCTCCTATGGCCTAAACTTAGCCGGAAGCGACCCGGACTTTTGTGATTCAGTCTGAACTCCTTGTTCTGTGCTGCAGATCTCCGCTACCTTGGGGCCTGCTATTGATGGATAATATACTTTGTCACTGCAAGCTACCGCCAAAATAAGCATGTTAAACTCAATGGTCACCTGCTGTGTCGCTTGTAATTCTTGTTCTCTTCACTATTGACCCGGAGAGAGATTTGGTCCTGTACTATCTTCGTAGTGGGCGGTGCGGCATAATAATCACCATACAGTCTATCAGCTCTGTATTTATACTTTGACAATCGAGACTTCAGCTTTGAGGAACTTCTCTTCAATAGCGGCGGAAAAATATAGGTTAATCACGCAATAGTAGTCCAGAGAGACGAGACAACGCTGAACTCGCCACGGCTGTAACATCCTATCTACTTATAAGAGATATTTCAAGTTTGATGGAATATTGGAGGGAATTCTTTTTACAATTAAATGAGCTTTGCACCCCTTGTTTCAGGCTACTGAGCCATTGTCTTTAAATATGAGTCTCAAGTACGCTTCCATGATGCAGAAAGCAAGATCTTCTCTGGGCTCGTGTTCAATATTTCTCATTCTCTAAGATTTCTTTAAGTGAAACGATGCTATCACTTCAACTTTTCGTCATGTCAGTCTGCCTTGCAGCTGTCAATGTGCTGTCGGCTAGCGACGGCCTTCGGAGTGACTCCATGACGAAGGCTAGTCTCCCTAAGAGCTTCGAATGGAGCTCCAGTGGTCCTCTTATTGGCCCAAAAGACGATAGCCACGACCTTGCTGGGATCAAAGACCCCTCAATTATTGAGGTTGATGGTGTTTACCATGTCTTTGCTAGCACCGCCAAAGAATCTGGTTATAATCTAGTATACCTGAGCTTTACCGATTTCAATAAGGCTAGTTCAGCAACATTCCATTACCTTGACCAAACCCCAATCGGGCCAGGCTATCGCGCCGCTCCTCAAGTGTTCTACTTTGAGCCACACAAACTATGGTACCTCGTCTACCAAAACGGTAACGCTGCGTACTCCACCAACTCCGACATCAACAACCCTGCTGGGTGGAGCGCACCCAAGAATTTCTTCGGCAGCATGCCCAGGATCATTTCGGAGAACAAGGGTCATGGAAACTGGGTTGACATGTGGACCATTTGCGATTCGTCCAACTGCTACCTTTTCTCATCGGATGATAACGGCCATCTCTACCGCTCTCAGACCTCGCTCGGCAACTTTCCGCACGGCATGGGGAACACCGTCATCGCATTACAAGACTCGAATGCATATGCCTTATTCGAAGCATCTAATGTATACAGCACCGGTGACGGTAAATACCTTCTTCTCGTGGAAGCCATCGGGAGTGATGGTGCGAGATATTTCCGGTCCTGGACTTCGGCCAGTCTCACTGGTACCTGGACTGCTCTTGCCGACACGGAGGCCAACCCCTTTGCGCGATCCAACAATATCAAGTTTAGCACTAGCGCCTGGACTACAAGTATCAGCCATGGCGAGATGGTGCGCACAAATGTTGACCAGACCATGACCATTAGCCCCTGTAATCTACGCTATCTGTACCAGGGCGTGGATCCAAACGCGAAGGGCGATTATAATGCCATGCCGTGGAAACTTGGACTTCTCACCCAAACCAACTCTGCCTGTTAGCGGACAATTATCGGCCAGGCTAGCTTAAAGAAGTGTGTCAGTGGGCTCGACTGTGGATACCCCCAGCAAGTCAAGGCTTCAGCTCAGCGTCGGGAAGCAACCTGCCCTGACTCCACTTTCTGCCGTAGTTCAGGGACTAGATAGCAGGGATACTTTTAATAAAGGCCATTCCGCATTGAGCGAACTCGCTGAGTCATTTTCTTGTAAGTGGAGGCCTCTTGGGTCCTACTTTTCAACTGTCATTGGTAAATTGATACTTCAGGTTTCACTCATTTGGCAATCACTAAAATAAGAAATCGCTCGGTTATAGGGCCCGTAAGTTTGAAACGGTTCACGCTCCCGATGCTCAGAGGCCCTGGTCAAGTGGGTCTGGCCTGAGCCTGTGATCTAGCCAGCCATCAATAGTATCAGTACTTCATAGCTACATTGCCCATGAGTCCATGACTGCCGAGGCATTTCAAACAGGAACACCGGCGGAGATCGGTACATATAGATCGACCGGAGATTGAATTCGGTTAGAGCCAAGCAGGCTTTTAGCCATATTACGAGGTTGTAGGCGCTCGAGACTGTTTCAGAGTCTGCGTTTAGACGCCGGGTAGAGAGCCATTTCCCGTTCGGATAAAGCCTAAAACGTGCCATGGCTTCAGGTACTCTGGCTCTGGCCAATAGAACAAGGTCTATGCTGTATGATATCCTATGCCTAGACACAGTAGCATGGCATGAACAGTGATTGGACTGTTTTTCTTAAACCGCTTTAAGATGGGTGGCTATAGAAACTATTCGTACGTATAGTAAGGCTGATTACCGCTGCTAGCAATGCCCAGATGTGTGAACTTGCACGTTAATATTGCATCTGTGCTGGTGGACGTAAGTCACAGTATAAGGAAGAAAGTTCATACAACTAAATCCAGGGTCTCAGGGAAAAATCCACAATACAAATCGAGTTGTGTGGAGTGATCTTATGAGACAAAAGTGGATACGCCTCTTGCTGGTAAAGCTCTCACTGCGCAGACTTCATTGCAGTGAACCCTCGGCAGTTGGCCTTTTAAGAACGAACCGATGGCTATCAGGCGGCGGTTTCAGGTTTTGCGACCAGATCACTAATCTTCTTGGCTCCGGTTATCGAGACTGGATTTGTGAGCCCCACTAGCCCTACATAAGCCCGTTTCTAACTTTTAACTCGCGACTAGAGGCTTCCTCCACCGAATCGAATGTGGAAATGGCACTGTTCTTCTTCATATGGCAGTTGAGGTCAGAAGAGATTCCCCTATGTTTCTACCCATATATGTCCCTAGCATTCGACCTTGGTCGAAGCTGCTAGATGGCAACTGCGCTCGTCTGGGTTTCACCATTATATTAGCGGTTTCTTCATAATCATTGTAACATTTTCAACTGCTTTTTTTCCTCATTATGCTGCCTTGGGCAGTCAACTAGTTATTAGCACGGTTGGTCTGCCACTTCTGTGTTGGTAGAGGAACCCGGCCTAGTTATAATCTCATAATCTGTCCGTGATTGCTCTTGGAGTGAATCTAAATTTGCGCACCCAGTGCGAGCTGAGCTGTAGATATAGTATCATAATTCCTGGAATAGTTAACACACATTGGTTATACAGTAGGTCGGCTTTAACCGTGTGTACACTGTACCTATCTCGCTAAAAGACAACGCCGTGCCTTTAAAGGAAGGTCCTTTAGCCTGCTTATGTGGGGCAGTGGATTTACCCAGTCGTGACAGACTGAAAATTGTTCATTGGTAGAGCGCCTCGCACGTCTGTCGGAGTCTAGACATCATGCTTATGGGCCTATGGATTTAGCCTAGGAATGCTGACCCTTGAGCTAGTAGTAAGGCTTGGCTCTTGCACCTAGGTAAAGGGCCACTACGCAGTCTGTATAGGAGTCTCCCATTCTTTGGTCTGGCGAAAGCCACAGCGCTACATTTATATGAAACTCTTGGTTTTACTTCAATTTCGTTACTTCAGTCCCTCGTCAAGCTGGGAGAACTATTTAAGCTGGGGGTTACCAACATAACCATGTTGTCCTTTCTCTATCAATTCGTTCATTCTTTCCGTTGTTTTTAGTACTGTTCATTCCCTTTTCCTTTCTTACCCGACAAACTAGACGTTTGCATTCCTTTCTTTACCTCTTTTGTCTTCTATCCAAGATGAAGCTAAACCTTGCCTCTCTTTCCTTTCTTGCGAGTCTCGCCCCGCTGGTTTCGGGTCATTATGTGTTTTCGAAGTTGATTGTCGACGGACAGACCACTAAGGATTTTGAATACATCCGAGAGAACAGCAATGGGTACCAACCAACACTGGCTTCTGAAATTGTGAGCGACGACTTCCGCTGCAACAAGGGCTCCATGGAGTCTGCCGCCAAGACCAAGGTCTACACGGTTGCTCCAGGTGCCGAGATTGGTTTTCAGCTCGCCTATGGTGCCACGATGAAGCACCCCGGCCCCCTGCAAATCTACATGTCCAAGGCACCCGGCGACGTCAAAAGCTACGACGGATCAGGCGACTGGTTCAAGGTATACCAGGAGGGTGTTTGCCACGACATTTCCGGTGGCCTGAAGGATACCGACTGGTGCACTTGGGATAAGGATACTGCATCCTTCAAGATCCCCGAGAATACTCCGGCTGGCCAGTATCTTGTTCGTGTGGAACACATCGGCCTTCATCGCGGCTTCAGTGGAAACTCCGAGTTCTACTTCACCTGCGCTCAAATCGAGGTCACTGGCTCTGGTTCGGGCGTTCCGGAGCCCTTGGTCAAAATCCCTGGCATGTACAATCCTGAGGATCCCAACATCCACTTCGACATTTACTACCCTACCCCGACTTCCTACGATCTTCCCGGTCCTTCTGTCTGGTCTGGCAGCGCCTCCGGTTCCTCTCCTACTATCTCCGCCCCTCCTGTCAATAACGCCGCCGCCGCTTCCTCTGCCGCTCCGACGACTCTTGTGACCCTCTCCAAGACCGTCGATACACCTGCTCCTACTCAACCCGCTCCATCAGTCGGTACTATCAAGAAATACTACCAATGCGGTGGTGAGGGTTGGACTGGATCCGGATCGTGTGAAGCCGGCACTACCTGCCGCGACTGGAACCCTTGGTACCATCAGTGTGTCTAAGCCGAGCTACACAGTAGGACAATTTCTATAGCTGCGACGCGGGTAGCCAACTTCGTCTTCATATATATTCTCTCGTGGCTCTTCACTTAGACTATTCAGATCTTGTATTTGATAACAGCTCTGCGCCTGAAACAACAATCTGAAACACATTATTCTTTATTCTAGTATCAGTAGAACAAACGTAGGAAGTATTAAAGTTATACATGAACCGTGGTCATGGAAGGTCTTATCATCTATGATAGGTTGGGAATTGTAGTCTTGGGGAAGGACAGTATGAAAAGTACGGACATACATAAATTCTTATCTCGCACAATGTGGTTATATCTCGGAAATGTGTAGGTTTATTCAATGGCCGTCAAGCAGTTACTCAGTTAGGAGGCATTGTCGTCATGACCGACCGTCAGCTTCTACACCTACGTCGTTTCAAAAGTCCTCAGAGGCTACATGCGAGGCATCTCGCTCTATTTTACCTATCATAGTCACTACTTGGCCTATGGTTCATCGGATGCAACTATAAATGCAGCGCCACATATGTAAGTACGACGTGTGTATACTATCTCGCATATAAATCAACGAACAACCGACATCTACTCCCCAACAATACAAAACATACCAACTTCATCAAGCTGTCTAATCATTATCAGAAAATGAAGGTATCAAAAGTCGTCGCGGGCAGCCTCCTCCCCATAATCGGACTATGCTATCCCGTCTACCCCCAACAAGAAAAGCACCTCGTCCGTGTGCCTCTCCCTCCCCCAGATAACTGGGTCGCGGGTCCGCGTCTCTTCCCCGGAGAGGTCATTGCGGGTTACCATGCCAGCATCTTCGAGCACGACGCCAAAGGTTGGCGTGAGTATATTAACGAGAAATGTGAGGAGTTTCATGAGTGTACCTCGACCATATCGCTCAGCGGTAAGAGCCCACATAGGCCAGTGTACGTCCGAATTGATATTGACGGTGACTTGTTTCTGCTCTAGCGAATAATGTTGGCTCGACGGGTGGACGGTACTGGTTTGGATACGTCTTTCGGGGTCGTCCTACTACGCCGGATGACTATGTCAGGGACTGGACTGCTAAGGCTGAGGTGAAGGATTCGGCTGCATATACTATCAGCTATGAGGATGACTTTCTAAGGCCACAGTGGGATATCTTGTAGATAGCTACCAACTTAATCAAGTGGTCTGTGGTTCTGTGGTATAGGCTGGGGATGTCTTGTGCTTTTTCCTGTTGGATATTGTGGTCGGTCTCACAAATTATATGTATTATCGTGTTATAGGAGACCCAAAAGCAAGCAAAGTTCACTGTACTCGAACTGATTGATTCAAAATTATATTCGTCTGATTCGTTAGGTAATGCGACGTGCATTCGTAATGAAGCACTTTGATACTTCAAAGGCCAAAGCTACATACGACATGAGATACTTGCGGATGAAGGGTCAGACCAAGTTTCCTTGATAAAATCGGCACACCGTTCCCCAATTCCATATGCTGGCATCTGGGTGTGTCCACCGTGCAAAGTGGGCATTACACTACAGTCCGCAACGCGCAGTCCTGCAACTCCCTTCACTCTTAACTTGTTATCTAGGACCGCAAGGGGGTTGTCGTCCTTGCCCATCGCACACGTTCCGGAAGCATGATAGCCTGTTTACATTAGTATATCGCTCGAACGAGGGCTACGAACAAACTTACAGGTGGTGGCATGTTCCTTGACATATGGAATCCACTCCTCCCGAGTCGTGTAGGTATGATGGGTCAGGTTGGGCGGCCAAGACCCCTTGACGATATCTTTGGTTCCTGCCCCTTTCATGACAACCTCGTTGCCAAAGCGGCATGCCTCGGTCAGCACCAGGAGGTCCATTGGATCAGCCAAGTAATTGCAGTCAACAATGGGGTTTTCCAGAGGATCCTGAGATTTCAAGGTAACCGTGCCCCGAGATTTCGGAGCAAAAAGCTCTGCAATCATCGAGAACGCGTGCTTGTGGTCGACTGGGAACTGATCGTACTGTTTGGGTCCGCCGTAGCACTCGGTGGTGAAGAATTCGATGTTAGGTTGCTTAGGCGTCAGGCCCATTGGGTCACGGCCAGGTTTGCGTGGAGCGTCTCGCCACAACGGTTCGTCCTTGAGGCGCTCGTCCAGGCGGGCGAAGGCGAATGCGCCGAAGGGGAATGTTGATAGGAATCCGGTCTTCTGTTCCTTCCATTGTGCGTATGTCTTTTCCATGTTATCATCGTGGTAGACATGCCAGTCGTTTGTTAGGCCTTCCTTTTCAGTTTCGTAGAACATGAATACGATCTAGTAGGATTAGTAGCCCGCCAGACTGTAGGCAAGGTATTTGGCTCACCAAATGATCCATCAGGTTTTTACCCACACCAGGCAGGTCAACCTTGCAAGGAATGTCGAACTTTTCCAGTTCCTCCCGTGCCCCGATTCCAGATCGCATCAGCACGGCAGGGCTGCAATAAGCACCACTAGATATGACAACCTCCTTCTTCGCGTGAAAAGTGCGGGTAGTCCCATCGGCCAATCTGGTCACGGCACCTGTCGCCCGGAGCCCCGTGGGACCTTCTTCTAACACGATGCGGTCGACTGTAGCATCGGTTTGAATGGTTACGTTGGGGCGGTTGTAATCGTTGGTTATGAAATCCGCGCCCGTAGTACGGATCCCCTTATACACGGTACGAGGTGCATGGCCGCATCCGTGGGCAACGTCGCCAGTGCTGAACATGTCATGATACAGAGGCATTCCTTGGGAAACGAGAGAGTCCATGAGCAGGTTCGAGATGGGTGCGAGATCGTGAGGCTCGGTGTGCAGTGGGCCATTGTAACCATGGCTTTGGGTGTCGGCTTGGAACCAGTCTTTGGGATGGAATGTTTCCGACTGTGATAACATACTGTTAGGCATGGCATGTTCTGTCCACTGTGGGAAGAATCTACCTTTCTCATCGCGGCAAAGAACTCCTCTCCACTCCATCCCTCCAGCTCCCAGTCATCATAATCTTGCTTGCTCCCTCGCACACACAGTGTACCGTTACATCCGCTGCAGCCTCCCAAAAAGCGCCCGCGGCTCAGTTTCACCTGTCGGTTATCGACTCCTTTCATAGGCGACGTAACTATATTCCAATCGGTTTCCGAGTCAAAGTTATTTGACCATCTGCGACGCTTAGTGGGTGAGACGAGTGAGCGTGGATTCGACATTCATACCCTCCCGTCATATGTACGTTCTCCAAATCTTTGTTATGTTGACCAGCCTCAAGGACTAGCACCTTCACATTAGGATTTTCCGCGAGACGACCAGCGACAACGCATCCTGCTGTACCACCTCTTTCCGATTGATCTATCAGCTGGGGCTCACATCGAAACACATTTCTCCAAATCCCCCCCGCCCGCACTTACCCGCAAATAATGTAGTCGTAAACATCGTCCGGAGTGCTTCCCATGATGACTACCTGATGTTTTTTGCAAGGGAGAGCGGGTGACGGAGGTGAAAATCGGGGGAATAGATTAAATCTCAAGTTTCTCTACGGCTCCTTGCGAGTCCATCTCGGCATACTCTCCTTTTATACACCGGATGGGCATGAATAATCTTCATGTGCAATCCCCCACTTGGTGGGCACAGGCGGGCCATATTCCGATACATGTGGCCGGCCTAAAAAAGAGGGGAGCAGGGATAAAGATAGCCAGTGAACGCAGCTAATTATATTACGATGACTAGCTTGGCTCTAGATCGAACAAAAGGATTTCAGCTATTGATCAATAGACCCGGTCGCTCTCGGCCAGCGAGAAAGCTATTGTGATTCGCTGTGAATCAGACTGATTTAGTAAACGGTGCAGTCTAATCGTGAGTCGTGGATAAATCACCAAGCGAAAAAGAGGGGGCCAAGACGCCACTAAGTCCGCGCCATGGATAAGCTGAAGGCAATTTCCTGCCAGCAACTGCGTCAGCCAGGCAAGTCGGGTTCGTGTTGCGTCCCCGCGATGTTCCTCGAACACGGGGTTTCTCTGCGCGCTGGTGCTCATGGCGGACGTGCATACTTCCATTAATGCGTTCCGGGAATCCTTAGTTCGGGGAGAAGGTTTGATCCTTCAACATTTCGGCCAGATACAAAGCGATCAACACTACGAAAATGGGGCTGCGGGCTCCAAAATGGCTCACGATATCGACCTCCACTTTTACCCGCTATTCTACTTGCAGAGAGCACACGGCTGAGAGGAAACTATCTTGAAACTAAATTCGGAACAAGCTCTGGCAGCGAATCAAAAAGCACTACCCCCAAAAATGTGGGTCAGGATGTGAGAGTTCTTATATCTGCATCATCTGAAGACAAGGTTGCTACCTGTCACACTGCTCATGAAACTGCGTGAAATAATACTAATGCGGCATCCGCATCACCCCAGGCCCTTGGCGTATGGGGTAAAGCTCGGTGATCCGCTCTTTACTACCTCCTGCTTCTCAGTACCAAGAAATAGGAGGTCCCCAGAAGAATAGGTTCTCCAACGACGTATCTCAGCGGAACGCCAGATTGGGCCAACGAAGCTTTAAAGTTATTCTGGTCGAAAGGTAAATGGTCGTATATCCTGTCATGCAGGCCGTTGAAGCACCCTTAAAACTTAACTAGCGTACGTATCCCTGTCAGGGGCGCTCGCCACCCCATCCCCCCGGTCTCTTAAAACCCATCAGTATGGCACTAACTTACTGCATGTGTGTCAGGATCGTCGTGAATCCTGGTAGATTCGCCATAATCCCGAAATCCCAGGCAAATCCCGATATCCAGACCAAGTTGACACGGGAGAACAGCCCACTCGATATCCCTATCAGGATCCTACCTTGGCGGTTGGGATCCAGTACGAAGATCTTGTCCAGGGTCCTGCCTGCGTTTGCCGTACACGAGGACTAGCCTGGCTGATCAACTCGCTCTGGGTCACATTTCTTTTTTGATACTTCAACTGTAGCTCCTGTCCAGCATTCCTTTGACTAATCCTGGAGGAAATAACTAAAACCTTAACTCCTATTAAGAGGCATCCGCAAACAAACCTGGCCGCCGAGGATCCGTTCTTAGAAACAGTATATCCACCAGCTCCCCATGACTTGAACCATTGGCCTTCACCTGGACCATGCTTCTTTTTGTATATGATCCTGGTGTGGGAATTTGAACGACTGAAAGTACCATCCACGGCCCTGCTACACTCCACCACACGTTGCCTCCACGATGGGCCATGCCACCCCCTTCCAGAAAGAAGCATGGGCGGAATATGGCATAGGCGTAGTCATTATATTCCTCCGTATTTTTGCACGCTGGAGAGTGGTCGGGGTCAAAAACTGGCAAGGAGATGACTACTTCGCGTTTGTAGTGCTCGCCTTCTGGACTGTAAGCTTTGCCATTCCCTGAGTCTCACAACATGCCACTCTAACAGATGCCAGGCAGAATTGACCATGCTGGAATTGATCGGTAGGTACTTGTCTCTTCTCAAGTTCTCGAGAACTACTCACATATTCTCCCCAGGTCAATATGGCACCAACATCGGTCTCAGTGATGCTCAACGGGCCTCGTTGACCCCCGAGCAAATCGAGATTTTTGCCCGTGGTTCCCGATGTCTTCTCGCCGGCTGGACGTGCTATGTGACCCTGATTTGGTCTCTGAAGGCCTGCATGCTGTTCTTCTACAACCGCCTCACGTAAAAGCTCCACACAGCCCGCCGAGTCCGCTACCCAACTGACCATATTTTTTAGCCTGGGCCTCGTCCAGCAAAAGCTCGTCAAATTCAATGCCGTGCTTTGCGCTTCCACGTACATTGCCGTCATCCTGACCATCTTTCTGCACTGTCGGCCGCTGCACAAGAACTGGCAGGTGTATCCAGATCCCGGTCGTAAGGGCCCTCCCAGTGTCCATTAGAGAAACCATCCATTCTAACCACCATGTCCAGTCAACTGCTCTGCCGACTACGTGAACTATATCGTCATTGCAGTGACCAATGTCACGTTCGTGGCCCCTTACCCAATACCAGACTCCATGCTAATAGAGCACAGAACAGACGCAATTCTCGTGTGCATCCCTATCCCATTATTAGTTAAAGTGCGACTCGCATTGCGCCGGTAAGCACCCTCATGCAAAAAAAAAAAAAAAGCCAGTTCTAATCAGACAATGCATAGAAAGCTGATTATCGGACTCCTCCTGTGCGGCGGTGTCTTCGTCATGATCGCAACGCTGCTGCGCTGTATTCTGTCCCTGCAAAGTATCAACAGCATCAACACCAGTACCATCTGGGCTATTCGCGAAACGGTAGGTCCGCAAACTTAAACCCCCACATGTTCTTTGCTGGAATCTTTTTGGGGATAGACATGAGGTTCGCTAATAGGTCGTTAGTTCGTGGGTATCATCGCCGTCAACGCCCCCTGCATCAAGCCGCTCTTCAGCAGCTCGACCTGGCTCGGGTCCTCCGGGGACCCGTATGCATCCTCGCGAAAGAAGGGCAGTTACAGTCTGTCGGCGTTCGGGAAGTCGAAGCCGAGTCAGTTGGAGTCGACGCGGAGTACGAAGGTGGGCGGGCGATCCAGTGATGAGTTCATCCTTCGCGGTGGCGGAACGCAGACGATTGTCAACGATGGGCAGACGGGGCGGTCCGAGAGCCTGTCAGATGAGGAGGCGGGAAGGCACCCGATGGGGGGCATTCAGGTTACCACGATGTATGAGATTCGCAGAGATGGGTCTCAACATGCGTGATTGAGTTTGGATGATCACTTTACGTAACTTGTGGGCTTTGCGGGTGGCGCGCTGGGCGGTCTTGGTCATCGTGCGTTTCGGAAGAAAAAGATGTATGAAAGGTATCATAGAGGCTATACCCTGTACAGTAAGTAACTCTCTTTTGACAAATTCTGGAGTTTATATATACGGGGTCCGGGATCAGTGCACGAGTTCTGTGTTTGAATTTGGATAGCACGGAAGTTAATCTGCAAGTAACCGATACGGGGTGCAGGAACCAAGATGATGGTTCATATATGATCCGTCAGAACTAGGAAAATGAGACGCCAGCCCCTGATGTTATTTCTTTGACATGACCCGTCGTGGAATGATAATGTCTGATTCATTCAGGGCAACAAAAGATGCATCAAGAGTGTCCATTTCCTCGACTCATGTGACTTATCAGCATGTGACTGATAAGAGGTCCTGATCTTTAATGCCGCATGGGGACTAGCGTCGGAAACCAGCCGACACTAAGCAACAAAGCGTTCTTTTTCGGCCAGTTTTTGCCATCCGACGGAGGGGCGAAACCGCGAAAAAGGCCGTGACTAGCGCCTTGCCCTAAGCGACTGCAACTGAAAAGAGGGGGGCAAAAGGCCGCCATGAGGTCTCCTCCGTCGCCACCCTGAAGTTCCTGTTGGTGTTTGCCTTGTTGCCAGTTGGAAAGCCCTGCATAAGTTTTAACTCTGTTTTTTATCTAAACTTGAGGGGCCCGAGGTCTTGGCACTATAGATACGGTTGAGACCCACCGCGCACACGATGGCCTCGCGGTGATCATTTGGGTTCTCAATCACAATGGATTGAAGATTCTTGAGGTGAGAGGATACTTCAGAAGGCTTCGGCGCATGTCATGAAGGTGAAGAGACCGGCATTGGCTTCCGCTAAGCTCGCCATGTTGCAATGACACCACTGACGAAAGGCCACTTTCCGCTCTCATCGGCTGGCTGTTCGATTTTACATAATGGCTCGGCGTCTCCCAGCCAGTGAAAAGTCTGCCGGTGGATCTCGCTGCGGAGTCTTATTCCAGTTTGACTCAATGAATTTTTCTAGAGCCGGAAAAGAACGAAAAATGAAAA